TTCCGATTGGAACACTCCTATCCTACCTAAACAAAAACATGACAGTCAATATTATTGTTTGGCATATGATTTGAGAGCTGTTAATGTGACAATAACATTTTGCTTGCCTGTTCCAGATCCTCATAGGATTTTGACGACCCTTGGACTATAATATTAATGGTTCATGGTATTAGATTTAGTTAACACTTCTTCTGTTTCCCTTTAGCGAAGGAATGCAGACACTACTTTACATTTACTTATAAAGGCTGTAAATTACAGTACACAAGGTTACCTTAAGGTTTTAAACTAAGTCCAGGACTGTCTAATCAAACTCTGAAAACCTTGTTACAGGATTTGGTTCTTCCTGGTGGTGTGGAGCCAATTCAGTACATGGATGACATCCTCCTGGTGTCACCCACTCTTTTGGCCTGTATGGAGGCTACTAAAACTGAATGAACTAAGTTAGCTTTTTAGGCTTCAAGGTGAGCAGGAAGAAGCTGCAGTGTTGCAGATCTGCTGTGACCTTCTCAGAATGAATTGTATCTGGAACAGGTAATGCAATGTCTGCAGAACATCATTTGTCTATTTTATCACACCCAAAACCAAACAATGTTGTCCTTTTTAGAACTTTGTGGCTACTGTAGGAATTACATTCCAGCATATGTAGACCAAACATCTCAGCTTGGATGCTTTAGTGAAAGAAAAGGCATGAGAAATTTAAATGTCACATTTGACTGGACTATAGACACTGAGGACATTATGTAGCTATTGATGACACCACTGCTAATGGGGTGCTTTACCAAAATGTAAAATGTATGGATTCAAGGACAGTTTCTAGGTTTACAATGTGACCAAAGCTGCCAGGATCTCTCTACAGTGCCGCTTGACATGGACATGTGCTGTTCATGGATTGACACTGCTGAAGAGACTCTGATGGCTCTTTGAGAGAAGGATTTGCAGTGGTGAAATATTTACAAGGTCAGTTTATGCCTCTTATTCAAAAATCATTAACTACTTCTCTTTCTGTGCAGGCTGCTGACCTTAAAGGTGTTATGACAGGGAAACTTCTATCGCACACAAATTAATTTTTTGGACACCTGGATGCAGCCATCCCAACCAATTGCCATCTAGGTTATCTATAGGAAAATGTGTAGGGCCCTCTAAAGAAGATTCTATTGTTGTTAGGGTGAAGGAGGCTCATGGCCCCTCCCATGTAGGAACTCATTGGTCAGGGACCATTGTGACAACTGTAACACTTTTGGCCAGACGCAGAAGTGATCATTAACTGGCTTCTGTGAACCGTGAGGATGCTTCTTTGGTGATTAAAGTAATGATTAATCATTATATTCCTACTCATGGCTTTCCAGCTCTGAATAGGTCTGATAATGGTACAAAATATTAGGCTTACGTCATTAATTTGATTCTGTGTATCACCCTTAAAGCCATGGATGGGTGAACGTATGAATTGCACTCTAAAAGTCAAATTGGCTAAGATTTGTTTTACTTCAGGGCTTAATTGGCTCCAAGCCCTACCCCTGGTTCTTCTGGCAGTGAGTCAAACTGTTTATAAAGTCACAGTTTCTTCTTATGAGTTGCTCACTGGAAGATTGATGCCAGGTCCAGGGGCCACATTGGTACCGCAGGAAGAGGTGCCCCTTCTAAATCTTCAGTTTAAGCCAGATTGGAATCAACGGAGGCAACTGGTGTCTAATTTTCTTCCCAGCTTCCAGAGAAGAGGCTGCTATATCTCCACCTTCTGAAGTTTATTTGCAGGTTTTATCTTGGAAATGCTCTGAACTATGATGGATTGGGTCGTACAGAGTGATAGCTTGTACTGATACGGCTGTTCAGATGGACGGGAAAGGATAAATGGTTTCATGTTACGCAGATTGAGCTGTGAATTCCTGAATTTTTTGTGTTTGTTTGTTTGTGTTTTCTTTTTATATATTTTCATAGGTGACGTACAACGGTTTAAAGCTCCAGGTGTGGTGTTGGACTGTGTTCTCTCCTCCCTGTACGTGGTTGGTTAATGCTCACTGGTTGAAGGTTCGTGTATGCGTGCATGATTTTATGGCTATTGTAGATCGTATTAAGTTTCCCCTAACCAGAAGGGGGAAATATGGGATTTTGACAATTGTCTGCACTATCCTTCTATGGGAAATAGTTCAGAAACATGTACAAACCAATCTGAGACGTGATCCACGATCACTCTCAACAGCAGAATGTGATAAGTATGTCAAAATGACCTTACAGTATACCAAGGGGTCATTTACTACATACCAATTTGATTTATGTTCCATCATTTATTGTAAGACACTAAATGCCCCATCAGCAGGCTTTCGAGACGATGATATTATTGCAGGATGTACAATGAAACGACGCCGTGGGTATTGCGAGAGATTCGAAGATGTTTATTTTTACACAGGACCTGCGACCCTACTTAATCCACATATAGGTAATATTAAGTTAACCAGGGGTCAAGGGCCTCCAGGTAAGAATTGGACTGTCCTGTGCTCGTGAATGTCTGACTAGTGAATGTTAAACCCGACAACAAAAAGAATGTTCCGCAGTATAGCATTAGCCAAACAGAAGCCCGGCCCGAATGCAGTCTAACGGTGTATGAAAATAAAATGTCATATGTTGAGCTGAAGTGTTTGGTTTCTGACTCAAAAAGAATTGTATTTATCATTTTATCAGATTAAAAGGTTTTCATGAGGTTTAATAATCCATACACACATTCACACTTTCTCTTTTATAACCCCAACCTGGAAAACCTGGAAATAACTTGGCCAGAAGATCGACCAAAACTAAATATCGTCCTTTACTGGAGATTTAAGGTTAATAGTCGATATAAAAAAAAGTAAATACTAGGGATGAGGCTTTAATACGTTAATTATAATTAATTAATCACAAAGAAAATAATGTGAACAATCTGTGAACAGCAGAGATGAGATCCTGTGGTCCGGTTTGGGGACCACAGGATCATCTCCGCTCTTTGCAGATGACGTTGTCCTGTTGTTTTCATCAGACCAGGACCCGCAGCACTGGGGCAGTTTGCAGCCGAGTGTGAAGCGGCTGAGATAAGGATCAGCTCTTCCAAACCCGAGGCTGTGGTTCTCGATTGGAAAAAGGCGTCTTGTCGTCTCCAGGTGGGTGGAGAGTCTCTGCCTCAAGTGGAGGAGTTCAAGTATCTCGGGGTCTTGTTCTCGAGTGAGGGGAGGACGGAGCGTGAGATTGACAGGTGGACAGGTGCAGTGTCGGCTGTGATGCGGTCTCTGTATCAGACCGTTGTGGTGAAGATGGAGCTGAGCCCAAAGGCGAAGCTCTCAATTTACCTTCAGTCTCTGTTCCTTCCCTCACCTCTGGTCATGAGCTCTGGGTAATGACCGAAAGGACGAGATCACCAATACAAGTGGCTCAAATGAGTTTCCTCCGCAGGGTGTCTGGGCGCTCCCTTAGTGATAGAGTGAGGAGCTGAGTCACACGGGAGGAGCTCGGAGTAGAGCCGCTGCTCCTCCACGTCGAGAGGAGCCAGTTGAGGTGGCTCGGGCATATGTTCGGATACCTCCTGCGCACCTTCCTCAAGAGGTGTTCCGGGCATGTCCGGGGAAGACACGCTGGAGGGACTATGTCTCTGGGCTGGCCAGGGAACACCTCGGGGTCCCCACAGAGGAGCTGGAGGAAGTGTCTGGGGTGAAGGAAGTCTGGAAGTACCTGCTTATTAGACTGATGCCCCCGCGACCCGGCCCCGTTTAAGAGAAAGAAAATGGATGGAAAATATGAACACATTTTATCACAGTTTGCCGAATAACGCAGACCGTTCACACAGTTCTGACTACAACAATCCATGAGCATCAAAGAGCTCTGGGTCTGCTGGACGGTACATTTCTATAAAAAAAAAAAAAAAAAAAAAAAAACCCAATGGAAATATTGACAAAGGCGTTGTTTATTGAAAATTGTGCAGAAAAGAGTTTGTGTATCACAGAAGCACCTCAACGCTACGAGATCATTTAAAGGCAAAACATGTGACAGCGAGAACAGAAACTGGAGCTACAAACAAGAGAACAAACTAGAACAAGTGACTGGCTTTAGAAAGAAAATGAGTAATGAGTTACCTTTGTCTACTGTTTTGAAATGAAATACCATTTATTTTTCCAAGACATTTTTCCAGACATTAAAAGCGCTCAAGTTCAAAAGTGTCTGTGTGTTTTATTTGATGAAGTCGTCCACTAAAATTCATTTGCCGTATTTTTCAGACTATAAGTCGCACTTTTTTTCATGGTTTGGGTGTTTCCTGCAACTTATACTCTGGTGCGACACAGCAACCGAGAGGATGCACCATGAAACTTTCCTGAAGTCACTGGATGGATGGACAAAGCCTAGACTTCAGTGACACTGAAACCATCCTGTCGGGATTCAGAAAGGCCAGAATAATTCTAACTGGAACTGATGCTGAATCTGACAACAGCTACGGTTGAGGTCGAGTTGTTCAGAAGTGACACCGAGGATGAAGAATTGAATGGATTTAGTGATTTGGAGTGAGATGGAGAGTTTGGTAAACTTGTTCTGTTCTGTTGTTTATGTTATAATTATCTGAAGAACTGTTCATATGTGACGTTAACAGTTAACAGTTCTCTCTTCTATTGTTACGACTACAACTTGACTTTACACAGGAAATGTCAATTCTTTTTCATTACACATTTTTTGGCTGGTACAACTTATACTCTGGAGCGACTTATAGTCCGAAATATACGGTCCATAAAATACATGTTGCTTTGAGGCAAATATTGTTATGCGATTCATTGAGATTAATTAATTACAAAGCCAGTTTTAATCAAGTCCCACCACCAGTAAATACATCTCCCACCGTACTGTGTTTAAAAAGAACCAAAACAGTTAATTAAGCAACAGAATCGATATTGAATTCAATACCAGGAAAAATAATAACAAACACTCTATCTTTAGACAACAGAATGTGATTTTCAACATTAAATCATAGTATTTTCCTTTCTATTCCCATGTGTCCTTATATCTGTGTAATCCTTCAGTGGTCCAGGTACGTTCCATCGTGGTCCAGGTCTAAACCAGTTCTAAACCAGGTCTAAACCAGGTCCATGGGCGTATATTAGTCTATATGCTCTTCTGATACAGCTCCAGATCGTTCTGAAGATTTGTAAAAGCATTCTAAAGGTTTGTGAATCTGACTTTTTAGTATCGATACCTGCTCAAACTAGTATCAAAACTAGAAACTCTTAAGTATGGATTAGCATCTCATTTTAGACACTTTTGACAGCCCTGCTTCCTCCGCTCAGTCTTTTCATGTACAAACGCAGACGTGCTCTCGTCTCTTTGGACCGTCTTTAATCGTACACGTGTTTCTAGTGGTCGAGCTGGCACAGACACGCCACCCCGCGGTTGATCCAGTGTTTCTGTGGGTGCTCGGAGGGCAGCTCGATGGACAGGACGTAGTTGGTGGAGTGCCCGGTGGTGGACAGGGTTCCTCTGCGGGCGCTGGTCTTGTACACTGGGCACACGTACATGTTCTGGTGTTCAAAGTTGGACATCTCCCCAGGCTTCAGCTTGATGACGGGCAGAGCGTCGAAGAGGATTTTGGGTAAAGACTCCCCGATCGCCATCCGCTCCCTGTCCCAGCGCGCCCCCTCCATGAACAGGCCGCGCACGTACGCCCCGTCCTCGGGCTTCTGGCTCACGTGGCTCTCCTCTTTGGTCACCTGCAGCACAAGGACAGACTCTAGACTGAAGAGCAGGAGGTCTGACAGAAGGGACTGTCCAACACATATAAGGAGGAGTTATGACACAAAAACTAAAACTAGATCACACTGAGCACAACACATATGTGAAATACGGCCAGATCAGGAAAAAAACAAGACTAAACTACACTGCAAATTTTTCTGATCTGGAAGATTTTAAAACTTAAATCAGGTTCTTCATCTTGTTTTCAGATTTATTCCCTACTTACTAGTTCTGATGCTTAAAGGTTGTATGGAGGATTTTTTTTTTTGTTTCAAATTGTCAATGATAGCATTATAGAGGTGCAGTAGCCTTGTAATTATGAGGACCAAAAAAAAGAGAATAAAAATTCATCAACTCTGGACGTGGTGGGGCTAAACATTTGCCAATAGATAACGACACTGCCTCGTTATCTGTGAGCTGACAGGCTGTCAATCAATCTCCCTACGTTTCTAGCGTAACTGACTTGCCTGCGCCGCCGGTACGTGGTTTGCGTACGACTGTCACGCAGTCCACAGACGCACAGACGCTGTTTACTCCACCAACGCAACAGTTCTTAGCGGCTTTTTTTGACCTATATCTTCCTCGCAGTTAGCACAAAGTTTGTTGCAATGGCGACAAGAATCCAGGAGCAGTTAGCCACAAAAGAAAGTCCGTTTTTGAGGTCACTGAAAGAAGAAGACAAGGGGAAAAGCAGCGAAGCCAAACTAAGGTGATTCTTGAAGATTCATTCCAGCGATGGCGCGACTGAAGCAGACGCAGGGTCTAAAGACTGACGCACTGGTCCACAAATTACTCCTGGACAGGTCACTTCTGCTTATTATGAAAACGTACTTTATTTCCAAGAGCTAGACAAACGTTTTTCAGGACACGAAAGCGATATCCTATGTCTGAAAACGTAATTTTCAAGGCAAAGAAAGAGTCCTGCTTGCTGCTGCGTGTTGTAGCTAGTTCATTCGCACTGAATCTCCGCGCACTCTTCTCTGTACACCTTTCCTGCTCCTGTCCCCGCTGCCCGATCCGCTCTTCCCCCTGCTCCTCACTTCTCCGGGCACGGAATCTCCGCTCACCGCTCCTCTCTCCTCTCTCCCTGCTCCGCTCTTTTCCCTGCTCCTCACTTCTCGTCCGCGCACGAAATGTCCGCGCACCTGTTCCCCCCGCTCCTCACTTCTCCGTCTTGCCTAACCAACACTGTAGTTAGTTGTTTACAAGTCATGTGCAGCGCACCGGCTGTAAACAAACCTGTTTCTGGCGTAGGGAGGAGGCGTTTCTACGTAGGGAGCTGTAGGGGAGGGGGGGTGGTTTCACGCATGCGCAACATTTGAAAAAGGACAAACAGTCGCTGGATTTCTCGTTCCTTGGAAAATCCTCTATACAACCTTTAATTCTAGTCTACAGGTAGTTTATTTTAAGATAACTTGTCACCAAAGGTTTTAGAACACCACACTTTTTCCATTTTTTTACTGTTTACTGTCGACCAAAACATATTCTAAACTTTTGATTAATGAAATAAAAGTGTCAATCTTTGTCAGATAGAACAGCTGAACACACTCCTGGCTCTTTCTTTTTACAATAGAAATTAAATATTGTTCAGAAAGTTTTTCCCAAGTCTGTTGCAGAAGTTCCCATAAATGTGTGGCACTTGTAGGTTGCTTCACTCTTCTGTCCAGTTCATTCTAAACCAGCTCCATGGGTTTAAGTCTGGACACTGTGCTGCTGGACACTTCAGGTTTTCAAGCTTTACCATCTCATTCTTTTTTCCTGAGAGAGTTTTGGCAGAGCTTGGACTTGTGTTTTGTTCTTTTATTTTACTTTTGTAACATTTCAAGTTCTTCATTGGACCTACACAGCTTGAATTGCAATAAATAACTGGAAAAATTAGGTGTGGAACAGATTCTATTCACATAAACTACACTGAGCAAAAAGAGCTGCTTAAATATTACAAAGACAATAAGGGTGCTTTCACACCGACAGTAGTTGGTGCACCAAACGGTCCATTCGAACCAAAAGCTCTTAGTTCAGTTTGTTTTCGTTGGTGTGAAAACGTGAATCGGACTCGGACCTGGACCAAATCAAGCAGACAAAGACCTCAAAAAAGAGGAGGTCTCGGTTCGCTTGAATCTGCACGAAATACCAAACTCTGGTGCGGTTCCTCTGGTGTGAATGCAAACTCGGGTAAAACCATAAAGAGTAGGTCCAAACGAACTATTCCAAATGCATCATGGGAGGACACGCGTCTCCTCTGCCTGTAATGACGCGCTGTACGACTCCAGCGCAGTAACAGATTGTTCCCCAGACCGCGACTCATTTTCAAATTATTTTGCCAACAATGGCAAATACAGAGAACGTGATACACGAAGACCAGAGCAAGAACCAAGGTGTGAACACGAGTGAGTTAAAATTATGGGTGTGTACCCCTGTTCAGAACCTGCACAGAGAAGTCCCGGTGTTCCCCGTGTTCACATAGCAACAGCATTTGTTATTTTAGGCTTTAATTAAACAAATCATTTTATGGCACTAGGCAATAGCCTATTCAATTGATACAACTTCAAAAAGTCCCTGCTTTTAAGCCTAGTGTGAGGAATGCTACAGTCGGACTAGATCCAAACCAGAGACCTGAACCAGCGGGAGCAGCTCCGGTTCTGTCCGGGCTCAAAGGAGCTGGAGCGGGGAGCGGTGTCAGGAGCCTTGACCTGAGAAGGGCTTTCCCCGGGAAGAACCAAATGGGCAGATGACAGATGCTCAGAAGAACATATAACCAACCAAACTGGACTCACGCTTCTGTCCGGATGCTGCACCACCTCGGAACCAGTCACGGTTCTTGAGTGCGGAGGACCGGAGCAGCCCGTCCAGACCTGTGGTGTACAGCGTATTCTCACTTTCCCCGCGTGGAACCAGCGCGCAGATGACGGAACGTACCCAGTCCACTGCGCTCTGGTCTTTCACGCCAGGACACCAGGACATGGAGGAGGAACCTCTGGATCATCTGACCAACGCGCTCGGAGGACGGTGAGTTTGTACAAAGTTCTACATGTTGCTGTTTTATGAGTTCATGGTGACACTTGAGATGAAGACGTCCCGTGGTCTTAACAGGGAACATCAGTATTGATAACTGGAGGTATCGCTGTTTTCCCGGGAAACAGAGGCACGTCAATCGGACCGATTTTGGTTCGAACGCAGACCACACTGGAGTGTAAATGCTACATAATAACCATTTTATTGCCTGGTGCGGACCAAATAATCGAACTAGCAGTGTGAAAAAACCCTAAGAGACTTTACAAAAGAATTTCAGTTAAAATGATTTCAGCCTTAACAAGATCTGCAGGAAACTCTGAGGACTAGACCAGGACAAAAAAAGGACTAAACCAGGTCTTAAAAAGGACTAAAGCATATAGAAACCAAAAATACAGTTAGTTCTAAAACAGGACTACAAAGCAGATCGATCCAAAACAGACTGAACAGTACCTCAAACTCAAAGCCGATGTAGTCGATGGGGATGGTGTACTTTCGGGCGAAGTTCTGGGACACTCCGGTGAGAAAGGACTGAGGGAAGTAAAACCCAGAGAGCCAGAAGACTGTGGGGGCACCTCCATCGATCCACTCCTGAAAACACAACAGAGGAGAGGCTGGCAGGAGCAAACAAATCAATCAGTCAAACTTTATTCATAGAGCTCTTTACAACACTCACGATGACCAGAATGTTTCACATTAAAATCAACACAATATAAAAACATCAAACACTGAAAGGAGTGTGAAAGCCGGACTGAATAAATGAGTTTTGAGTGTGGATTTGAACAGGCCAGAGTCTGTGATAGTGGCATATCAGGAGATCTGTTTGTTCCAGAGTCTGGGGCAGCGACAGAGAAAGCTCCATCACCCCAGTGTCTGATCCCGGACTCAGAAGCAGGAGACAGCTCTCTATCCTCTCATTACTGTTGTCCTCTCATTCACTACATCGTCCTGTTTCATTCACACCAAGAGCGTCCAAAGGGCTCTCTTGCCCTTGTCCCCCACCCTCGTCCCCCTTGCTGGCCTCCCACTCTTGTCTCCTGCCCTCATCTCCCTTGCTTGTCTCCCCCCTTCGTCTTCCTCGCTTGTCTCCCACCCTTCTCGCCCTCGCTCGTGTTCAACTCTCGTCTCCTGAGCTCGTCTCCCGACCTCACTTGTCTCTCGCCCTCCCTCATCTCCCGCGCTCATCTCCCGCCCTCGTCTCCCTTGCTTGTCTCCGGCCCTCACTCGTCTCCGGCCCTCGCTCGTCTCCCCCCTTCATCTCCCTCCCTCGTCTCCTACCCTCGTCTCCCATCCTTGTTGCCCTCACTCGTCTCCCGCCCTCGTCTCCCTCGCTCGTCTCCCTCGCTTGTCTCCCGCCCTCGTCTTCCTCGCTCGTCTCCCACCCTCGTCTTCTGCCCTCACTCGTCTTCCGCCCTCACTCGTCTCCCGCCCTCGTCTTCCTCGCTCGTCTCCCGCCCTCATCTTCCTCGCTTGTCTCCCACCCTCGTCTCCCTTGCTTGTCTCCCGCCCTCACTCGTCTCCCCCCTTCATCTCCCTCCCTCGTCTCCTACCCTCGTCTCCCATCCTTGTTGCCCTCACTCGTCTCCCTCGCTCGTCTCCCTCGCTCGTCTCCCACCCTCGTCTTCCGCCCTCACTCGTCTTCCGCCCTCGTCTCCCGCCCTCGTCTCCCTCGCTCGTCTCCCTCGCTCGTCTCCCGCCCTCGTCTTCCTCGCTTGTCTCCCGCCCTCGTCTTCCGCCCTCACTCGTCTTCCACCCTCGTCTTCCTCGCTTGTCTCCCGCCCTCGTCTTCCGCCCTCACTCGTCTTCCACCCTCGTCTTCCTCGCTCGTCTCCCGCCCTCGTCTTCCTCGCTTGTCTCCCACCCTCGTCTCCCGCCCTTGTCTCCCACCCTTGTCACCCTCGTCATAGCTGTTCTCTGAGTGGCTGTTGCTATGGCGATGTCGCTCCACATTTCCATAAAGTTGCCTTCAGTTCAGCTCTGTGGAGTAAATGTGGCTCTTGTGGCTCCTGTGACTCTGGGCGTGAGCCTGGGGTGAACACTGTTTAGTGACTCTTTCACAGAGATTCAGACACTCTGTTTACCACTTTTGGGGCTCGTGACTCTGGCGTCTGGATGAAAAACGTTCCGTAAACTCCAGTTTAATGACCGTCAATGGGCACTACTTTTCAAGATGTATTGAGGGAAATTTAGAGTGCAGAAGGTTTTCACTCACAGGACATTCAGACACCACTGGAATAGTATGACCCCTGCACAGTACCATAAGTAAGTAAGTAGACAGGGGACAGTTTTAAAGGCACCGTGACATAAAAAGGATTTTCCTTGTTCCTGTAGTGAGTCTTGCCTGGAGGAAGTGCAGGCGGGCCAGCAGGTCGGTGATGTAGGAGCCCATGGGTTTGAGGGAGGGGTAGGACTTGGCAGCCCACATGGAGGGCACCTTTCCCACCAGCATGCTGTTAAAGACGCTCTCCAGCTCGGAGGACATGACCATCTGCCCCTTCAGAGCCTTCCGCATGTTGAGCAGACTGGCTCGGACCACACTGGTGAGCCTGACGCACACAAACACACAGCATCGTTACATCATTAGGTCAGGTTTAACAGAAGCTCACAGGTTTAACAGAATGTGAAAAGCTCATCATAATTAAAAGGATTTCATTTAGTCTGAAAGGAATAGGACTGGGATTGTAATGTATTTATTTTTTTGCAATAACACAGAAAACTAAAGCCACACGTTTTGACGCAGGTGACGTCCGCCAGGAGCCACAGTGGGGCAGCAGAGGCCCTTAAGCAAGACACTTCACCCGCATTGCCTACTGTGAATGTGGTGTGTTAAGTGTTGGTGGTCAGAGGGGCCCATGCTGCAGATTGGCAGCCTCGCTTCTGTCAGTCTGCCCCAGGGCAACTGTGGCTATAAAAGGTGACCAACACCTATATTATTATTATAAACTGGGACTAAACCAGGACTAAACTGGGAATAATCCAGGACTAAACTTGGTAATCCAGGACTAAACCAGGACTAAACCGGGACTAAACTGGGACTAAACCGGGACTAAACCAGGACTAAACCAGGTCTAAACTGGAATTAAACATGGACTAAACTGGGTCTAAACTGGAACTAAACCAGGACTAAACAGGACTAAACTGGGTCTAAATTGGGACTAAACGAAGACTAAACTGGGTCTTAACTGGGACTAAACGAGAACTAAACTGGGACTAAACTGGGACTAAACCAGGACTAAACCAGGACTAAACTGGGAATAATCCAGGACTAAACCAGGACTAAACTGTGAATAATCCAGGACTAAACTGGGTAATCCAGGACTAAACCAGGACTAAACCGGGACTTAACTGGGACTAAACCGGGACTAAACCAGGTCTAAACTGGAATTAAACATGGACTAAACTGGGACTAAACTGGGTCTAAACTGGAACTAAACCAGGACTAAACTGGGTCTAAATTGGGACTAAACGAAGACTAAACTGGGTCTTAACTGGGACTAAACGAGAACTAAACTGGGACTAAACCAGGACTAAACTGGGTCTAAATTGGGTCTAAATTGGGACTAAACGAAGACTAAACTGGGTCTTAACTGGGACTAAACGAGGACTAAACTGGGACTAAACTGGGACTAAACCAGGACTAAACCAGGACTAAACCAGGACTAAACTGGGTCTAAATTGGGTCTAAATTGGGACTAAACGAAGACTAAACTGGGTCTTAACTGGGACTAAACGAGAACTAAACTGGGACTAAACTGGGACTAAACCAGGACTAAACCAGGACTAAACTGGGTCTAAACTAGGACTACACCAGGACTAAACCAGGCCTAGAGCAGGTCTAGGGCAGGTCTAAGTGAGGACTAGGACGGACCTGTTGAAGCGGATGACCTCCTGTCTCAGTACAGTGTTCATGGACTCCTCGTACACCACGGGGAACTTCTCCATCACCGTCTGAAGGTCAAAGTCTGAGGGCAGCTTAGACAAAATGTCCTCTGCCAGCTCGTCCACCACCTCCTGTCCACACACACACACAGATACACACACACACAGACACACACAAACACAGAGACACACACAAACACCCCGACACACAGACACACACAGAGACACAGAGACACACAGACACACACACAGAGACACAGACACACACACAGACACAGATACACACACGCACACACACACACACACACACAGACACACAGATACACACACGCGACACACACACACACACACACACACAGACAGAGACACACACACAGAGACACACACAGACACACAGACACACACACACACAGAGACAGACACACAGACACACAGACACACAGACACACAGACACACACAGAGACACACAGACACACAGACACACACACACACACACACAGACACACACACACACACACACAGAGACACAGAGAGACACAGACACACACACAGACATAGAGAGACACACACACACACAGAGACACACACACACGCACAGAGACACACACATACAGACACACACACATACAACCAATGGTGTAGGGGGTTTGAATAGGCCCCAGAGAGATCGCTAGATTACCCAAACATGCATGGATGACATTTAAATCCTCTTCAAGCATGTTTTTGATGAGGGAGCAATGTTATAGCATGACAGAAAGATCTAAAAAATTATAATTTTGGATAATATACTCTTTTTAACATCTGTGTGTGAGTGACAAAAAAAATAGAAACCAAAAAACAAAGCAGCACAACAGAATGTCCAAACCTGACACATACAGATCTACAGTTTGTGGTGATTTTGGTGCTGAAACGATAGAAACCTGTTGGGTAGAGGTGACAGACCTGTGGGGATTTGGCGCCCCCTCCTGACTGGCGTGGCAGAGTGAGGAGCACTCCCTCCAGCAGCTGGTTGGTTTCCTGGTTGTCTTTGGTGATGTCGGCGTTACTGTGGAGCCCAAACACCCCGGGCTCGGCGCTGATGGGCAGACTGCGGATGTAGTCCACATACGTCTACAACAACAGAAGGAAGGTTTGTTTTTTTATGTGCACTGATCTATAAAAGACATCTACAAACTGGGTTTAAACGCCTCTAACCACGACTTCTGTTCAGTCAGAGCAAATAATAATGATAAAAGACTTAACCTACATTACACTTGTGAAAGAAACACTACTGTTTTTGATGAGGATTCATACAACATGCTTTAAAGCTCAAAAAGTATTTAGAATATAGGCCCTTTAAAACAGATTGCAGATGTGCTCAGTGTGTACTCCAGACCCAGTGTCCCGGGACAGGTTCAATCAATCAATCAGTCAAACTTTATTTCTATAGCACCTTCCAACAACCAAAGCCGACCAAAGTGCTGTACAACATTAAAACAAGATAAAAAACAATAAACATCATACAAAGGTTCAACATACATCTTTATATCCATGTATCCTTAAACAACCCTGAATGAATACTACTCCATATAATGAAACCGTCATTCAATCACGACTCTGTAGATCGATAAACTGGGTCACAAAGCAACCAGCCCCAGAACAACAAAAACTAATACTTCCTTTATTCATTTTATGCTAATTATCACTAAACAGTTTTGTTCTTGTATCTGTGAACGTGCTGGAGACGCACTGAGACACACGTGTGGATGGTGTAGTGATGGTCGTATTAAAGTGTTAGTCTAATAAATAAATAAATACAACCATATTTAAAGTATTCGTCTTTTTAAATGAGTCCACCTGTCGAGTCATTTACTGTCATTTACACACTGCACATTTCTCACACACAGTTTCTCAGTGGAGTCCAGTTTGACAGACATAGGTTTTCCTTTCACTTAAATGACTCAAACTAACACAGAAACAATCACATCTGTTTGTATATTTGCCAATGAATCAGAATAAAAATTTCTGGAAATAATATTATTTACTATGACTGAGAAAGCCCCAGAGCTCCACTCTGCTTCTCCAAGACATTTTAAAGCTAAACATCAGACTCATAACAGAGCTTGTAACTGACCTAGACTTCCATTTCAGTGCCATCTGTTCTGCTGAATATTCAGATAAACACTCAAATGACCAAAGAGCTTCAGTCCACCAGCAGAGGGAGCCTTGTCTTTAGACTCTCTGCTGCAAACTCTGGTGTCACTTTGACTTGTTAACAAAATGTAAGGTTTAAAAACATAAAATACCAAAGCTAAAATCTCTGTAGGACAGTGGATCTCCAAACGCTTGTGTTGTTTCACTATGTTGTAGTAGTATTTATTCTATTTTTGACAATAAAGAAAATATGTTAACATTAATACGTTAAAGAATGTTTCATATTCAAATAAGTTGAGATAATCCTTTATAGAATTCAGTTCCACTTTGTACACTGTATAAATTATATATGTATGTATGTAGTGGGTGCAGCACCTGGTAGAGCTCATGAGCAGGTATGGAGTAGTATGTAGTAGTATGTAGTACCTCGTAGGGCCCGTGAGCAGGTATGTAGTACAGCCCCCCCTCACACAGACTGTATCCCTCCTGCCGGATCAGATCACTGTTGTAGAAGATGGAGATCAGCGAGAGCAGGAGGCGCCGGTCTTTATCGTCTGTCACTCTGCCTCCATAGTTACACTCACCTGAAATATACACACACACACACATCAGCTACACAAACACACACACACATACACACACACACAAACACACACACACACACAAACACACACACATACACACACACACACATACATACACACACACACACACACTCAACATCTACACAAACAGTGTCTCCATCCTTTTTGGTGAGCTCCTTTAAAAAACAAAAATGCCAGAGAGCTGCTCATTTTAACGACCGCAAGAAATAGAGACGATTGTAAGAGGACGAGCTTTGGGGTGCAGTTAGATGCTGATAAAACATAAACCACTGTCCATTTATTGGTGCACAAAGTTGTTCTTCAAAATGTTACATGTACAATAGTAACAGGCAAGAAATTAACCACATTGTTGTTATTTGGCACAATGATAATTCTGAAATTCTTCAGTGAGCTACTTGCAAGTGTGTGGAGAGATACTGGTAACTCCAGAGCCACAGGATGGAGACCCCTGATCTACACAAACTGAGACACAAACTAAGACACAGACACACTCATTATCTACACAAACTGAGACAGACACACAACTCAGTTACACAAATTGAGACACACAACGCTTTAACAAACAGTTCCAGATTATCTGTAGAATTCACTCCATTGAGACGCCGCACTGTGGAACATTCATGACAAAGCAACTGTGAGATTCACAGAGCTGTGGAGCTCCTGCCACACAGAGGGACCTCCTGCACACTGCTGTACCTGTGAGGTATGTGAGAGCCTCCAGAGGAACCTCCTCGTACTCATCCAGGAACATCTGGATCTGCCTGATGCTGATCCTCAGGTCTGACTCATTGAACTCATACGGAATATTCCAACCTGAAAAACAGTTTAGAAAATCAACTTTTGGTGAAAACAGAGGGAAACAGACTGAATCTGGAGCACCCCAGCTCAATGCTCTGAGGAACATCTCACAGATGCTCATTACTTTGGTTTAGAACAGCCTCTGCCCCATGACAGTCTGAGCGAGGTGTGAAGATACTTTAGTCTAATTTTACTCTATTCACATTTTGTAAGAGACCTGCTGACAGACTGAAAAAATATGACCCGACTTAGTATCTGAAGACCGATATCAAAAACATTTTTATCAGTATTGACGAGCTCCAGTCTTCATCTGACCAACTTTGACGATTCCCTCCTGATGCAAATCAGTGGAACACATTAAAGATCAGAAGTCTGGAGTGTCTCACCCAGCGGGCCAAAGGCTCTCCTCTCCTGCACCAAAGCGTGGAAGAAGGTGAGGCCGAACAGGAGCTTCTGCCAGATGTGCTGCTTCTGGGAGCTGCAGAAGAAGGCCGGGTCTGAGATGGGGTCACTGAGGTAGGAGCGCAGCAGGTTGGCCCGGATGCCTTTGGGAGGCTCATTGGTCATTTTCAGCCCATTCTGAAGAATGCTCACGGGGAACTTGTCTGAGGGGTAACTGGTCAACCACAACCTGCACTCAGCAAAAAAGATCAGAGTCACAGAAATAAAAATGTGAAAATGTAACGCACAAAAGAACATCATTTGATCACATGACCATTTCACATGAGCACTTCTTACCCCACACCTCTCGTATAAATCTGAGTTTATGTCACCCTCATGTTTAGTTCTCACCGCGCTCTGAGGCTGTGGGGTTACAGATTTAACATCATGTGTTTTCTTTTTTTACCAACACATAGGAAGTGTACGGCTCGTATTGTTCACATGTACGTGTGTACTCGCTGTGTGCGTTCACTCTTTTTCTACTGGTGCGCTGACCAAATGTGCTCTACTGCAGCAATAACAATAACCAATAATAGACAGCAAAAGAAGCAAATGAAAGGTACCCAAAAATAATATTATAAAAAATATGAATCGTTAATAAAATAAGTACAAAATAATATTAATTTCCCAAAATAACTATACTAATGACTTAATTGAACATTTATACATAAAATATGTGTCAAATAAGTCACATTTATATTGATTTTATTTCATTTGATCCCACTAAACACATCTGTGCATTTGTGCCTTATTCAACCTCTGCTATAGTTTCTATTTAAACACATTATGGTTTGTTTTTGCTCTTTATTGTTGTATTGTGATGTGTGTCCTGTAATTTCCTCTACAGATCAGAACAGTTTGTCTAGTCTCGCTCTAAGTCTGCGGTCTCCTGTGACATTCCAAAGGACAAATGTCCACAGTTGATGTGCAGATCGGGCTGGAGTGAGCTAACAGACTTTGTGACTAATGAAATGATTATAACATCATCACATTGTACAATCTGAAAAGAGAAGTAGAAAAGAACAGTACGGCTGAGGTTTGTGCTGAAAGACAAATGTCCCGTTACCTGAAGTCGGGGTGTGTGTTGTCCGGGGTGATGGTCTCCTCGCAGATCCTCTCCAGGGTGGGCATCCAGCTGGTGGCCAAGTGGCAGTTCTGCAGGACGACCCAGGTGCCCTCCCTGGTGGCTCTGTCGATCATCTGAGCAGCTATGGGCCCCTGCCCCTGCCCCAGAGAGATGGTCTGGGTCTTACTGCCCCCCATCTCCGCGAACTTCAGCAGACCTTACACAGAAAAACATTTCTCTACATGATTCTGTGTTATTATTATTATTATTATTACACTGTATGTTGATTGTCTTCGTTTTTTGGATTATGGGGTTTTGAGTGCACTGTTTCTGTCACAGTTCTGCCTTTTGTTTACTTGTTTTCCCCAATCCAGTCCATTTCTCAGTCTGTTCCGGTCCTCCTTTTGCCATCTCCCTCCTTTCCCTACAGCTCCCGCTCATTCTGTAATCAGCCCAGGCCCAGTCTATATATACTCCCTCTGCTCCCTCAGTCTTTGCCAGATTGTCGACCTGTTAAGACAGACATTCAAGCTCCTGAAAACCTGAAATCTGAAAACCCTGTATTCCCTGAATCTGTTCTGTTTGTGACCTCTGCAGTTCTGTTTCCCTGTTTGCTGTCCCTGTTCCCGAGTTTACTCCCAGTCTGTTTTTTTACTAGTGTATTCCCAGTCTTGGAAGATATTTTCGTTCACATTTAATATCATAAATTCTATGATATTAAAAAAGTTATATTTTCAGTCTGAGTTGTCATTATTAACATTTCCTGTTATAGGACACTGTCAGTTATTTAAATAAGACTTTGTTTGCCTGAGTACTTGTGTTGCATTTGAGTCCAATTTACCGGCGTGATAGTTTCTTTATGACCTGTCACCCTTGGGTGTTTGCCATATCCTATTTAAGACTCTCAGTCTGTGCAACGTTTAGTGCCAAAACATTGCACGGTTTGTCCTAATAAATCTCACAATTTGCAAGTAAGACAGTGTGCGGGATTTTTCTCTATGTTCAATATAAAACCAAAAATAAGACAACGAAAAAAAAAACAACAGTTTTCTTCATTATTTGTCTCCAAAACCAAAATGAAAAAAAAAAGAATAACAATTAGTCTTTACAGTTTTCGATTTAGTCTTTAAATGAATAATGGAAAAAGGATAACCCGTTTCTGAAACTTAAACTGCGATGCCAGACTTTTGCATCACATACGGACTGGACCAGGACTGATCCCAGGACTAAAACAAGACTAAACCCATCTCAGTCCTAGTCTGGTCCTGGTCTGGTCCCGGTCTCAGTCATGGTCTGGTCCTGGTCTCAGTCATGGTCTGGTCCTGGTCTCAGTCCTGATCACTCGACAGTCTACGCGGGCGCACCTCCTGGCCCGTCCTGACACTTAGTGCTGGTTTAGTCCTGGTTTAGTCCTGGTTTAGACCTGGTTTAGACCTGGTTTAGACCTGGTTTAGACCTGGTTCAGTCTGTATGTTGTGTAAAAGTTGTCTGAAACGGCTGTTATCCGTTTTTTTCATTATTCATTTAAACACGCAATCAAAAAGTGAAAAAAAAAAAAAAAATTAATCTATTTTTCCATTTTAGTTTTGGAGACAAATAATGAAGAAAATAGTTGTTTATTTGTTTTCTTATTTTTGGTTTTATTTCGAAAAACGAATGAACGAATTATTGATGTATGAATGTTTGTGTGAATGGGTGAGTTGTATAAAATGTGACCATTTACTAATCATGTTCTTTTACTCTTTTCTTTTTTTGTTCCTGTACCCACCTTTGTTCATGAGTGATTATACCGTGTTTAAAAGCTCGGTCATGATCTCAGGCATGATCTGTCTCTTACACGATCCACTGTAATGAAACTCTTCTTGAAGCCTCACCTGCCGTGGGGTCCGACCCTGGCGACAGCACGAAGATGAGCGGGGAGCAGCAGTGGGAGTCCTTATAGCTCCCTGCCAGGTCAAAGGTGGGCGGTTCAATGTAGGCCTGCCCCATGTTGTTCACGATAAAGTCCTGCACGGCTGGGACCAGTTTGTCCGGTCGGAAACACCTGATCACCACCATCCTGTCCATCGGCGTCAGGCTGTCCCACGGCTCCGACAGCTGCTCCTTGTGAGGCCTCCCTGAGTCATACAGCTTCTTCCACCTTAAAACATTCTTCTGGACGTGTTCGTGGAGGCCTTTCAGGTTCGGGAGTTTGGATGCTCGCACGATTTCTGACCAGGATTTGTCCGAGAGCCATTCGGGCGCGGGGTTCGGGTGGGGGTTGTCCAAAGCGATGCCGCCGGTCAACAGAAAGCGCCATACTCCGTCGTCCACTTTACCTTTGCCCTGTAGGATGCCAACGGTAAGGAGCAGGGAGAAAAGCAGCTTATCCTTCTCGAACAGTGATCGGCAGACGTTATTGTAGATGCTCAGAGTGAAGTGATCCACGATGTTCCTGATTCTCTCCATAACGTCCTCACTTTTTAAGCTTTGAGCGATGGAAACCAGGTAGAGATTAATGAACCACGTGAGCGAATACTGGTACATAGGTTCGATGTTGGCGAGCTCGGATATGCAGAAGAACAGAATAGAGGAGTGTACAGCCACAGGTCTGTAGCCCATGCGAGTACGATCAATTTCCGTCTCAGTCACGCTGGCGATCTTCTGCTTCTCTGAAATCTTCTCAGACAATAATTTGGACGACGATAAAATTTTGATGGCAGTTTCGTCTTCTAAAATGTTGCCTTCAGAAGAGGAGAGCACTTGTAAGATCTTGTCCTCGATCTCTTTCAGTTGTTTATTGTTGGCGGCGCTTTCCAGGATGAGCTGGTTCTTCTTCTCCTCCAATTCTGGTTTCTCCTTGGCAGCCACCAGTCCTAGGAGCTGGTCTTGCAAACCTTGAGGGGTGATCATGAAGTTGATGAGGCACACTTTGACGGCCACTTCGGGGAGGTAGTGAGGGTTCCTGAGTCTCGTGGTCATGTAGAAGAGGAAGTCTTTGGAGTATTCCACAATGTTCTCCCCGATCTTCATGTACTCCACACCCTGCTGTTTGAAGGTCTGTTTGAGCAGCACTGGCTCCAGCACAGGGTCCAGTTCTTCACCGACGTTCTCCAGAAGGACAGGGGTACCAAACTGGATAGAGTTCTCCAGGACTCTCACGTAGTTTGGGTCGGATAGTTTGATGACAGAAAGCTTGTTGGCTTTCTCCATGTTCTTGATCCATTTGTTGGCTTGTCCCTGGGGGTCGATCATGAGGGGCCAGCGGCGAGAGTTAAAGACGATGATGCCGCTGTCGGTGGAGAAGGAGTCCACGGGCAGCCCGGCGATACTCCAGGCACGGATGGACACTTGGTTCCCCAGAGTGCTGCTCAGGGTGAAGTCCTCCGAACAGGGGATCTTCTTCTCCTGACAGAGAAGGTGCCACTGCTTCTGACACTGTGTCCTGTAGTCCACCGTGAAGGCCCCCAGGTAGGACACGGTCCCAGAGGACAACAGGATGTCCCCGGTCAGATTAATGTATCTGCACAAGAGGAAAAACAGGATCATTTCAGAGACGTGAGTGACAAATAAAGAAACATGGCTTATTCAGATCTAATACTGATTGTGATGTAATATTTGCTCTGTGCGCTGCACCAAGTAAGCCCTGATTATATGTTGAGCTACATTATGAAAGGTGTAATGCTCCCTACAACAGAAGCATCTTGGCAGACTGAGCTTGACTTGATTGGATCCCGAAATAATGCTATAAACTTCTCCTGTCTGCTGATATACAGATGATGTAACAAAATCCAGACACTGGAGTGAATCTGCTAATTAGCTAAATAAGACTCCACTTACAAAACAAGAACAATAATGTGAACCGTAAATATGAACCAACAACCTACCGGTGTAAACACTGCACCATCTAACCTGTGCTAAAAGCACTTGCCTCTCCAACATTCTCAAATGTTCCACTTATAGTTGTGATTATCTAATAACGTCCACAAGCATTTTACACAACACACACTTATGTTCACCACTATTTTACTGAGATGCAAATATATTTACATTTTATGTAACAAAGTTTCTGTTACCTGATGCCCAGAAGCCTGGCTGCCTCTGTCCACCTGTCCTTCTCCCCTCCCAGTCCTCCGATGAGCTTCTCGGCCCTGACCAGCTTCTCGGAGCACAGTTGGATGTTGTCCTCCAGCTCTTTCTTCTTCCTGTTCATGGCCTGCAGGTCATCATTGAGCCGCTGCAGTCGGTCTTCCACCGTCTTCAGCTCAGTTCTCTTCACAGACAGCATGTCCATCTGCACGGACAGCTCTGCCTCCGCCAGCTTCAGCCTCTCCTTCTTAGGGGCCACCACCTTCGCCATGCGCTCGTACGCCTCCATGGCACGCACCCACTTACACAAACCCTCACACGCTGAAGACACGTTCTTTATGACCGCCGGTTGGAACTCGGGGTTATCGATGAACTTTTCTCTGATTTTCTTGATGAAGGCAGCAGGGATGTTGTCTTTGTCATACGCTTTAAGATTGTCCAAGAACTTCAGATCTCCTAACAGCTTCTTAGAGGGGCCCCAGTAGTCCTCAATCATTTTACCTGCAACATGCACAGTTGTGGAACGTTTTCAAGTTGAACTAAACCCAGTGTGTTTTCATGCTGCAGAGGGTACAGGGCACTAAACCCAGTGTGTTTTCATGCAGAGGGTGTGGGGCACTGACTGCACCTGAGCCGCTGGGGTCTGGTTTCCTCTCTGGTTTGATGCCCTTCATCACACAGATGGACTCCATCACCAGTTTGACAGGTCCTGGAGGGTTGGTCATGGACTTGACCACCGTGATGTCGGCTGGTTTCAGAGTGTCCAGAGCAGAGAGAGCGGCCTCCAGGTCGGGCATCGCTTCAGCCAGGTCCCCCTCACACTCATCCTGGAAGGCAAGGCAGAGAAATGAAAACTAAATGTTATGATTTATTTAGGCATTTGAAATATTTTTGAATATGTTTGGTGTTTTAGATTTTATAATGAAAAATGTATGTGTATTGAAAGCAGGTTCTACTACAGCACTTTCTCTTTCACTCTGACGTCTACTTCTGTTAACGCTCACAAATAAAGAAGGCTTTTTAGTCCTGAGGGTCAAATTATGCAGCCTGAAGTGATACAAATCAAATTTTTTCGCCCCTATGCTCTCGTATCTGATCTTTTAATGTCAGTCTGAACGACACAGATCTGATTTTTTCAAATGTGACCCAGGCCACTTGGATATGTGCTCCTAAAACCGATACATATCTGATCTTTTGACATGCGACTTCAGTCTGAACGGCCAGGTCACAATCATCCACCTACACGTCACAAATGTTCACAAATGTTTTTATCATATGAAAATTATGTCTGAACTCTGTGTGAGTGAAGCAGTGAATCACAGATCAATCCCTCCACTCTGACTCTGCACCCACACGTTCCCTTTTCCGGACGTCGCTGCCACTGCTTCACAAAACGCCACGTCCAAAAACCTCGTCCTTCTCCTTTTCAATCTCCTCCTTAAAACAAATCATCTGTGCATGTTCTGGCTTCAGGTACGAGAGGAACTTTAAAATCGCCAGGTGCTCAATGCTGCGTCTATGTTTAGGTGACTTTGTTTCGTTGTGTCCTCCAAAGCTCATGCAGGACAGAAAAAAAAACAGATTTCACAAATAACTGAACTGAACATTAAGCCCTGCAGTCTGAACGTAGAATACGATGCATACACTTTAAAAACATGGTTCACTTGCTTGTGTAGAGTGTGTTTAAAGATTGCACATGTTTTTTTTAGTCATAGACAGACATGAATCACTGTTATACAGAGGAGAACACGTACCTTGATGGCTTTAGCCGCTGCTGCCGCCTCATTGGCCACCTTCTCGTCAGCAGACACCAGCTCTTTCTTAGCGTCCACCTCCACAGTCTCCTTCTTGATCTTTGCCATCATCTTATCCGTGTCTGCAGAGGTCTGGACGAGCTCGGGCTGGAGCGCCGTTAACTCCTGCTGCATCACTGACACCTGCAGTAGAGCCAAGTGACAGTGGTACAGGAGGAACAGGAGCAGCAGATACTGACACACAAGACAAGTATAATTCACAGGAAATACCCAAACCATGAAAAAAGTGACACTTATAGTCCAAAAATACAGTAATATGAGCCGTATAAGCCCATATTAAAAGGACCTGTGAGGAGGCGAACTCGAGCTTCTGCAGGCCCACAATGTATCTGTTGCGGGCCGTGTCCACCTCGCTCCTCTTGGCGTTGAGCAGAGTCTTGAAGGTGAGTATGAGCTCCAGGTACGAGGTGGGGGTCACGTAGTTGTGCCTCCTCAGTGTGGAGAAGAAGCGCTCGGACATGTCATTCACGCTGGTCTGGAAGGTCTTACACATCTCCACCACTCTGCGAACAACCAGGCACTGGGATCAGGGATGTGATCATGTGACCTCCAGGTACTGACAGTTTGCAGCTGATATCATCAATATTCCCTGGTGACGTGATGCTAACTGTAGGCACTGCTCTGTCTGAGCCTCTGTTAGACTTTAATTTGAGCTTTATTTTTAAGTAATCTGAGAACACTGCAAATTTCTCTGATCTGGTCAAGATTTTAAAACTCATATTAGGCTATTCATCTTGTTTTCAGATTTATGATCTACTTACTCTTTCTGAATTGGATTAATTCTAGTCTAGAGGTCGTTTATTTTAACATAACTTGTCAAGTAAAATGATCTTGCAGGATGGACAGATCATTTCTCTTTCGCAAATACAGACAAAAAAGTTTTATGATCTTCTGAAAACTCAAGAAAAAATACAAGATGGATTTAAAGAGCACATTTTCATTTTTCTGTGATCAAACCAAAGACGTTCATTTTGTCTACTTATGTACTTTAACTTCTTGGGTTCTTTTATAAAAACAATACCACAACCTACCAGGGAGAGTTCTGAAGATGCAGCAGCAGCAGAAACACGTCAACAAGGTAAATACACTTTACTGTATTGCCTCTTACTCGCGCCTGATGTCCTCCTCCAGCTCCACCTCCTCCAGGAACTTGTGGGCCACCATCTCCAGCGCGTCGTTGGGCCAAGCGTGGAACCAGTCGATGGTGCAGCAGTTTATGATAGAAGGGAACATCCTCAGACGGTTCCTGAACGCATCTCCAATGGGGCTCATGGCTGAAACGGTTGCAGTTGGTGCAGTTAAATAATTATATTGTGAAAAGCAAAAGCAATAAAACTGTAAAAAAAATGTGGCTTTTTCTACTAATTACATATTTTGAAAAGTAATTCCAAAGAGAGATTTTTCCTTCCTCTTGTGTGAACAGTTTTCTCATACCGAGGACAATGTGGAGGTTGGTCTTCAGTCTGTCTGTGAAGTAGCTGTACATGGACAGGGGCGTGGGGTCGATCTTCTTGCCCTCTGTGCGAGCAATCCCCTGCATCTTCTCGATGACGTCGGCGCGCTCGTCCGCCGCGAAGATATTGGGCACGTCTCCGGTGTTCAGGAGCATGTTTATATCTTCTAACATGGCTTCATCTTTGATCTGACTGTCGCTGAAGAGGAACACCAGGCTCCTGCCCTCCACCCCGGCCTTCAGCATGATCCTCTTCAGGTCCTCTCTCCAGTCGCTCAGGCTGTAGTTCTTCGTCAGCTCGATTTGGAACAGGACGTAGTCGTTTATGAAAGTGCCCAGTTTAGTGGCGCTCTGCCTGCAGGAGGGAGGTCAAAAAGATCGAAAATCACAGGCTAATCGATAATAAAACTCATATTGAAAAATCTGTGTGTCATTCGTTCATTTGTTTTTCAATATAAAACCAAAAATAGAAAATGAAAAAACAACAGTTTTCTTCATTATTTCTCTCCAAAACCAAAATGAAAAAACAGATAACAATTCGTTTTTTCATTTTTTGATTTTGTGTTTAAATGAAAAATGGAAAAAAACAGATAACGACCGTTTCCTGTTTCCATGACTTACACTGTGATGCGGGACTTTTGCGCCACATACAGACTGAACCAGGACCGAATCAGGACTAAACCAGGACTAAACCAGGTCTAAACCAGGACTAAACCGTTTTCAGTCCTGGTCTGGTCCCGGTCTGGCCCCAGTCTCAGTCCCGGTCTCAGTCCCGGTCTCAGTCCCGGTCTGGCCCCAGTCTCAGTCCCGGTCTCAATCATGGTCCCAGTCTCAGTCCCGGTCTCAATCATGGTCCCAGTCTCAGTCCCGGTCTCAGTCCTGGTCTCAGTCCCGGTCTGGTCCCGGTCTGGCCCCGGTCAGGCCCCGGTCTGGCCCCGGTCTGGCCCCGGTCTGGCCCCGGTCTCAATCATGGTCTCAGTCCTGTTCCTGTTCCCAGTCTCAGTCCCGGTCTCAGTCCCGGTCTCAGGCCTGGTCTGGTCCCGGTCTGGCCCCAGTCTCAGTCCCAGTCCCAGTCTCAATCATGGTCCCAGTCTCAGTCCCGGTCTCAGTCCTGGTCTCAGTCCCGGTCTCAGGGCTGGTCTAGTCCCAGTCTGGCCCCGGTCTCAGTCCCGGTCTCAGTCCTGGCCTGGTTCTGGTCTAAGTCCTGCTATTAGTCCTGGTCTGCTTTTGGTCTGGTCCCGGACCTGGTTCAGTCCTGGTTCAGTCCTGGTTCAGTCCTGGTTTAGTCCTGGTTTAGTCCTGGTTTAGTTCGGCATCGCAGTTTATGTCACTGGAATCGGTCGTTATCCATTTTTTCCACACAATATCCAAAACTGAAACAGTTAATCATTATCTGTTTTTTCATTTTGGTTTTGGAGAAAAATAATGAAGAAATTAGTTGTTTTTTCATTTTCTTATTTTTGGTTTTATATTGAAAAATGAATGAACAAATCATACATGGATTTCAAAACTACAGAGCTCAGCATAAATGAGTAAACCCTCTCTGAAAAGTAACATTTTGTACAATATGCCAATGAACACAAAAAATACTTGCAAATGTGCACAGACTCAGTTTAATACAGCTTCTCTTGAATTTAGAACAAAAAACTAAGATTAATAATACAACTTAGATTACATCATTTTCAGTTTTAGTCAAATCAGGTTGGTGCAAAAATGAGTACAGCCCACTGAAAGTCTCAGAGCAAAACAGGTGCCCATCAGACAGTCGGCTACAAAAGGAAGTTACTTAAAGCAAACCTCTTCCCATTTCCTGCTGTCAGCAAAGACACCAGAGGGAAGAATTTATCCACAACTATCAAGGGAAGAAAGATAAAAACTTAAAGGAAACAACAACCACACATTAATCACACACTCAACTAAACTAACGTTATAAACAGAAGTAATAATTAATTAATTAATAAGTAACTTGTTCACTCAGACTAATTCTACAATTAAAATTAAAAATCGATTTCATGATGTAGATATTTGCACAGACAAAGATGCTACAATTGTTCACAGACACATGTCGAGCTTTAAACTGCATAAATCTTTCTGTCTATGCAAATATCTACATCATGAAATCGATTTTAATTTTAATTCTAGAATGAGTCTGAGTGAACAAGTTCCTTCTGTTTTATTCATGACCATAACATGAGTTGAGTTTGTTGTGTGACTAATGTGTCTCGTTGTTTCCTTTAAGTTTTGCTCTTTCTTCTCTTGATCTTTGTGGATAAATTGTTCATGTTAGAATGTTTATAATTTGTGGAGTTTGTTGGTTCAAGATTTGGTGATGGGGCAGATTTATGAAGCTGCTGGAGAATACGACACACATTTATACAGAAAACCATTAACCAGAAGTGACATTTACCGACACTTCCTGCTCGTTGGAAAAAAGGTCTATATAGTGAAATAAAATAAAAAAACTCCAGGACAATATAGAGCGGGTTAATACAAACATTTTAAGACTAAAATGATGAGGCTCACAGCTGCAGTTACAGAGAGCAGGGCAAAATTTTTTCAATAAAAAGTGAACTGGAGGCAGAGTAAACAGAGCCGAATCGCGCCCGAGCTCACTTCCTACTTGGAACACGGCAGCAGCAGGTGAGCTACATCCATTTGTAAATACGCTCCATGGTATCAAATGTAATCCTTAGTATAGACAGTTTGAAACGTTAGAGTGAAACTACCTGCCCGACCCTCCGATTCCGACCAGCAGGAGGTGCCCGTTGTCTTGCTTGAGGACTCTGCAGATGCGGGACACGTGCTCGATGGCGAACTTGAACATGACGAGGCCCATGGGAGCCTTGCTGCTGCTGTTGTACTCGTCCAGGTAGAACTCCATGACCTTCTGCAGCGCACGGAGGTCCGTGATCTCGTCGTACGCTCTGGAGTCACCGTCGGGTTTGGCGTAGTCTCCAAAAAACAGGCTGCGGATGTGCTCGTCCGTGATCTTTCCGTCTGGGCTGAGGTGACCGAGGAGCTGCGAGGAAAGGAACGGTTGGCATGAGTTAAAGGAGCATCCGCCACGTTTACATGAGAGCTTTAATTAAATATAAATGTATTCATATATATATATATATATATATATATATATATATATATATATATATATATATATATATATATATATATATAATCTGAATAAATATTAATTCAGCTTTAAAAAGACCATGCAGGGTGTCCCCAGGTTTGACTATCCCAAATTTAAGACTTTTTTAAGACCAACATTGCACCCATTATCCAGATCCAATTCTAATAATGACCATTACCCACTAATTCAAATAACAAAAAATACTTTCATTATAAAATTATTTATTAGTATGCGTTGCTTGAAAAACGTCCAAAAGTTAATTCAAAACGTTCTAAGAAACTAAGTTTTGTTTGTGCATACTCCAAATTAGACGTTCATTCCTGTTATGTGATTTTATGTTGTTGTTTTCTTCCTCCCTCCATTTAACATCACACTGGAGCTCGGTCGGTTGAGTAAACAAAAAAATAGGCTAATGAAATTTAAGACCTTTGTGAAAAAAAATAAGACTTGGACAACATAATTTAAGACTTTTTAAGGCCTTAATTTAGGAACATGATATTTAAGACCTTTTTAAGACTTTTAAGACCCTGTGGCTACCCTGCCATGTTAACAATGCAAAATCCTTTATAATTACCATATTTTCCGGGCGATAGGTTGCGCTCTTAAGCCTCCAACCTCTTCAAAAAATGACTGCGTGCTCCACAATCCAGAGCGCCCCATACACAAATCCCCGACTTCAGTAAACTACAAAGCCGCACCACCCGCAGAACAGGCAAACACACACTGAGCAGACAGTGACCGCACAGCGAAACACACCCACAGACACACTCATCACTCCACACTGACGATGAACGGAACGGAGGAACGAACCGAAAAAGCGAGTGCAATGTGCCACTTCTAGACACAACTGAACAACTGAGTCACTGCGAACACGCCGACAATCCATTGGTCCCAGACAGCACCCTCCCTACACGCCACAACTGAACAAAGCCCAGAGTCACCGTGAACGCCACAAACAAACAAAACCACTGACCCATCACACTGTTGTGTTTCCTTTAAAGTCCCACGCGGTTTATTTGTGAAAAAAGTTTGAAAATAGACCATTTAATGAGAGCGCCTAATAGTGCAGAAAATATGGTAGATGCAGATATTTCACAGTGGATTTACCGTATTTTTCAAATTATAAGGCAGAATAGCAATAATGTTGAATTCTCTTGTCTATTTTCATACATAAGTCACACTGGATTATAAGGCACAATAAGAGAAACAAACGGACGACACTTGAGACTGATCCTTAGTCCAGGTGTCCACGATCCATCCATCCACGAGGACGACTCAGATATACACTGAGTAATAATGTGTTTAATGCAGCTTTGACACATTTGTTTATGTTTTACAGAAATGAAACTTAAAACCATATGAGTCATTTACATAAAGTATAAGCGCTGAAAAAAAACTGCTCGCTCCAGATTCTGTTGGACTAAAGGACATGACTCAGCGAGGCTCCTGACTACAGTCGCCGTAATGCTCCAACAATTCATCAAGCGGTGCGACTATGTAGTTTTCCAAAGTCGTACTAAAACATTTTGACAGATTTTTGAGCGCTGTGTACCACATAAAATCAGTTCGAGGTCAGAAAGCACAACCAGAATTAATACATAAGGCGCACTGTAGATTTCTGAGAAAATTAAAGGATTTTAAGTGTGTCTTTTAGTCCGGAAAATACGGTAGTTTGGCCTCAAGAGCTGCTGTACTGAGACACAAACATGGGAGAAAAAAATCCAGCACAGACCCTTTACTGAATACTTAAATACTATTGTGACTGATCGTATTGCAGATAAAGAGTTGTATTCCATGGCCTCACCTTGTCGACGCTCTGTTTAAAGTATTCGGACGTCCTCTGTTTGACGATGGTGAAAAAAGTCTCTTTGTCTTCGTCGTTGATGAGTCTGTCTTGGAAAACTCGATAGACCTCATGGATCCACAGGCGGATCAGTTTGTCCCCATCCTACCACAAAAGAGACATTTAACCAAACTCCGTCAACAGTAACACAAGAGCAGGAGAGCACTGTGAGTCTGACCTGCAGGTGTGTGTGTGGAGCCAGCAGCACTCCCCTGACCACCCGCGCAAAGTCTCTCAGGTTAAAGATGTAGTGAGACTTGGACGGAGTGGGCAGGAACACTTCCATAGCATCTTTATACACGGACAGTGTGGCCTGGACCATCATCTTCCCCAGTCTGTACAAACACACACACATGAAAAACACTCAGAAATAAACATGTCAGAAATAAACATGAAAACATCAGATGCATCGTTGGGCGACACAACACACTGAGACTATTCTGTGCAGATTTTATATGTTTTTAATATTTTAGTTAGTTAGTTTATTTTCTCCGGGCAATTAACATAATCATACATCATGTTTCAATGATTTATGCATATCATTAAGGTTATTCTACAGACCGAAGGGGTTTAGGCTGAAGTTTAACACTTGTTTTGCCAAAACCCTATCACATAATAGAACAGGATACAAGACGGCAGAACTATTTACAGAAAACAACCCAAAACTAATCTTTTATGAGTGCAGGAAAGAATGTATACTTAAATCTTTTGGTTTACACATATACATAATACAGAACACAAACCAATATACCTCGATGTCCATATACACATAAACACACACACACGCACACACACAGACCATGTACATGTTAATATTTATACCTATTGGTTTATAAATACAATTAAATATATAAATATAATTTAAGTTTCAGTTAATCTGTAAGTTCCATAAGGTAAAAAATAATTGATTGTATTCCTCTAGATTCGCTATAATTTTGGTCTTATATATTTTTTTTTATGTGTAAATAGTTTTAGAGCCTTTTAAAGTTTCATCCAGACTATTCCACAGATGAACTCCTCTGATGGAGACACGTCGTCTTCTCAGACTGCTCCTCACATGAGCTTTCTGAAAGAGGCCTAATCCTCTCAGACTGTCCTCACTCTCTCTGGGTTTGAACATCTCCTGGATATACTGAGGGAGCAGATTGTTATGTGCCTTAAACATGACAACTGCAATATATTTAGATCAACGAGATCATGTAATTTTAATGTATTTACTTTAATAAAGAGAGCATTTGTTGGGGCATAGTAATCAGCATTATTTACAATTCTACTAGCTTTCTTTTGCAGTAAGAAAATGGAATTGTTATTTGTTTTAGAATTATTCAGCCATATTTCCACACAATAGTTGAGGTGTGGACAGGTGAGAGCGTTACACAACAGTTTGAGTGCATTCATATTTTACAGAGTATTTCATTTTACATAATATAGCAATAATTTTTTAAATCTTTGTCTTCAGTATTTGATTTTGAGAAAAAGAAAATCCATAAATGTTTCACCTGATGGTTTATCAAGCCTGACAAGTGCTGTGTCTGAATGTCCCCCCTGACCCCTGACCCCTTGACCCCTGACCCCTGAGTCACTACACAGACCTGAACTTTAAAGTGCACTCATTCACTGAGAGATTCAGACTTTACTTTTTCATTTGACTCTGGTGTCACAAAATTTAAACATGGATTTCTGTACTAAATAATACGATTACACACTGACAAATATTTATGGACACATAATAATCAAGTTTTTGTCAAGATGGATGATCTAAAACACATTTAGATGGAGCTCAGAATGCTCTGCTCCACCTTGTGATGTCATGAAGCGGTTAGTTTTCAAGTGAACAGCTACATTTTACCTTTAGGTCAGAATAGATTGGCAATTTCAGGGCTGAAATGATCCAAATGATTCTAGTGAAGATGTGTAAAGGTTAGAAACACAGTGGAGCACTTCCTGTATTACCACATGACATCACAAGGTGGAACAGAGCGTTTTCCGTTTGAGAAAAGTATGGGCCCTGTAAATTATCCAGTAAAGATGATGCTGTTAAAAATATTTAGTCTGTGTCTGTTTTCTGGTCCTACCTGTAGAACGAAGCATCAAAGCCTTTGCTAAAATGCCAGTCTGTGATGGTGCTGAAGATCTTTGTGAGAGTCTCGTCATCGAAGGAGTCGAAGGAGACGACATTCAAGGTGACGAGTGAAGCGGCCTGGAGGTCAGAATGTCCACAACATCAGAACTACAACAACATCAGAACTACAACAACATCAGAACTACAACAACACCAGAACTACAACAACACCAGAACTACAACAATACCAGAACTACAACAACATCAGAACTACAACACCACCAGAGCAACAACACCAGAGCTACAACATCCACACAAAACCAGAGCAACAACAACACCAGTACCAGTAACACATGTAACCTGTGAGGAGTGCAGTCAGAGGTGGGAGTACTCAGTTATATTTACTTGAGAAACTTTTTAAAGAACTACTTTTCCAGCAGCATACATTTACTCCTCCTTGAGAAATATTTGTATTGAAGTAACAGTATTCTTACTTGAGTAAAAGTTGTGTTTCCTCTTCCCACTGTGAGTGAGTCTAGAGCAGAGGTGTTCAACTAAAGTTTGAGGAGGTCTGGTTAGAGAAAATCTCCTCCAGCAGAGGTGCGGGACATCATAATGTCTAACTTGTGTTATGATTGTGAGACAGAAGTAGCCCTAGTTTTATCAATGTCTAAATGTCTGAACAATAGACTGTCAAATCAACAAAAATACAAGTTAAAAACATTGTAGTGTTAACACTAAACATACAGTGGGCTACATTAGATACAGGACTGCAGTTTAAAATTAATTAGAGAAAATAAATCAAATGGCTCAATTGTGCATCTTAAAACAAAATGCTTAATTTCAGAAAAAAATAACAGCTAGTTTCCCTTTTTCTTTAGCTTTCACGTCTCGACTTTACAGTCTCAATACATTTTTCAACATCTCATCTCAAAACCTCTTTCCTCTGTGTCTGTGTTTAGAACTGTCATCACCTTGAATACACAGATTTGATTGGATATTGTTTGTTCCTTGATCCAGTAATACAGTGCTGTAAAGTTTAAACTGAATAGGCTCTATTCAACTGATTCAACTTATAAAATGTGGAGTGCAGTGAGGTGAGATGTACCTGTAATGTCATTCTTTCCACCACCAGGGGGCCCCATTGCAGACATGAAGAGCACGTCCACGATGTTGATCCTGGAGGTGTCCTTCTTGTCGTACCAGGGCTGATGGTTGATCCACTGTCTGAGCAGCTCAATGGGAGGCTGCGCTCCGTACATCTCTTTTGCCGGCATGTTCAGGTCGTCTGAGCAGAACGGAGAAAAAAGATGAAAAATACTCAAAGTTATGAAACTGAAATTTCAAACTTTCGACTTTCAAATTTTGATTTTAAGGAATAAACTCAGTATTCAAAACCAATTCCACAATAATAAAAAACAAAACAAAAAAAACACACATTCTTTTTTTAGACAATATCCTGTGATTTTCCACATTAAATGGTAGAACTTTCTTTTCTATTCCCATGTGTCCATGTGTCTAAACCAGGTCTAAACCAGGTCTAAACCAGGTCTAAACCAGGTCTAAACCAGGTCTAAACCAGGTCCATGGGTGTATACTAGTCTACTATGTGCTCTTATACTCGTTCTGATCCAGTTCCAGATCTATCTCAACACGTTCAGGAAAGGTTCTGCTCTGTCCTGTCAGTTTCTTTTATAGTATCGATACTTGTGAAAAATGAGGATCTAGTTTCGATACTGGTTTTATTATTGATTAGTATCTGATTTTGAATATGTCTGACAACAGCTCCTTTTACCTTTTGTTTAAAAGATTTTGGCAGTTCCAGGGTTGAAATTATTTAAATGATCCTAACTAAGGTGTGTGGAGTTTAAAAACACAGTGGAGCACTTCCTGTTTTACCACATGACATCACAAGGTGGAACAGTGTATTCTGTTTGAGGAAAGAACTAAATAAGGAGCCTAAATCTGCAAGGATTGTGTGTTAAACGTGTGTGAATGAACTCCAGGTCTGATTGTGAGGAGGAAACAGCATTAGAGACCAAACCAGAACAAGTTACAGATTACAAGTCAGATCTCACAGTCAGAATGTTTGTTTTTTGAGGTATTTTTGAGCTATAAAACCACCTATAATTGAATAAATGTAAAGTAGAGCTGTTTAATGTCGCACTGTGGAACATTTGAAGCAGAGCATTGGCATATCCATGGAGAAAAGTTAGACAACCAGAAAAGTTGCACCTTTAAAACTACTGAAACTACCAAAGAAAATCACTGACCCACATAGATGACGCACTTCTTTCCCACTGGCGGTCCGAACACGCCCTTCCTGCGGCGGTCCAGCTTGGCCATGATGATGTCTTGCGTCTGATTGGCCGAGGTGCGCGCGGAGAAGTTGATGCAGTTGGGCGTGTATCGTTCCTTGGGCAGTTTGACCAGGAAGCCGTTGTTAATGACGGACTTGCCGGTTCCAGTGGGCCCCACGAAGAGCACGGGCACTTCGTGGGCCAGGTACGTGCGCAGGAAAAACAGCTGTCGGGCTGTCTCCATGGTGGGGATGATCAAGTCTGATACCTGGGCAAAGGAGAGACACAGGTAAGTCTTTATATATAGCGCTTTCACAGACATTTTCTGTCCCCAAAGACGCTTTACACAGCATTATTCAGCATTATTCATTCACTCTATACCCTGGTGATGGTAAGCTACTATTGTAGCCACAGCTGCCCTGGGGCACACTGACAGAGGCGCGGCTGCCATGCCACTCGGCGCCATCGGTCCCTCCGACCACCACCATCACTCACACACACACCACTTTCATACTAGGCAATGTGGGTGAAGTGTCTTGCCTAAGGACACAATGATTGAATTGATTGTATTTAACTGACCATGACTATCAACTGTTTATGGAGACCTATGTAGCATGTTTTGGGTTGATGGGGGAAACCGGAGCACCCAGAGGAAACCCATCCAGACACGGGGAGAAACATGCAAAATCCACACAGAAAGGCCCGGGTGACCCGGGGATCGAACCCAGAACCTTCTTGCTGTGAGGCATGAGTGCTAGCCACTCAGCCACCGTGCCGCCGGTACGCAAGGTAATGTGACATCACGAGATCCCGCAGCACTTTCACTGTTTTAAATATGTGGGATATGGCGGCTAGGGTCAATGGTCACATTTTTATACAGCGCTTTTCCACCTTCAAGGCTCAAAGGAACCACTCACACATTCACAAATTCACACACCAGAGCACACAGACACTGGCAGAGAGGTGGATGAAGTGTCTTGCCCAAGGACACAACAACAGCATTCATCTGTAGGAGCTGGAATTACACCACCAACCTGTGAATCGGTGGATCTGACGCTCAACCCATGATGTTTATGACGAGAGCGGGATTCGAACTGCCAAACTTTGGATCAGTGGACAAACACTCTACTGATTGAGCTACTGACGCCCCGGTAGTGCATAAATATCAAAATATCAAAATTTTGCTTAATGTGATGATACGGTATCGATATTGTGGCTGCTGTATCGATATTTCGATCTGTGCCCACGAAAGTGAGGACTGCAATATACCACCAATGCGACCATAGTTTTGCAATGTAAACACACAAATTGTGCAAACTCACTCGTGCACAGCCCTGCACCGAACCCAACATCCCGTACCAAAACAAAAAAATTATTACAGATTTTGTTGGAGGTTGAATTCCTGATCTTAAACTCACATTTGCTTTTGGTGAGATGGTGTTTTCTGCTGCGGTGATTGAATCTGTCCAAACGTTCCACTGGCCCTGTCCCTCCTTATGGAAGTAGTAATCATAGACCGAACCTTCAAAACACAAAAACAGGCTGTCAATATATAATAGTGCTGTAGTCAAGACTGCACTAATCGAGACCAAGACCAGTCTGAGACCAGGACAAGACCAAGACTTTTAAAGCCTGTTTATAAATCTATCAAAGTCGTCACCCTCGTTGCGCTCATCGCAACGCATCGTCAAGTGTCACAACTCAAGTCCAAGACAAGACCGAGTCCAAGCACCTTCAAGACTAAGACAAGACCGAGTCGAAACGCACTGGAGTCCGAGACAAAACCAAGATCATAAAAAAACAGACCATCTCGAGTACTATGACACTAATATTTAAAGGTCCAATATTACACAAAATGGCTCACGTGAGCTTTAAGTCGTGTCGTCGTAAGTCGTGACCTGGAATTGTGTTTTGTTTCCTTCACATGTTTGAGTAAATCTTTATTATTAGTCTGTCTACATCTCCAAAGCTCAGAATTCTCTGTTCCACCTTGTGATGTCATGAAGTGGTAGTTTTCAAGTGAACAGCTTCTTTTACCTTTAGTTGAGTAAAGATTGGCAATTCACTTTCTGTATTTCCAAGGGACATCACGAGGTGGAACAGGGTGTTTCCTGTATGAGAGAAGAACTTGTGCTAAATGTGCAGGTTTGTGAGTTAAACATGTGAATGAAACAAAACACAACTCCAGGTCTGTGTGTGTGATGAGGAAACAACATTAGAAAACAGTGTAATATGGACCCTTTACATTACAGCGTTGACAGTTCTGAACCGTGGTCTAAAGCGGCACCTCTGTCGGGGAACAGGTGGTTCTTCTTGAGTTTGATGCTCTTGGGTCGGGGGTGCTCCTCTCTGGTGCCCAGGAGCAGTTCTCTGTAGAACAGGTCAAACTTCTTGCGACTGTCTCCGGTAACGGTCCCTCCCAGAGTCCACACCACCGAAAACAGGAAGAGACCCTGCAGCCACGCGGAGATCTGCAGCCCGGACATGGCACGGTCACCTTCAGGCTCAGACGCAGATATTTCATCTGTAGAGGAAAAGGAACATTAAGAAGAGGACGAGATGATTTACACAAACAGGAAAAGTTTGTACATGATTTCATTTATGTTTCTCCTTTATTTCCGTGAATTTTTGCATTGTAGAGTCTCCCTGAAGCAGTGTTGTCACGATTCAAACATTTCAAACTTGATTTTAGTACTAAAGAACAGACTTTATACTCAGTACAAAAACCACGATGATAATAAAAAACACTTTTTTTTTTAAATACAATGTGATTTTCCACATTAATTTGCAGTAAGTTCTTTTCTGTTCCCATGTGCCCTTATATCTGTGTAATCCCTCAGTGGTCCAGGTCTAAACCAGGTCTAAACCAGGTCTAAACCAGGTCTAAACCAAGTCTAAAAACCAAGTCTAAACCAGGTCTAAATTAGGTCTAAACCAGGTCTAAACCAGGTCTAAACCAAGTCTAAACCAGGTCTAAACCAGGTCTAAACCAGGTCTAAACCAGGTCTAACCCAGGTCTAACCAAGGTCTAAACCAGGTCTAAACCAGGTCTAAACCAGGTCTAAACCAAGTCTAAAAAAACCAAGTCTAAACCAGGTCTAAAAGTCTAAACCAGGTCTAAACCAGGTCTAAACCAGGTCTAAACCAAGTCTAAACCAGGTCTAAACCAGGTCTAAACTAGGTCTAAACCCGGTCTAAACTAGGTCTAAACCAAGTCTAAACCAAGTCTAAACCAAATCTAAACCAGGTCTAAACGAGGTCTAAAAAACAAGTCTAAACCAAGTCTAAACCAAGTCTAAAAGGTCTAAACCAGGTCTAAACCAGGTCTAAACCAGTCTAAACCAAGTCTAAACCAGTCTAAACCAGGTCTAAAACCAGGTCTTCTAAACCAGTCTAAACCAGGTCTAAACCAGGTCTAAAACCAGGTCTCAGGTCTAAACCAAGTCTAAACCAGGTCTAAATCAGGTCTAAACCAGGTCTAAAACCAGGTCTCTAAACCAGGTCTAAACCAAGTCTAAACCAAGGTCTAAACCAGGTCTAAACCAGGTCTAAACCAAGTCTAAAAACCAAGTCTAAACCAAGGTCTAAACCAGGTCTAAACCAGGTCTAAACTAGGTCTAAACCAGGTCTAAACCAGGTCTAAACCAGGTCTAAATCAAGTCTAAATCAGGTCTAAATCAGGTCTAAATCAGGTCTAAATCAGGTCTAAACCAAGTCTAAACCAAGTCTAAATCAAGTCTAAACCAGGTCTAAACTAGGTCTAAACTAGGTCTAAACCAAGTCTAAACCAAGTCTAAATCAGGTCTAAATCACGTCTAAATCAGGTCTAAACCAGGTCTAAACCAAGTCTAAACCAGGTCTAAACTAGGTCTAAACCAGGTCTAAACCAGGTCTAAACCAAGTCTAAACCAAGTCTAAACCAGGTCTAAACCAGGTCTAAACTAGGTCTAAACCAGGTCTAAACTAGGTCTAAACCAAGTCTAAACCAGGTCTAAATCAGGTCTAAATCAGGTCTAAACCAAGTCTAAACCAGGTCTAAACCAGGTCTAAACCAAGTCTAAACCAAATCTAAACCAGGTCTAAAAACCAAGTCTTAACCAGGTCTAAACCAGGTCTAAACCAGGTCTAAATCAGGTCTAAAAACCAAGTCTAAACCAGGTCTAAACCAGGTCTAAAAACCAGGTCTAAACCAGGTCTAAATCAGGTCTAAACCAGGTCCATGGGCGTATACTAGTCTATGTGCTCTTATACTTGTTCAGATACAGCTCAAAATCATTCTAAAGACATTCAGGAAAGGTTTTTAGACTTTTTTAGTATCGATACCTGCTCAAACAAGGAACTAGTTTCAATACTAGTTTCATTATCGATTCGCATCTGATTTTCGATACTTTTGACAAACCTACACTGAAGGAATCAAAACTATCAATGAATGAATACATATGGACCATAGTAAACAATAAAAAAAAAAAAAACGGACTGAGATTTTAGGTTATTTTAAAGCTGCTGGAACACAGATGTGAAGTGAAAACCACCTCAGGAGACTTCATTATAAATAGGGCTGTGCAAACATATTGAAATATCGATATATAATCTATCGTATAATGTGCTGGTACAGTATCGATATCGTGGGCTGCTGTATTGATATATCGCCAAGAGTATTTTTTGGTATATTTTACTAAATTATTTTGTTACACCTACAGTTTCGTTGTTTGTTCAGAGGAAGGAAAATCGTTTACACAACACATTTGACATTTTCACTTTTTTCATATTCACTTTGCACAAGAAGTGGTTTAACAAAAACTTTTAGTATCACAGTCATGATTTAAACTTTATTTTTTAATTGAATCATATTCGAATTGATTTGAAATATATCATATCAAATTGAAAATGCACTGTATCGAGACATGTATTGTATCGTGGCCTGTGTATCGAGATATGTATCGTATCGGCAACTTCTAATTATAAAGCTCATTGTGAGAAGGTTTTTGAAGGGTTTGCAGCGCTCTGCACAAAGCAAAGGGTGGATACTGTGACAATTTCATTCAAAATATCCAATTCAACTTTATTTGTACAGCACATTTTATAAATAAGACAGTTTCCAAAGTGCTGCACACAGCAACATAAAACATTTAACTCTAAAAAGTCAACAGAATTATCTTCCAAACAAAAGGAACTAATAGAATCAATAGAATAGAAAGCCAGAGAGTAAAAGTGGGTTTTAAGACGAGACTTAAAACTCTACACTGGGGGGGGGCTGTTGGGACGTGGGGGGGCAGTCCGTTCCAGAGTTTGGGGCTGGTCTCAGAGAAGGTCCTGTCCTCCTCGTTTTAAGTCTGGTCTTAGGCCCCACGAGCTGGAGCTGGACCTCGGACCTCAGAGCACACGGGGGACTAAATCTGGATGAGGGCCGAGACTTAACGTGAGTCCAGAACATTCAAAGCTTTAAAAACAAACAATAAAATCTTAAATTAAATTAAAAAATGAACAGGAAGCCAGAGTAAGGACGCATGAATTGGGGTAATGTGATGACGCTTTTTGCTCCCTATTAAGAGTTCTGGATTCATAAATATTTAATTGAGTTATTTCACTTTTTTTTTCGTATATTTGAGAGTGTGCGCAGATGTTTGTCAGGTCGCGTGTGGGGTTTCCATACTTACCCATGAGGCTCGAGTACAGCCGCATGAGACTAAAGGTCAAATGAATGGGCGACGTCTGGATGAAGAAGCGGCACTCTCTGTCAATGAAGTCCAGACACGGAGGAACCAGCCAGTCGAAAAGGTCCACTATCTGTTACCAAGGAAACGGCAGAAACAATGGTCGGTATTTTGTTCTGAAAGACGAAAGCAAAACCAGTGAAACATCTGATATTTATTACACAAAATAACATCTCAGATTACACAGTTTTCTGATCTCTGTTATAATGTCGTTTCCTCATCACAAACGTAAGTGGAGTTGTGTTTCACTCACAGGTTTAACACACAAACCTGCAGATTCAGATTTAGGCTGGCTCTCTCAAACAGATACCACTCTGTTCCACCTTTAGATGTCATGCGGTAATACGGGAAGTGCTCCACCGTGTTTCTAAACTCCATACACCGTCACAAGAATCATTTGGATCAGGGGTCCCCAGTACCGGGCCGTCGGTCGTTTGGTACCAGGCCGTGAAAGCGTGAACCCCCCCTCACAGACCCCGTGTGGACTGTACCCACTGGCACAGCTCAAGGTCACTCTAAAGCTGTTCAGGATCATTTCTAATCAGGCTGGTGCCCCCTATGCGTCTGCTCAATTTAATTTCTCTCCAGCTCTAGGTCAGGAATCAGAATACACTAGGCGGTATTCAAGAACCCCGGAAGTTGTAGAGTGCGCACCGGCCAATCAGCTGTGAGCTGTGAAGCCGTGACGTCAAACTCATCGTGTCTGTCTGTGTCCCTTTTGTGGAACAGCACAACAGTAAACAAAGCGTCGAGATGGATGTAGACGAAGACAGACATTCTACATTGCCAACGATTCCCGAGATCGAGGATTTAAAGCCAGAACAAAGAGAATGTTTGGTGAATTTTATCAAGGGGAAAGACGTTATTGTTCTTCTTCCTACAGGATTTGGTGCATTACATATGTCACAACCAAACAGCAGTGATTGGTTAGACAAAAAAAGTACCACCTACTGTCGAGCGAATTAATTCTAATGCTGCGAGGTGAATCAGGCTGGATAATTCCTTTTAAAAACTCTTATTACAACATGATGAAATGTTCCAAAAGTGTATGTGTCAGAAAGAGGGCATGTTGGACCTTGGCTATGGAAGTGTTGGTGGTTTTCAGATTCTAGAATGTGAAGATGTCATAATCCCCGACAGAGGCAAGAGACAGTTACTTCTATTGATTTCATTGTACTTTGCCATGAAATATTGGAAAGGTAACAGAAATGAACCTGATTATTTCTATTATTGACTAGACCCAAGGACAAGCTGTATTACAACAAAACTCTGCAGTTGAACAATATTCATTTTAACTGCTTCTGTCTGTATTAAATAATCCTGCTCTATAGAATGTGATGATGTATTTTGAAACCCAGAAAACGAGGCGCTCACCAGTTCTCTGTGCTCTGCGTTCAGGCTCGCAGGCAGTGTGTTCATGTACGAGTCTCTGAGAGGAGTCCAGCCCAACTGATGAGGCTCCATGTAGATCATCCCACATCTGGAGGATCCAAACAGACAGAACATGAACACGTTTCACCACCACCACTAATACTACAAACCCCCATAAGTCTCGTCCTTAAGACCCACTTTTATTCTCTGGCTTTTAACACCGCGAGGTTGTGTCTTTCTCCTCTGTGTTTTATTTGTTTTGATTTATTTTAAATTTTTAGTACTACCTTTATTTATTGATTTTATTATTATTATTTTATCTATTGATAGCGTTGTAGGCAAGACCTCTGAGAGTCAAGACCGAGACAAGACCAAGACCACGGCCAATCGAGACCAAATCAAGACCATTTTTGACATTTATTTGTATTTCAGTTATTTTGACACATTTATAGATCAGTGTTTTTATAAATCTATCTCCATTTGATCTGATTAATGTTCATTTAGGCTTAAAACAGGCCAAGTTAACTGTACTACACTGAAACACTCTTTGTCCCTTTTTTGGACCCTGACCCACAGTTTGAGAACCTCTTCTTTAATCCCTCTTCCACTGGAACTTTACAGAAAACAATTTCAAAGTGAATCAAGTCAGTTTTTTCAAGTTCATAACATTTACAGTTACATTAAGTTACTGGTTTTGCCGTGATATTTAGCCTCTGCACACGGTTGTAGTGAAACATAAGCTCACTCGTCCAGTGTCAGAGCTTGTGTACGAGACAAGACCGAGTCCAAGCGCCTTCAAGACCAAGACAAGACCAAGTCCAAATGCACTTGAGTCAGAGACGAGACCAAGACCGCAAAAAAGCAGTCTCGAGGCCGGTCTCGAGTACTAAGACACTATCTACATTCTAATAGTTCCTTTTGTTTGAAACTTAATTCTGCTGACTTCTTAGAGTGAAATGTTTTATGTTGCTGTGAGCAGCACTTTGGGAATTGTCTTGTTTATAAAATGTGCTGTACAAACAAAGTTGGATTAGAACAACCAGTTTTATTCTTATATACTTCTTCACTACAGATGAGAACAGATTAAAGCACATTTGGGGTTTTCATGTTTTATCCATTTTAAAAGTTCTTTCACAATGTTTGCTAATGTGTACTTTGTGTCTCCATGGTAACTGCTGAACGTTCCACCATAGAGATACATATAGAACACTACCAGCATAATGTCACTGCAAAGTATAAGTTCCCAGCGGGCTCCCATCCGAGTCCCACCCAGGTTCAGGGTCAGAGATCAGCCCCCTCACCTGCTGACCGTGGCTGGAGACGCCTGCTCCAGATCTGCAGGTTCAAAGATCAAACTCATCTTGGGACTCATCTGGATGATCTCTCCACTCATGAGACACAGCTGAGACGGAGACGGAGACAGAGACAGACAGAGACAAAGACAAGGAATTAGTCGGAGACAACGACAAAGACAGAGACAGAGAGTCAGTGTTTATAATAATCTTGTGGAGCAGGTCTGGGACATTTTATTATGCTGTTTTATTTATGTTCTAATGTTGTTCCTTCCTCATAATCAGAGCTGGAGTTGTGTTTTGTTTCCTTCACATGTTTGAGTGACTCTTTATTATTCGTCTGTCTACATCTCCAAAACTTCAAATGCTCTGTTCCACCTTGTGATGTCATGAAGTGCTAGTTTTCAAGTGAACAGCTCCTTTTACCTTTAGTTCAGTAGAGACGATTCCAGGACTGAAATAAAAGTGAAAACATGCAGAGCACACTCAGATGGCCAATGTCCAAAAGATTTTTTTAATTTTTAAATAAAGTTTCGGCAAAAAGCCTCCGTCAGATAATTTTTCTTGCTTTGGACCACAGTATGAAAAGCAAAAAAGATGATCTCATGAAGGCTTTTTTGCTGAAACGTTATTTAAAAATTAAAAAAAGCATTTGGACATCAGCCATCTGAGGGTGCTATGCAATTTTTCACTTTTCTTTGACTGTTCCTTGCATTTGCACTTCTACGAGAACTTTGGTGTGCATTTTCTGTTTCATTTAATTCTAGGACTGAGATCCTCCATGATTCTAGTGAAGGTGTGTGGGGTTTAAAAACACAGTGGAGTGAAGAACTCAGCCTAGATCTGCAGGGTTTTTGTGTCAAACATGTGAATGTAACAAAACACAACTCCAGGTCTGTGTGTGATGAGGAAACAACATTAGAATCAGAGAAAAGTGTAACAAATCCGTGTGTCAGTTGTTCATTTGTTTTCCAATATAAAACCAAAAACTAAAAAATTAAAAAACAACAATTTTCTTCATTATTTGTCTCCAAAACCAAAATGAAAAAACAGATAACGATTTGTTTTTTCAGTTTTCAATTTTGTGTTTAAATGAAAAATGGAAAAAAACAGATAATGACCATTTCCCATTTACGTGACTTAAACTGAGATGCCGGACTGAACCAGGACTAAACCAGGTCTAAACCAGGTCTAAACCAGGACTAAACCAGGTCTAAACCAGGTCTAAACCAAGACTGAACCAGGACTAAACCAGGTCTAAACCAGGTCTAAACCAAGACTGAACCAAGACTAAACCAGGTCTAAACCAGGTCCGGGACCAGACTGGGACCAGACCGAGACTGAGACCAAGACTTAGACCAGGACTAGGACTGAGATCGGGACGGAGACCGGGACCAGAACTGAGACCAGGACTAAGACCAAGACAAAGACCAAGACAAAGACCAAGAGCAAGACTAAGACCAGGAATGGCACCAGGACTGAGACCGGGACTGAGACTGGGAACAGGACCGGGACTGAGACCGGGAACAGGACCGGGACTGAGACCCCGAAAATGGTTTAGTCCTGGTTTAGTCCTGGTTTTATATTGAAAAATGAATGAACGAATGACACACAGATTGTAACGTGGGCCCTTCAGTCTCATGTTTGTACCTTCTTGTTGTCGTCCAGCACAGTGTTCATGTTCTCGATCCACACGGCGTCGATGGGTCCGTCAAAGATGATCCACTGGCGGTCGTCCGAGGTGGAGACTGCCTGGCTCCTGTAGGACTTGGCCAGGACTCCGTCTGACCACTCGTGACTGACGGGGTCGAAGCAGCCGTACAGCTGCTCCATGGTGATCGACTTTGGGTTTATGATGCAGTAGTTCACGGCAAACTCCTCCATCAGGTTTTCTACGGGAAAGAGACGTGTGTAAAATCCCTCAGTCGTCCAGGTAGAATCCATGACACCGAGCCACAAACAAAGCAGTGTGGTCTACTCCATTCAGTGTAGTGAAGACTATAATGAGAGCTACACTGGAGAAACTAAACAGCCACTTCACAAGAGGATGAACCAACACAGACGAGAGAGCAGCAGTGGACCTCGGTCTGCTGTTCATCTCCACCTAAAAGGACCTCAGTCTGCTGTACATCTCCAAATAAAAAGACCTCAGTCTGCTTTACATCGCCACCTAAAAGGACCTCAGTCTGCTTTACATCTCTAAAAGACCTCAGTCTGTACATCTCCACCTAAAAAGACCTCAGTCTGCTGTACATCTCTAAAAAGACCTCAGTCTGCTTTACATCTCCACCTAAAAGGACCTCAGTCTGCTTTACATCTCCACCTAAAAGGACCTCAGTCTGCTGTACATCTCCACCTAAAAAGACCTCAGTCTGCTTTACATCTCCACCTAAAAGGACCTCAGTCTGCTTTACATCTCCAAATAAAAGACCTCAGTCTGCTTTACATCTCCACCTAAAAGGACCTCAGTCTGCTGTACATCTCTAACAACGACAGTGAGGTACAGATCTGAGCCAGAGAAAAGAACTGGTTTGAGAGGAGAGTTAAAGAAGCTGTTTTTGTTAAGAAAGAGACTCCTTCTTTAAACAGAAATGGAGGAACCATTTGTCTCTTATTTACAACTCCAACCTCAAACCTAAATCAGGTCCAGAGGTGTGAAAGCTCCATGATGGCCCTGAATGATTCTGCTTATATGACTCATACTCAGTGCAGTTCAACAGGCCAAGCTACAAACAGAAACTGTAAACACTGTGTGTGTGTTAGTTACAGAGTAGTTTCAGTGTTGTTAGCTCCTCCTTTCAGGCAGATACAAGGCAGTGTCCACCAGTGTCTGACCACAACTGGAGAAGCAGCTTGGATGAACTGAGAAATGTATTCAACCAAATAAACTTTTGTCTAGTCGACAAATTAAATTTTTCCTTTTGCTATGGGAAAGAGGAAGAGAGAGAGAGAGCGAGAGGGGGAGAGAGAGAGAAAGGAGAGAGAGGGGGAGAGAGAGAGAAGAGGAGATGTGTTAGGAGATGATAAATCTGAAGTATTGTGTTTATTTTTACCTCGGAACAAATCTCCAAGAGCAGCAGCCAGGACTTTGTAGGCTGAAGTCTTTCCTCCCATAGGATCTCCGACAATCATGAAGCCGTGTCTCACCAACATCATCTCATACACCTGAGAACGAGACGAGACAGAAACATCATCTCATACACCTGAGAACGAGACGAGACTGAAACATCATCTCATACACCTGAGAACGAGACGAGACTGAAACATCATCTCATACACCTGAGAACGAGACGAGATAGAAACATCATCTCATACACCTGAGAACGAGACGAGACAGAAACATCATCTCATACACCTGAGAACGAGACGAGACAGAAACATCATCTCATACACCTGAGAACGAGACGAGACAGAAACATCATCTCATACACCTGAGAACGAGACGAGACAGAAACATCATCTCATACACCTGAGAACGAGACGAGATAGAAACATCATCTCATACACCTGAGAATAAGACGAGACTAAAATCTGTGGCATGATTCTCACGGGAAAAATAAGAGCAATCAAAGATTATCATATTTTTTGGACTAGAAGTCACACTTTTCATGGTTTGAGTGTTTTCTGCAACTTATATATTACATTTTTCAGACTGAAGCCGTGAGAGGCTCTAGTCTTGTGTGTCAGGTTTCTGCACATGTATGAATAATTATAACTTGAATATTATCAATAGACTCCATATTTAAACAACACATTTGTAGTAGTATTGTAGAGAGAGAGAGAGAGAGAAAAAGAGAAAGAGAGAAAGAGAGAGAGTGATGTACTTAGTAAAAAGAGAAAACAACAATGATCTAGAATAAAACATTATGGATGTGCAGCTTTATTTTCTTCACTCACTGCTGACAAAACGACGATTATCATGATTTTTAAAGACGTCCCACAAACGATTATTGTTTTAATCACAGATGCACGAATGTCAGACCAGAGCCACTTCACACTTAACACTTAATACTTCACACAAAAGTGAAATACCTGGATGATTTTGCCGATGAACCAGGGCACCGGCTGCAGGTTGAGTTTCCTGACGTTCTCGTCCAGGGCCTTGAGGAGGAGCTCGTAGTCCGGTTTTGGAAGAACCACTCCAGGAAACAAATCAGAGATGATGCCCTGAAGCAGCAGACGGATTCATTAAACTGCACTTTTACACAAAATATCTCAAAAATAAATCCACAAACATTGAACCTGATCATTTGTCTGAGTGACTAAACCTTAAAACTCTGTGTGTTTGTGTGTGATTCTCTGGTTTTGACTTCATTTGATGGGTAATACCTGTCGTAAATATATTTATACTTTTACACAATATATGTTGCCAAAATATGTTGACAATGAAATGAAGAATAGATAGTCCCACACTGATGACACAAATTTACACGAGAAACACATTTTTCTGATTTTTAAAACCTGATTTCAACAAAATAAAATGAAGGTGTTTTAATATATTTTTATCTGTCAAATAATAAATAATAATAATAATAATAATGTCTGTGAACAGGAAAGAGTTTTGGCCCCGTGTACGACATGACTACTAAAAAGAGAGAGAAGAGAGACAGAGAGACGAGAGAGAGAGAGAGAGAAGAGAAAGCAAAGAGAGAGTGAAAAAGAGAGAGATATGGAGAAAGAGAAAAAGAGAGAAGCAAAAGAAAAAGAGAAGAAAGAGGAAAAGAGAGAGAAGAGAGAAAAAGAGAGAGGAGAGAGAGCGAAAGAAGAGAGCAAGAGAGAGAGAAGAGAAAGAAATAAGAGAGAAGAGAAAGAGAGAAGAGAGAACCAAGACAGTGAGAGAAAAGACAGAGAAAGAAATGAGAGAGAAGAGAGCGAGAGAGGAGAGAGAGAGAGAGAAAAAGAGAGAAGAAAAAGTAAGAGAGAGAAAGAGAAAAGGGAGAGAAGAGAGAGCAAAGAGGGTGAAAAAGAAAACAGAGAGAGAAGAAAAATAGACAGAAGAGAGCTAGAGAGAGGGAAGAAAGAAAGAGCGAGAAGAGAGAGAAAGAAATGAAAGAGAAGAGAGAGAGAGGAGAGAAAAAGAGTGAGAGAAAAGAGGAAAAGAGAGAGACAGGAAAAAGAGAGAGAGGAGAAAATAAGAGAAGAAAAAGAAAAAGAGCGAGAGAAGAAAGTGGAAAAGAGAGAAGAGAAAGAAAGATAAAGGAGAGAGAAGAGAGAAAAAAGAGAGTAGAGAGCAAAGAGAGAGAGAAAAAGAAAAGAGAGAGAAGAGAGAAAGAGAGAGAAGAGACAGAAAGAGAAAAGAGAGAGAAGAGAAAAAAGAGAGAGGAGAGATCAAGAGAGAGAAAGAGAAGAGAGAAAGAGAGAGAAGAGAGAGAAAAAGAAATGAGAGAGAAAAGAGAGTGGAGAGAGAGAAAAAGAGAGAGAAAAGAGGAAAAGAGAGAGAGAGGAAAAAGAGAGAGGAGAAAATAAGAGACAAGAAAAGGAAAAAGAGAAGAAAGTGGAAAAGAGAGAAGAGAGAGAAAGAGAAAAGAGAGAGAAGATAGAGAAAGAGAAAAGAGAGAGAAGAGAGAAGAGAGAGAAGAGAGAGAGTAGTTGATCCTTCAGAGGTCGATACAGACACGACTTTGACCCAAAAGTCACATTTTTAACAAATCTGCACGAAAACGCCAAAATAAGTTGAGGGAGAGAGACACACTTCTATTTTAGACACATTTACTCAGAGAATCAGGAGAAAAAAAAAGTGATTTTGGTGTTTAGAGGCTCGTTAAATGTTCTGAAAAGTCGTCTTGTCAGTGTCTCGTCTCTCACCCGGAAGAGCGGCACGTCCTGGGCGAGGAACTTGGCCATGTTGACGTCCATGAGCGCCCGCAGCAGCAGCACGCCCTCGTCCTCGCCCGGGTACTTGAGTTTGAGGTTCCCGGCGGCCGTCAGCACGGACTTCACCGCCCTCATGCCGTAGTCGTAGTGATGCTGAGACGAGAGCTGCTCCGAGCACAAGCGGTACGTCGCCACGATCTTCTGCGCCAGGCTGACACGGAAACATATACACAATAGATATATCAGACGTGTAAAGGTGCACTGCGGAACTTTACTGATGGAAGGTTAAAGAGAGAAACATCACACAATATGTCAGACGTAAAGGTGCACTGCGGAACTTTACTGACGGAGGAACAAAGAGAGAAGAGAGAGAGAAGAGAAAGAAAGGAGAGAGAGAGAAATATAAGAAAATATATCAGTGCACTGTGTAATTTTTCGGATGGAGGGTAAGAGAGAGAGAGAGAGAGAGGAGAGAGACAGAGAAAAAAAAAGAAAGGAAGAAGAAAGTAAGAGATGAGAGACAGAGAGAGAGAGAGAAGAGAGAGAGGAGAGAGAAAGAAAGAGAGAGGAGAGATAGAGAAAGAAGCAAGAGAAAGAAGAGAGTGAGAGATGAGAGAGAGGGAAAAGAGAGAGAGAGAAAGAGAGAGAAGAGAGAGAGAAAGAAACAAGAGAGAGAAGAGAGTCAGAGATGAGAAAGGGAGAGAGAAGCAAGAGAGAAAACAGAGCAAAGAGATAAGAGAGAAAGAGAAGAAAAGAGAAATAGAAGGTAGCGAGAGAGACGAGAGCGAGAGAGAAGAGAGAGAAACATCACAAAATATATCAAACTTAAAGGTGCACTGTGTAACTTTACTGATGGAGGGACATAGAGAGAGAGAGAGAGAAAGAAAGTGAGAGGGACAGAGAGAGGAGAGAAAGAGAGAAGAGAGAGAGAGACAAGAGATAGAAGAGAGAGAGAGATGAGAGAGAGAGGAGAAAGGAGAAAGAAAGAGAGAAAGAAAAGAGAGAGAGAAGAGTGAGAGACAAGAGTGAGAAATGAGAGAGAGAGAAACGAAAGAGAGAAGCGAGACGAGAGAGAGAGAGAGAGAGAGAGAGAGAGAGAGAGGGAGGAGAAAGGAAAGAGAAAGAAAGAGAGAGGGAAGAGAGTGAGAGACAAAAAAAGAGAGAGAGATATATAACAAAATATATCAAAGTTAAAGGTGCACTGTGTAACTTTTCTGGTGGAGTCTCCATGGAGATGTTGATTCGTCTGGAATATCCCGGTGTGGCATTAAACGTGTCCATTTTGCATCAACTTACATTCTTACTGTGAGACGGCTTGCCTCTTCACAGATCTGACATGTAATCAGGCCCTGCGGCGTCACCTTCTGTCTCCGTAGAGATAATTAAAATGCCGTACTGTGGAACATTCCAGACAACTGGACAACATCTCCATGAAGAGGAGCAGGTGATGGACTCTCCACTAAAAGTTCCACAGTGTAGCTTTAAGTGCACGTGACGGGTCAGACTGATTTCACTAAAACATCATTATTTTTAGTACGTTACAAAAATCGAGTTCATCTGGTTTAGAAATAGAAGTAGAGGTAATTCCAGTACTGTTACCTAGCAACCATAATGTTAACGAGGGAACAGTTGTTATGAAGGTCATTCCACCTCAATTCACCCCCCCCCCCAAAAAAAAAACTGCAATTTGCATGCTCACATAGTCCAGTTGCAAAGAAAATTGGTGTTTGGGTAAGTCAGAGCCAAGAAAGTTTAAATGTAAAAATTTTGCACAATTTATTTTTTTTTTCCGCTTTTTTGCGTGGTCGCCAAAATTCAAATTGCATTTACTCAGCAACTACTGGTCCAATATCGAAAACCAAAGTGTCTCTGGAAAGGGGAAATCGTAAAGAATCCAAATCTGCATCAGCATGTCTTAAGAAGGGGGTAAGTCAACTTCTAGGTAAATTTGTGTGAAGAAAGAAAGAAAAATAAATAAAACTCCAAATTTTTTATATGTTGTAGTCGATGCATAGGGCTACATTTTTTCGTTTGGTGTCACTGAGGTCGAGCGAGTACCTTATTGTAAATTTCAAGGTCAAAATATAAATTAAAAAGGTCATTCATCTCAAAAGCACTCAAATGCTAAAATAAATAAAAATATTTGGATTCTTTACGATTTCCCCTTTCCAGAGACACTTTGGTTTTTGATATTGGACCAGTGTTTGCTGAAAAAAAAGAAAAGAAATTGCAATATCTCTGGAAACTGTTGGTCCAATCAAACTAAAATCTGAAATTTTGTCTTTTCTGTGTATGATTTACCCATATACCAAGTTTCAACAAAATCTGACAAAGTAAGATTTAACTCACTGGGTGAACTGAGGTGGACTGACCCACGACTAGTCCAATAAAAAATAAATGAGCTTATTTTGGATGGAGTTTTGGTGCTGACACTGGTAGAGGGATTCTGTTTAGACTTACAATTACTACATACGTATTTTTGTACTTTCCCTTTTTTCTACAATCTGACACTTAACTGAAGTAAAATCTGCACTTTAAATATAATAAAAACTTTGAGGTAAACGTGTGAAGCGTCTCTGCACCTGCGAGATTTGATGAAGCCCATAGAGTAAAGTGAAATTTCTCCAATGAGACCGTAATCTGGCACCATCATGGCCACGGTGCGGAACAGGGCCTGGAAAAGACAGACAAAAAACACACAACAAAACAAAACAAATAAATAAATAAAACAAGAAAGAGCCCAAGTACGCCTTTTTTTGTGTATTTTTACCCTAATATTAGAAACATACTGTAAAGGAAAATGGAACTGTGTGTATCCTGTGCAAAATATCAAATTACAGTAATAATTTTTTTTATTTTTTATTTTTTTTTTGTAATCATGGATAAATCAGCATTAGAATTGTTATCAGTAAGAACTATATTTGACTTGAACATGTTCACCTCATACCTGGAGGACTCAGATAGGTAATATTTAAAATCTTACACACGGTTCCTTTAGACTTAGACAAACTTTACACACTTTACACACAGAACACACACGTCACAATATAATTAAAGAGCGGAAAAATAAATGTTAATAAATTCTAAATAAGTAGCAAAAAAAGCAAGAGACACGTGTCAAATAAAACATTATTATATAAATGTAAATGTACAAGTCAAAATAAAATAGAAAAATAAGTAACAAAATAAAAAAATCTCATAGGGTTATCTGTAACATAAGGGTGAGTTGTTGTACTGTTGTAGGGACTATTATCTGTAACATAAGGGTGAGTTGTTGTACAGATGTAGGGAGTATTATCTGTTACATAAAGGTGAGTTGTTGTACAGTTGTAGGGAGTATTATCTGTTACATAAGAGAGAGTTGTTGTACAGATGTAGGGAGTATTATCTGTTACATAAAGGTGAGTTGTTGTACTGTTGTAGGGAGTATTATCTGTTACATAAGGGGGAGTTGTTGTACTGTTGTAGGGAGTATTATCTGTTACATTGGGGAGAGTTGTTGTACTGTTGTAGGGAGTATTATCTGTTACATAAGAGTGAGTTGTTGTACAGATGTAGGGAGTATTATCTGTTACATAAAGGTGAGTTGTTGTACTGTTGTAGGGAGTATTATCTGTTACATAAAGAGTGAGTTGTTGTACTGTTGTAGGGAGTATTAATTGTTACATAAGGGTGAGCTGTTGTACAGTTGTAGGGAGTATTATTTTTTACATAAGGGTGAGTTGTTGTACTGTTGTAGGAGTATTATCTGTTACATAGGGGTGAGTTGTTGTACAGTTGTAGGGAGTATTATCTGTTACATAAGAGTGAGTTGTTGTACATTTGTAGAGAGTATTATCTGTTACATAGGGGCAAGTTGTACTGTTGTAGGGAGTATTATCTGTTACATAAGAGTGACTTGTTGTACTGTTGTAGGGAGTATTATCTGTTACATAAGAGTGAGTTGTTGTACAGATGTAGGGAGTATTATCTGTTAGATAAAGGTGAGTTGTTGTACTGTTGTAGGGAGTATTATCTGTTACATAAGAGTTGTGTGTATTATTGTTAGATAAGAGTGTTGTGTTGTAGGGAGTATTACTGTTATGAGTGAGTTGTTGTACTGTTGTAGGGAGTATTATCTGTTACATAAGAGTGAGTTGTTGTACAGTTGTAGGGAGTATTATCTGTTACATAAGAGTGAGTTGTTGTACAGTTGTAGGGAGTATTATCTGTTACATAAGAGTGAGTTGTTGTACAGTTGTAGGGAGTATTATTTATGACATAAAGGTGAGTTGTTGTGCAGTTGTAGGGAGTATTATCTGTTACATAAGAGTGAGTTGTTGTACAGTTGTAGGGAGTATTATTTGTGACATAAAGGTGAGTTGCTGTGCAGTTGTAGGGAGTATTATCTGTTACATAAGAGTGAGTTGTTGTACCTTGAGGTTGTCCGGCAGCTCGGCTCTCCCGGCGTATCCGGGGTTCATGGTGATGAAGACGGAGCAGGTGGGGTTGAGGGAAAGCTCCGTCCCCTCGAACATGAACTTCTTCAGGTTTTTCGCTATGGCCTGTTGTATGCACAGGATCTGCTGAGCCACCACGGACAGCACCTCCACCTGATGGCGCCGGACCAGTGAATACAGAGCACAAAAAAAAAAAAAAAAAAAAAAAAAGTGGCAGCGCATCCTGTGATTCTGGAAGTAAAGCTCCTATTTAAAGGTCCTACAGTTCACAAAACTGACGCCTGTGAGCTTTAAGCCTCGTCAGAATGTTTTTTCATTCATATGTTTGAGTAACCCTTTATTACTAGTCTGTGTTCATCTCCAAAGCTCAAAATGCTCTGCTCCACCTTGTGATGTCATGAAGTGGTAGTTTTCTAGTTAACGGCTCCTTTTACCTTTAGTTCAGTAGAGATGAGCAATTCCAGGGCTGAAATCATCCAATTTATCTGGTCTTGTCTCGGTCTTTAAAAGTCTCGCTCTTGTCTCGGGCTTTAAAAGTCTCGGTCTTGTCTCGGTCTCGACCCTCTGAGGCTACCTTTTGTCTTTAGTTTAGAAGAGATGAGCAATTCCAGGTCTGAAATTATCCGAATGATTCTAGTGAAGGTGTGTGGAGTTTAAACACACACTGTATCACCACATGACATCGCAAGGTGGAACAGACTGTTTTCAGTTGGAGAGAAGAACTCACCTAAATGTGCAGGGTTTGTGTGTTAAACATGTGAATGAAATGAAACATAACTCCAGGTCTGTTTGTGACGAGGAAACGACATGGAACAATCTCCAGACACGGCACCTTTAAACTAGAGTAAATGGTGCTCTTAAAAACATTTAGGATTTTAAAGAGGAGGTATTACACTTCTATGGGGAATTAACTGTAACACATCACAAATTAATTTATTCTGAAAACAGCGTATTACTCAAACATGCATGGATAAATCTAAAACCTCCGCAGGCATGTTTCTGATGGGTTAGGATTATAACATGAGCATAGAAAGCTCTAAAAAAGTAAATTTTGCATAATGACCTCTCTTTAATGAAACAAACATTTTACATGAATTGAATGTATTTTTTGTTTATTTCATACAATCATGTTACGGTCAGAAGCAGGACAGGAGATGGCGGGACAAAGGGGTCTGTGCTATTTGTTCTTTTTTCAGACTGAGTTTGTTTTCATAACATAAATTATCAGAAGACCAAATGAACCTCTTTGGACTTTTATGCTCAAGTCATGGATGACAAAGAAGTCTGTTGTCCCAGTCCAAGGATTTTGAGGGCCCAGATTTGGACCCTTTTCATATTCATTTATATTAGGAGGGGGCCCATGTGAGGCTTCTTGCCCTGGGCCCCCAAATTTCTGCCGACAGGCCTGCTCAGAAATTACCACATAGATAATTATCCCTCTTTAAAATTTATATATTTTTCTAAAGAAGAGTCTATAGGAAAAATAATGTGATTTTTTTCTTCCAGAACCATAATTTGCAGGTCACACAGGTCTCAGTTGTACCTCGATCCGGTTGAACTCGTCGAAGCAGGCCCAGGCCCCCGACTGAGCCAGTCCTTTAAAGAATTTACTCATGGCTTTGTAATCCAGCCCATCGGAGCAGTTAAACACCACACACTGGACACACACAACACAAAAGCATCATTAAAATCAGAGAAACTCACAACTCACTGACATCACAACACTGTAGGACCCAAATCGTTTAACTCGAGTTGGAAACAGGTCAGAATTTTCAGGTGGAATTTACTTTAAAAGTCCTAGAGCAAAAGGAGAAATTCACTTTGTCAACTGGACATGAATTTATTTTGGTCGAATACGTTTCTCAGCTCATCCAAGCTGCTTCTTCAGCAGTGTCAGACGCTGGTGGACACTGCCTTATCTCTGCCTGAAGGGAGGAGCTAACTATACTGAAACTACTCTGAAACTAACACACCTATTTCAATTCCTGAGCCTATCCACACGAAACAAAGACTGGCACAGAGTTCAGTGTCTTCTGTGTCAGTTTAAATAGTTTTTTGTGTAATTTTCAGAGGGACAACAGATGGAAATGCTTCTTCTTTTTTTGCTATAATCTGTCATATTTACAATTACAGCTGTTCATTAATATAAAATAAATAAATTCAAACACAAAGACGTGATTATATTTGATGTTTCTGAAGCCCAAACAAATACTGATGAGGTTTGTGGACTGTATGTTGGGTTTTTAATTCAGAGTAAATAATATCGGCTCTTGCCAAAACACTGGTGATTTCAGGAAGTCATCTGATTCTAGAACATGACCGTTACCGGTTTTAATCCCCTGGTCCCTGTGATACCTGTTTGGCCACAGCTTTCGCCAGGTCTTTTGTGGTCTCAGTTTTCCCTGTCCCAGCCGGACCTTCAGGAGCTCCCCCCAGGTTCAGCTTCAGAGCCTCCATCAGAGTCCTGCACGAGAGAAACGAGGTGGCGAGCGGCACAGGTTAGACCAGGGATGGGCAAACTACGGCCCGGGGACCATATGCGGCCCTTTAATCTTTTTAATCTGGCCCGCCGAATTTATAATAATAGTAATAATAATAATAATAAATAATAATAATAATTTTCAGTGTTTTAAAAGTCATTTCAATAAACAGTAAAAACCATGGGACTTGAAAGACAGATATTTTCTTGTAATGCTTTGCAATAATTTTAAATTACTAACATAAAAGTAAACATAAAACTATTAACATAAAAAAGAAAAAATGTATAGCAAACTCGGATGGCTGAATGTCCAAAAACTTTTTTATTTTTAAATAACGTTTTGGCAAAAAAAGCTTCAGTCCAAAGCCAGAAAAATATCTGATTAAAGCTTTTTTGCCGAAACATTATTTCAAAATAAAAAAGCTTTAGGACTCGGCCATCTGGGTGTGCTGTGCATTTTTTTTTACTTTCATCTTTGTACCTCTACAAGAACTTTGGTGTGTTTTATCATTTTCAGTTGATATTTCAATAACATGGGAGATGTTTTCTACAAATCCCGTGTTATTTTTTTCTCTTATGAGGTGGAATACCAAAAAACTCCATCCATCTTCTCCTGGTCTGGCCTTTCTGTCAAATTTTAGAACCTTTTGTGGCCCACAAGTCAAAATGTTTGCCCACCCCTGGGTTAGACTCATTTTACTCAAACACAGTAAAATTGTTATGATTATGATTTTTGCAGTTCAAGTCGTGCAAGTATAATGAAGAGCTTGAAATGGTACAAAGGTAAAAACTGAACAGCCAGAGGTTAAAAAAAAGATAAAAGAACAAAACACAAGTCCAAGCTCTGCCAAAACTGCCTCAGGAAAAAAGACCGAGATGGTAAAACTTGAAAACCTGGACTTAAACCCCATGGAGCTGGTTTGGGATGAACTGGACAGAAGAGTGAAGCAACCTACAAGTGCCACACATTTATGGAAACTTCTGCAACAGACTTGGGAAGAACTTTCTGAACAATATTTGATTTCTGAGCCACGAGTGTGTTCAGCTGTTCTATCTGCCAAAGATTGACACTTTTATTTCATGAATCTTATGTACACAGACAAATAAACTGATAAGAAAGTTATTCTGCTGAAATTATGTTTAAAATATCAGAAATAAAATATGTTTATTGTGGGTAAATTGTGCCTAACATCTGCCTCAACCACACAGCGCTTTGAGATGCAAATTTTTGTATCGGGTTTATGTGTCTAGGGTTTACAGAAATTTATTTTAAAACATTGAACTGAAGCAGCTCCTGTTTTATCACTGGCACTACTTCTGCTTGGTTGATTGTTTCAGCCAAATTTATCAGAATGTTTGAGTCCTCCTGATGTCGAGATGAAGCCCATGAAGCACTGAAGCGTTCCATCCATTTGAGCCGACGCTTCAAGGTGCTTCATGTGCTCCACTGCGACATCAAGTGGCCAAAAAATGTATAACAGGCAGAGTGAAAATAGAACAATCAACATGATCATCGAGGTTCTGATGGAAAGATTTATACTGAACAAATGAACCATTAAATATTTGAATGTTTGTGATTTCAACATAAAGTGTGAATTTATGAACATGGAGTCTGTGTTCATGATATAACGGTCGGGTTAAAAGAAAAAGTAGAAACTTAACCTGAATTTTTTTTTTTTAACAAGAAATATATTAGAGCAGGAGAAACACTGTGTTGTCAAATGTGTATTTAGTAATACTGTTTATTTTACAACATCATTGTTACTATAAACTTTATTAGGGGATATCAGCTCAAAATGCCCCATCTCAAAAAAAAAAAAAAAAAAAAAAAAAAAAAAAAAAGAATCTCAAATAGAAAGTACCAAACTCGCAATAACCCAACACCACAAAATGTTTTGGGTGAATCCGTTGCGTTTTTTTGGCCCTTTTGTTTTGAATCATGCAGCAAATCCGCGAAGCACTTCCTGAAGCAGTCACGTGGTGCAGACGGTTCACGAGGCTTCGAGCGTCGCCACATACGTCACCGATACAAACCTCGACACGCTTCACCAAAGACTTCCTGGATTACTGCACACACGCTTCGAAACCTCGACACGGACAACACGTCACTACTGAAATGCGTCTCCCTCAGAGAGCAGGGGCGCACCTGTCAGTCAGGAGGCAGGGGCGTACCTGTAGCAGCGGTCCGTCAGCGGGGTGATGACGAGGCGAGGGGAGTTGCCTAAGTATTCGTATCCATATTTGAGGCAGGTGGTGGTCATTCGGAGCGTCACGTCTCCGTCCTCCCAGAAGTACCTGAGCTGAGAGATCCAGGAGAAGTCAGTGAGCGAGGAGACCCGGTCCTGGGACAGTTTGGACACTACATCTCGTGCTGTCGGGGTTAAATGAGAGCAAATGTAAATCAAGTGTGACTTTTAGTATGTTACAAACTGTTTCTGGAGTTTACCATGAACGTCTATGACTGTGAGAGCTCCCAGAGTCATCCTAGCTCCTCCTGATAACTGCCCCCTCACCAGGTCCACGATGTCGGCGATCTGAGCGTTACACTGATCGACATAAGCCTGGAAAATAAACATGGAGCTCCTGTTTATACAACTACAACTACAAGTACAACTACAAGTATAGCTACAAGTACAACTACAACAACAAGTACATTATATCAAGTGTTTCCAAATGTTTTGTAAATAAATAAATATGTGAGGAAATATCAGGGCAGAACTCTGCTTCCCTCTGCTGGTTGTTGTGGCAAAACACTTCACTCACATTGCCTATTATGACTGTGGTGTGTGTGTGTGTGTGTGTGTGTGTGTGTGTGTGTGTGTGTGTGTGTGTGTGTGTGTGTGTGTGTGTGTGTGTGTGTGTGTGTGTGCATGTGTGTGTGCGTGCGTGCTGGTGGGAGATGGTGCAGATTGGCAGCATCTCGTCCGTCACTTGTGGCTACAATAGTGGCTCATCACCAAGTGTGGGGTGAGTGAATAATTTGGGTGTCTCGCGTGCTATATAAATCCAGTGGTTAATAATGAATAGTTTATTCATTTAAAAAAAATTAACGTTGGCCTGAAGGTAACTACTAAGATTATATAAGAGTCAAATCAAAAAAACAAGTCTCAAAACATTCTCTTCTTGAATTTGGTACCTGACCAAAGTAGATTCAGAATCATTCAGTTCAGTTTTTATGTAATCTTATCTTCTGTTATAACACTACTGAGCCTGTATTTACAACATTGTGCTTTTGTAAAACAAATAATACACAAAATATATAAATATGACAGGTTTGTGTAGTTGGAGACACATGGATGTTTAAAAAGTCAGGCAAAATGATGAATCACTCCAAAATTCTCAAACGTTCTATTTTAAAATTGTGTTATATTTGACCACATGCCCAGAGTCAGAGCACAAACCGCTAAAGTGTTGTTCTGGATGGCCTCGGACACTTCGCTGGTCCAGAAAATGGACGAGGCGCAGATCACGACTTGGCCCGGCCACTGCAGCACCCACTCCTTTCGAGGTAACTAAAGCAAAGACATGAAACATTCATGAGGGGATCAGGTTCAGCATCACCTGCCCACAGACTTGAGTATAAAAGGTGAAGTGAGGGAGTGCGGCGTCACCCACAGTGTCCAGCTCCAATCAAATGAAGCTCACAGAGGCATTTGACATTTGAATCCAGAACAATACATTTGGAGCCCAGTTCCTTATTAGGAATAGGAAATGATTTAAAACATCATGTAGAGCAGGTTAATACAAACATTTAAAGACCAAACTGCAGGTTAGCTGTGCCCATTTATATAATACATAAAAATAGACTGTAGTCATAGTACTCAAGACCGGTCGAGACTCAGTCTTGTCTCTGGTCTCGGTGTGTAGAGTGTGTGTAGAGTGTGTGTAGAGGTGTGTAGAGTGTGTGTAGAGCGTGTGTAGAGCGTGTGTAGAGCGTGTGTAGAGCGTGTGTAGAGCGTGTGTAGAGCGTGTGTAGAGTGTGTGTAGTTACCTGTGCGTACTGGCTCAGGCCCTGGTGGATGAGGTCGCGCACACTCCGCAGCATCAGGTGCTCCACCTGCAGCAGCCACTTCTCCACCATACCCTGAGGACACAAACACGCCGTCTTTCATATGTGTGTGGGGTGTAGGGGTAAGTGGAGGTCTGTGCGGAGTCTAAGCACTAATCAATAATTAGTCATCAGTCATCAGAATGTGGTGTAACATATACATTTTTGTAAGGTTTGGTCTTGTGTTCGTGTGTTCAGATTGTGTAGATCCACCTGAATGATCCATATTTTAATACCACAGAAGATTCATATGGATTGCATTGGTTTTTCAAATAACTGAGTTTTCAAATCAATATTTCATTTAATCAATACCATTATTTGTTACACTGACATTCACTTATGTTATATTTAATTATTCTTTAGTTATTTTTTATTATTTTTAAATATATCAATACTATGAATGTGTATTTTGTGTCGTTAACTGGATCTTGCTTTACTGTTCAAATGAGTCTCCAGAGAACATTATACTATTACACTCTTGCTCTGGCTGTGTTTTCGCTGTTCGGAGGGTTCAGATAAAGTTTTATGTGAATTCTTTACGCAGCAGGTTTGGGTTTGACCAAAACATCTATGGCCCTGTGCTGGAAGTTTAAGGCCAACAACCGATAGACTAAAAATATTTCTATTGACAACAAGAGAAAGATGACAGAGGATGGAGGACAGAGGACAGAGCACGGTGAACAGCGGACAGAGGACAGAGGACAGACCTTGGCTTCTGCTGGGTAGATCTTGTCAGACAGAGGCACGGTCTCTTTCTCTGAGCTGATCATCCCAGTGATCTCCAGCTCGTCAGTGAAGTGCAGCTTGGCGATGCCCTCAAAGCACTTCTTAAGGTGGGGCTGCACACACAGAGGGTCTTTGGTCTGGGACAGGATCTCCAGCAGCTCATCGTTGGACAGGAAGAAGAACCTGCAGGAGCACAAAAGAGGTTTGGGCTCATTACTTAATGTTCGTATGGCAGGTTTTTGTGATTCAAATAAACATTTTGACTTAAACTGGTGGGATAAAAACCTGTTGAAATATGTTGAATATTACAGAAAGTAGAGAGTTCTAAAACATACTGATGACATCACACTACAGGGAGAACTCTATCCCAAAGTTAAACACAATTTACATGTACAAAACATAATTTTTTGATCAGTTACACTTCATAAAAAAATTATAAAATACTTTTGGTCCTCGGTAAAATTATGGGATTCCCTAGCATGATCTTATGATTTCCATTCAGGAAGTAAAATGATAAAACTTCATCCCAACTTTAACATATTTATAGAGCGGTGCCTTTCCTTTACCTCTGTCTTTCTGTGCTTCACTCACTGACTTTGGTACAGATTTCTTAATTTTTCTAGAGCTGCAGACACAGATGTTACACACTGTTTGTTTTTTATTGTTCTCTTACCGTGGGAAGAACAGTCTCTTCTCCTCCAGGTAGGTGACGAGACCTTTCTGGATGTGGTCCAGAAGCAGATTAGACTCCTGTAGTTTTTGCAGCATGTGGGGCTGTGCTGTGGCCACCAGCACACGTGTGTCTTTGACCTAAACACACACTTTAGAGTTAAGCACGTGCAGCATCATACAGGCCCAGAGCAAAGAAATGTGAAAATGCGTCTCACGGCCTCTCCAATGATGCTCTTCCAGTATCCGTCCACAACGGAGAACTTGCGTCCCTCCTCAGGCATCTCTGCGATGATGTCCTCTGAGCTGAAGATGGGCTCCAGGTACAACCACATGGCCTGGCACTTCAACATGGAGTCCACGATGTCCTGCATGCTCAGCAGCTTCTCCTCCCATTCCTACACAAACATACAGAGCCTGTGGTCTGATCACATTAAAGAAGACACATTGAGTATTTAAAATGGGATATTCAACTAAAACGACTTAAGAAACAAGTTGCTGACTCCCGCGTTACAAAACTGTGGTGCCCAAAGGGAGCTGACATCACCATAAACATCATCACAACAAAGAGGCCACACAGTTATGGCAATGACGGTCTCTTTTAAATGATCATTTGAAGTATTAAATGTGTATGTAGAGATCAGACTGACCTTACACTCAGCCTCCACAGGTTTGATAAAAGGCGACCCGCGCATCGTCTGTGTCTTTATGATGTGGTCGTCCAGGAGCACCTGGATGTCATCCACAGCCGACACGATATGAGTCCCCTGAATCAATCATCACATTGACTTAGTTTAGTTTTATAAATCAAGTTAAAGTGCATGTGACAGGTTTTGACGATTCTCTTTTTGACTTTATTTTGTGGAATCAAACCCACTGTAAATACAAATTAGTTTAACACAAATCAAGATACAATTTGTGAAGAAAAGTTGAAAAATATGTTAAAATTACAGGAAGTAGAGAGTTCTGTTTTAGAGAGGTCCACACTGACGACATCACACATCACAATTTACACAAGAAACACATTGTCCTGATACTTTAAACATGATTTCAACCAGATAAAAGTGTTTTGTTATAATTGTATTTATATTAAAAATAATTATCTCCTCTGTCTTTTAGTAAAATGAGTTTTCCAACTTGTCATAAGCTTTAAATGAAGCTTAAATCCTTAAATAAAACAGATCTTACAGAATCCTTGTAGACATTAAACGTGAAGCGAAGTTCTGCCCATTCACTCTTCATCTTGGCTATGTTCTTCTCCAGATAATACTCCTTACTGGCTGACGCTCCGAGCTCCTCCAGTCTGAGACAAACACACGTGAATCAGTGGGTTTGTTCTGTACAGTGAGATGTTCTGTAGTTCTTCTGTGTTTGGACTTTACTGTGTGGAGAACTTGGAGAGGCCCAGTTCGAGCATGTGGAGCAGGGAGCTGTGTTCATCGGGCTTGATGCGTGCGCCCACAATGGAACTGATCTACAACACAGAGCACAGACAGGGCTCATCTGCAGGAGCACAGGGCAACACGCGAGTACACAACGTCCACCGGCTCATGTTTGTGTCATCCCTCAGTCGTCCAGGTTGGATCCAACGCAAACGGGAAATTAAATTCAGAGCCCTGCGACCTCGCAAAACAGTGCGGCGCTGGACAAATTCTGAAAGCTCACTGTGGGTGTGGGCGGGAGTGGGACTACACAACACGGGAGCGGGTGGGATGATAAACTGCAGTCCCGCAAACTAAATCTGAGTGTAAAGTAAAATATACAAATGATGAATGTAAGAATATCATGCATCATTTGTGCTGGATGTTTTATTTGGCATTAATAAAAACATTTTAAGCAGCAAACCACCCCTCCCTCCCATACACTGTGCAGACCGTCCCTCATCCCTGTACGTTGTGCAGGCTGCGCCACTAAACCAGAAATAAAACAGGACTAAACCAGGTCTAAAAACAGATCTAAAACCAAGACTAAAACAGGATTTAGCCAGGACTTAACCATGCCGCCGGACCGCCCACCGCGCCTCCTCCCATACGCAGCCCAATTCCTTTCGCTTCTCTGTGTTTGATAGAGTTTAAAAAAGAAAAGGTTCCCATCCTGCGGGACTTGCTGGCAGGAGTGGCACAAAATATTGCAGATGTGGGCCGGAGCGAGACTGAAAATTACAGTTCTTTGTGGAAGCGGGACTGCACAGTGCGGGAGTGGGCGGGAGCGGGACTAGGGCTGGGCAATATGGATCAAAAAATATATCTCGATATACTTTGCTATATTTCGATATACGATATATATATCTCGATATATGTTCAAGAAAAAATAACCCCCTAAAACTGAAAACTGCAAAAACAAATCTGCCAATTCCACAAGGCCTTTTTTTTATTGAAGTGTAAGAGGTCGGCAGTTCATATAGGAACATTTAAATTTACAAAAAATAATAATTTAACTGTAAAATAAAAGAAATAATACATATTTCCTTCTTTTCATTCATAAATAAAACAACTCAACACAAGCTCATCTTTGCATTAACTCTGTTATCCAGACCAGAACCAGAACCATGAGCTCATTTAGCAGAAGAAGCTCAGGATGTTCCTTATTTTAATAGATCCATGTTATTATCCAGCAGTAAGGAGCTCTGAGGTTTAATCCCACAATCCACTGCAGATCAAACCCAACGTTTCCAAACACTATTGTACAAGTGACACTGCAACAGATTATTAATTAAAATATTCTGCATAAAATAAATTTACATTGCTAAACTTTACAATATATAAAGCATAACGACTCTAGAGCCACATCAGCTCGTTTGTGATAATAATGTGTTTAATGCAGTTTTGCGCACGTGTGTTTACATTTTACAGAAACGAAATTTAAGCGCATGGCTCATTTGCATAAACAGCACTTCTCGTGCAGCTCAGCTCGTTTAGCTTCTTTCGGGCTAAAGGACGAGACTCGGTGGAATATGAGGATGTGCTGCTGGTGGTTTTGTCTGTAAATGGTGGAAAAGGTTCATGGTGCTTGAAGCTTTTCACTGGCACCAACTTTCGGCGTTCAGGGCGACAGTGAGGAGTGAAGGAGACACGAGCGAACAAACTCAGGGAGGCGGAGGCGCGCGGGCGACGAGAGAGAAGGTAAACAAGTGAAGCGGCAAAATCAAAATTTAATATAAGCATTATATCGATATATACGATATGTCAGAATTCATATCGATATATTTAAAATATCGATATATCGCCCACCCCTAAGCGGGACTGAAAATTCTGTCCCGCGCAGACATCTACTTCAATTCTGTCAGCTTTTTTTTTTTATCAAATACGATACTCAGCTCATCCAAGCTTCTGTTACCCTGGTGGACTCTGCCTTATATCTGCCTGAAGGGAGGAGCCAACTACACTGAAACTACTCTTAAATTAACACACGTCTTTGTTTACACTTTCAGTTCTGTAGCTCAGCCCCTGATCTGTGCACCCCCTGAGAGAAGAACTCGAAATATGCAAGATTTATGTGTTAAACGGAGACATGGAATCTCTTTTGGATTAGCCTAAATTTTCTGCACTTTAAAAGAGTCTTAATGAGTTTTTTTTTTAAACTTGAGATTGTAAAATTTGGTTTTAAAATGGATCCACAGCTTAAACTGGACAGCCAAATTCGTTCTGTTGTAAGGACAAGTTTTTTTCCACCTCAGGCAGCTGCCTAAGGTAATACAACACTTTTATTTGTCTGAATATAAATATCTGGGGACAATTATTGACAGTGTCCTGTGCTTTGAATCGAACACTGGTGTTAAAAAGTGCAGCAAAGACTGTTCTTTAACATCAGTAATGTTCTTATGACCCTTTTTATAAGAGTTTTATTGAATCTATTCTTGCATTTTGTATTGTCTGTTGGTTCGGGGCCCTCTCTGTGTCTAGTAGAAATCGTTTGGCTCAGTTGGTCAAAGTGGCGGGTTAAACTGTCGGCTTACAGCTGCCGAACGTCTACAACAGAAAGGTGATTTGCAAGACCCAACAAATACTGGAGAGCCCTGACTCAGAGAGCTCGGACTTATTTGTGAAACCATAACTAGGATGAATGATCCTATAGCTCGGATCAGTCGTGGTGAAATGCAGTTACATCTCCTCTTCTTTTTTGCCTATTTTTAAGGGAATGTTTGTCTGTATTGTTGAGCTAAACTTAAGCTGTGGTTAAGTGTATTATTGAATTGTTTTGTATGTCTACGGTCTGACACTGCTGCACAACAGTTTCCCTCTGGGACAATAATAAAACTGAAAGCTGAAAGTTGAAGTTGAAAGTTGAATAGTGTAAATACAGGCCCTTTAATTTCATGAGATAACTCAACGTTTAGCATATTGTCATTTGCTCCCTTTTTAATTCTCAGCCTTCTGAACAGACGTACGTACCTGCTCCCAGTGGCGATCCTTGAGGCCCGGGTTACAGATGGTGGTGAGGAAGGGCAGGTGCTGTTTGAACTGTTCGATCTTGTTTTTGAAGAGCCTGGCCACTCGATAGGGCCCGGGCCGGTCGGACAGAGCTTTGGTCAGTTTGTGCATCGTCCTCCACATCACGTCCAGCTCATTGGAGATCTTCTCTGCATCCAGGTGTTTGAACGGACCTGAAGGAAATTATGAAAATGAGACTGTGCTTCTTTATGTAGACAGATTGATAGAAACCATAGACTGTATATGGACACAGTTAACCCACTAGCTCAGTGTTCCTGGCTCAGCTTCCGGCTCCTTCGACTCTGGCTTCAATTGACTTTATATTTCTCTGTACCTGCTGCTGTAATCTTTGGCATTTTGGTCTTAAAATGTTTGTATTAACCTGCTCTACATCATCCTGGTGTTTTATTTCACTGTTTTTGTCCATAAATAAATTCCTATTCCTAAACTCTGCACCAAAGTCACTCTTATAACTGCAAGCCTCAGTGAGCTTCATTTGACTGGAGCTGAACGCTGTGGGTGTCGTAACACTCCCTCAGAACACTTCTTTATACAGTGTTAGACACACACAGTCTGTGATAGAGACATGTATGTTGTGTACCGTTCATCCAGACATCGGACATGTTGTGGAAGTTGAGCGCTGTGGTCCACAGCTGCTCGTACGGCTGTTTGTCTGCGATCAGAACCTGCAGCAGAGGAAACTCACTCTGCTCCTTCTCCAGCAGAGTCTGCTCTTTGTTGATGTCCTGAGACGGGGGTAGAACATGTTACAGACCCTTCAGTGTTAGTTAAGTCTGTCTGTCACAGTAATTACTATTCTATTATATATGTGTATATATATATTATATATATATTATATATATATATATATATATATATATATATATATATATATATTATATATATATATATATATATATATATATATATATATATTATATATATTATATATATATATATATATATATATATATACTTCAATAAATCAAAGTTACAACAATATTACAGGTCCTTAATATTTTTACGGCACATTTCTTCATATTTTGTATTTCAACACATTTGAGCAGCAGAGTGCAGTAAAAGTAACAGCTCTAGCTCATTAATGATACTACTTTGGTGTTTTCTTCTCATATTTATAATTTGCAAACCATGTTTTTACCATGTTAATTTTAAAAATGGTTAATGAAATAATAAGACATTTAAATAATATTATTTATCATAATATGGGTAGAAAATGCCCCAATATTCAGCAGTGACCCATTCACACAGGCACCACTCTGAGTATTGGTCTGTTCACACTTAACCTGCATTTGGCTCTCTGACATAACACTTCAGTGTAACCAGGAAACCAAACTTATACCCAGTAAACCTCAGTCCTGGCTTCGTGTGACCGTGACCCTGTTCTGGTAAAGTGCAGGTAAATTCCTGGGTCAGTCTGTGTGAAAAGCGTTTACCTCGAGCTCTACGAGGGCGGCCTCCAGACTGGCATTGATCCCAGTGAGGTTGGCCACATTGGCCTTCATCTCCTCTGGGTTCATGATCTCCTTCTTCTTAAAGACCCGGATGTCCGTGTCGATCTTCTGTAGAGTCTGCTTGAATTCAAATGACCTGAAATAACAGGTCAGGTCGTTTAATTACAACGGCAGATACTCATAAAGTCTCTGTCGAGCGTCAGCATGGCATCCTTCACAATAATATATTCCACCTGATAACTGTGAACATTTAACTGGTTTTAAAATGTTTGATAAAAGTGTTTTAATACCTTAAAATATCATACTTTGGAAATTTCGAGAAAAAGGCCTTGGGGCTTAAGAGGTTAAGGTTAAAGTGGGACTCAACACCACAGATAATGGTGGCCACTGGAGGCAGCACATGCTAGACCTATTTTGCACTAAAATTGAAAATTGTTCTGTCTGTGATGTGGTCCGTCTGTACATGATCTGACCACTGGGGGCAGCAGTGAACACAGCTCCACAGTGGAAGCTGCAGAACAGTGTTGGTCTTGTGAACCTTGTGTGGAGATGCTCCTCTGCCTGGCGTCTCATGTCGGTCAGGCGGTTCGTACTGAGCTCCAGCTCCGTCTGTATCTCTTTGGGCCACTGGAACACACGGGCGTTTAAGTGGACGTCCTCGACTGAACAGGAACAAACACAACATTAGAAACAAGAAGATCTTAAGGCACTGAGATTCAAAGGTGAAATTTCAGTAACTTCACAGAGAAGGCAAAAAGGTCCAAATGATCAACAAATAAAAGACACATTATGGTAAAATACTACAGCAAACGACTATGACGTCACTCATAAAACATAATCACACTGAAGTGGCATTCAAAGCCTGTGAGTGTTTTTGTGACTGGTGACTGGTGAATGAATCATGCACAAAGTCGTACAGTGACTCTGAGTGTGTGGAAAAGCTCTAAATAAGACTAGACTAAGAGATTTTTTTTGAATCTCAGCTCTACAGTTGTGTTTTGTTGGTAGTTTTCAGACTAGATCATAGTTTACTTTGTACTTTTTTAGAAATTTTCAAGAGGTAAATTCACAAATATTTAACCTGACTCAATTAGTAACAAGAGCCATTAAAAAGCTATTTAAAGAGCACATATTCAGGGGCAGAGCGTCCGTGGTCTTGTTTTGGTTTGATTTTTAACAAAAAGGTGAGAGTGACTAACTGAAAAACTGTGGGCTAATGGTATTTAACCAACCAGATCAGATCTTTCTGGTCAGATTGTGTCAAAAAAAAAGGATCAGATTAAGTCTAACTAGAGTAACAGAGTAGTGCTTTCAGTTAGTATTTGCACCCTGGGGAATGATGATGAAATCAGCTGTAAATGGGGTGACCAGATTTTCAAAATAAAAAACTGAGGCATCCCTGGTTTGTGGTGGTTGGTAATAATAAAATTGTGAAAAGAGTGTGGAATGAAGGGAAATTGTTCTGCACTTGGCCCATTCATGATGAACATGAGTCAGTATAGTCACATTTTCTTTGTGTTTTGGTAATTTATAAGCAGATTTTCTGTATTTTACCAAAACAAATGACAATGCGTGCCTGTCTTTACTGTTGTAGGATCAGACTGGTCAAAAATAAGGACACCTGGGACTTTTTTTGTATAAAACTGGGACAAATCAGTGGTTTTGTATAAATCTGCTGGGACAGGGGACACAGGCTCTAAAACTGGGACTGTAAACGGGTAAACAGGGACGTCTTATCACCGTAGCTGTTAAGTATCAATTCCTGTGCTCACGTGACAGTGAAGTGGCGTGGTCCAGTAGGAAGCCCAGACGGATCATGGCCTCCTCGATCTCCTCCATCAGCCTGTGCACTGTCACGTCACTGCTGTTCTTTATAAACTGGGTCAGTTTCACCAGCTCCTCGGTGTTGCTGGGCAGGCTCCTGATGGTGTCACTTATGTCCTGGTACTTCTGACAGATCCTGCAACAAACATTTAAAGGTCCTACTATGCAAAACCTAACTCCTGAGAGCTTTAAGGTTAGGTTAGGGTTGTTTATTTGCCATTTGTAGTTAAAAAACACATTGGAAAAACATCTGAGGTCGAGCTTAAAGTGCACCACAAACTACTTTTACTTGTGTTATAGCTCTTTTACCTGCTCAAAAACACATCTGGAGCTGTGTTTTGTTTCATTTTCACACATATTTGAGTAACTCTAGATTATTATGCCCCAAATCTCAAAACACTCATTTAGTTAGTTCAGTAGAAAGTGACAAATCCAGGTCAAAAACGATCGCAGTGATTCTAGTGAAGGTGCATGGAGTTTAAAAACACAGCAGTTCCTGTATTACTGCTTAATGACGTCACAAGGAGAAAAAGAGATCAATAATAGTGCAGTTTCTCACTTGTTGTTGAGGTCTCTGTTCTCGTCCACTTCGTAGGTGACGATGAGCTGTCTCAGCTCCTCTGTGCGCTGGCACAAGTCTTCATTTAAGGCGTGGGCGTGTAAACAAAACATGGACAGAGGGACAGTGACGCGCATCAGGGCGATCTCCGTCCAGATGAGACGGATACTTTCAATTTTCTGGAAGAGAAGAGACGAAAGACAAGAACGGATAAATGATTACTAAAAAACACAAGACTAAGGCAAACAGTGATCAGCTTTTATTATCATCATGGTATTGTAATCAGAAGTATTGAGTCTATTCTTTAGTATCGAATTGAGTTAAAAATGTTATAATCGTGACAACACCAAATTGAGTTGAGAGGGTGTTACTTTTTTCAGTTAAAAAGTTGGGGTGGGACATTAATGCGTTAATTACGATTAATTAATTACAAAGAAAATAATGCATTAAAAATTTTAACACATTTTATCGCAGTTTGCCAAATAACGCGAAACGTTTGTCATTAAATTAGATTAGACTAGATTTAGATTTATTGTCATTGTACAAAATACAACAAAACTTCGACAGAGCAAAACTGTAGCTGTAAAACTGAATAAATATAGACACATTAAATAAATAAATAGATGATTGCACTGAGTCCGTTCAGGCCTTTTCTCCTGGAGCTCATGGGTAGAAGCTGCTGTGCCGCTTGTTTGTGTGAGGGGATTTGAAGCCTTCCCGAGGGGAGAGGACAGAAGACACAGTTCCCAGAGTGTGTGGAGTCCTGCAGGACGTTGGAGGCCCATGTGGGGAGATGTGAGGAGGAGATGGTGTTTCCAGGATGTGTGGAGTCCTACAGGATGTTGGAGGCCCGTGTGGGTGAGTGAGTGAGGAGCAGACCACCCTCTCGGCTCTTCTCACCGCTCTCTGCGGTCCTTCTCTTCAGCAGCTGTGCAGCAGTTTAAAGTCAGAACGCTTTCCACGGTGCACCGGTAGAAGTTGGTCAGCTGCCATGTTGTGGTACGACAATTACAGTCCCTGACAAAAGTCTTGTCGCGTATCCATTTTGTAGAAACAAATGCTTATAACCTGACTTTAAATTAATCGATTGGTTTTAGAAATGTCTCATATGAAAGCTAAAACTCTCCCAAATTATGCTCAATATACTAAAATAAATTTGCTTCACTGAAGAAAGATTGATCATTTAATGAACAGAAGAAGAAGAAAGGTCAGATTTTGGCAAGACAAAAGTCTTGTGGCCTTGTCATATGATGCACCCAATCCTAGATTACAGCCTCACCTGTGATCAGTTACTGATCAATCAATTAGTGGGTGTGTATAAAAAGAACCCCAGCACACCAGACCTTCACATCAACTGTAACTTGACCTCTGACAACATGCCTAAGATCCACCCTGAGACCAAAGCGTTAATTATCAAGAGGCTGAAGACCAGATCCACTGCTGAGGTGGTGACACCTTCAATGTGTCTCAGCGTCAAGTACAAAGAATAAGAAAAAGATCTGAAATGACTGGAGATGTTTTTGACAAGCCCAGGTCCGGCAGACCCCGCAAGACAACTGCTTGGGAGGACCGTTTGTTGATTAGAAAATCCAAGGCCCCTTTTCCACTGCAGCAGACTCCATCAGGCCTGGTCACCTCAAGTCCCTGTGTCAACCACAACAGTTTGTAGAATTCTGTCTCGAAATGGCCTCCATGGTCGAATCAGTGCACAGAAACCAGCACTAAACAAAAGGCAATTAAAAAAACGTGTGGCATTTGCCAAGGTCCACAGCCTGCTAAAAGGATGGACACTGGAAAAGTGGCAGAAGGTGGATTTCTCAGATGAATCCTTGGTTGAATTACATCACAGCCGACACAAATATTGCAGGAGACCTACTGGAGCCAGCATGGATCCAAGATTCACCCAGAAAATAGTTAAGTTTGGTGGCAGAAAAATCATGGTATGGGGTTCCATCCAGTATGGGGGTGTGCGAGACATTTGCAGGGTGGAAGGCAAATATCAATAGCCTAAAATATCAAGAAGTATTAGCTCCTCTTACATTCCCAACCATAAAAGGGGTCAAATTTTGCAGCAGGATGGTGCTCCATCGCATACTTCTATCTCTACATCAAAGTTTCTCTTCTTTTTTTTTCAATAATCTGTGTGTTTTATTTGATGAAGTCAAAATAAAATAAATTTTGCTTTTGGGGCAAATATTGTTGTGCCATGAATTGAGATCTTAATTACAAAGAAGCCTGTAATTTATTATATTATTTTTATATCAAGTCCCACCCCTGTTATAAAGAATAAAAATCTTTAAATGTTGTGTACCTTAGAAAATCCTTCCAGTGAGTGCTTCTCTTTCAGGAATTCGGTCACCTCCTGCTTTGCTCTGCCGTCCAGTAAAGTTCTGTACTTCTCGTATTCATTCAAGTATCTGCAAATCCAACAGTGAAGCTCTCAGTACAGTGTTGTATATTCAGGTGGAGTTGTATCTACAGATGTGGGAGCAGTTACTTCAGAGGTCCCACTGTGTTCCTGTCGAAAACCTCTCGTGCTTTGTTGATGATGTCCGTGAGCAGCTGCTCCTCTGGATGGACTGTGTGGAGGTGTAACTCCTCCAGGAGTGGGAACAGGAGACATTCCACCTGCAGAGAAAAGGGCAATACACCTTTTATAATGTGTCATGTTTTTACTGATGTGAGTACAGATGGTTTAGAAGTTTTCAGCTTGTCCCCAAAAGGCTGGAGACCAACTGGACGTCTTAACCATTACCACAGACCCAACTGAAAAGTCCATATAGAATGATTTAAGGCGCTGTGTACCATTTGTTCTTTTGATTTTCAATTAAGAACAAAAAAATAATCAAATGGGAAAACAGTTTGTTATTTCATTTTTCCGTTTAGTGTCAAACAAAAAAACAGATGTCAAACTCTATTTCCAATATTTAATTTAAACTTTATTTAATCAAAAACCAGCCTCGTGCCTGTTTTAATTTTGATATTTTATTCTCTCTGGTTTATTTGCTCCAGAAGTTCTGCTGCTAGAAGAACTCACCTGAAAAATCATTGCAGTTTTGTGGACAAACATGTTTCTTCTTTTATAGTTTACTTTCACGTCTTAGAAAGTCACTGTTAATCTCCATGACAAGAAACAGGAAGCAGCGATAAACTCTTCTTTGTTCAGTCGACACTGAATTCATACGCGACGCTGAGCAGCAGAACTTCAAATAAACCAGAGAATAAAATATCAAAACTGAAACAGGCACCGAGACTATTTCTTGATTGATGCTATTTGAAATAAACTTTAAATCAAATATTGCAAACAGAGGTCGAAATCTGTTTTTTGTTTGAAACTAAATGGAAAAATGAAATAACAAACAGTTTTTCCATTTTATTGTTTTTCGTTCTTAATTGAAATTCAAAAGAACAAATGGTACATGGACCTTTCAGGCGTGTGATCTTTGAGTGTTCAGGCTCGTTGACTGTGCTTCTCTTATGTGGTGCTCAGACCGTACAGTCAAAAACACCAAAAGCTTTAGTTTACACCTTTTCATTTGAGACTCTTGAAACTCGTTGAAGCTCGTAAGTCTAGTACAGAGCTGGTGTTTTACCCGGGGAATGTCCTTGGCGCTCCTGATGATCTCCATGAAGGCCGTGTGGACGTGGAGCCAGCTCTGCTCCAGGCTCGGCTCAAAGCTCATGAGATCCTCCTGCACCTGGAGCTTCAGCACCAGCACCTGAACCTGAGTGAACCTCAGCTCAGAGAAGGACAAGCCAAAGTCATTGCCCTCCTGAAACACACACACACACACTTTGTTATTACATTATATTGTGATGTGTGCTGCTGTGTCCAAATAATTTCCATTGTGGATCACACACACACACACACACACACCAGTTACTACTTAGTAACTGGTCTGACATCTCAGTGTTAATCGCCACGTTTACATGAGAGCTTTAATTCCAAATAAAAACAAGTGAATTCTGAATAAAAATTATTACTTACTATTAAGCTTTAAAAAGATCATGTAAACACTTGATTCTTAATGAAAATGATTATTCAGAATTAAACGTAATTCTGATGTAAGTGGGTGGTTTATTCCAATTTTAAAGCTGAACGAATTTATTCCTCGATCATGTAACCGTTAATTTTTGTTAAAAATAATGTGGGTGCTTCGGCGTATGCTCGCTGTGTCGCCCTTCTGACACGATCTGGACAATCCGGCTCCACCAGTCCTGTCTTCGGACTTTCCTCCACGTCTCTTTGGATTTGTGAGCGGGATGTGGGAGTGGGCTGAGGTAGAGCCGCCTCACACTCACTTTGTCTTCTTCCTCCTTCTCCGACACTCTTCCCTTCTCCTCCTCACCTGACAGACGTGAAGCGTGATGAGACAATTCTCCAGCTGCTGTCTTATTATCATCAGAATTATCATCAGAACCACTGCGGGAAAAGTTTGGATAGTGTTTGTGTGCGTGGCGTAACGACAAACAGAGATGACAGAAAAGCCGGTAGCAGCTGAAGTGACGTAAATTCATTGGTGTCTCTGTCCAATCAGAACCTTCCCCACCCCCAGACGCTGAGAGGAATTAAATAAAGATGATCTAATGAGTTTTCCATGTAAACCTCAATTCAGAATTATTATTTCCATGTGAACTCCAGTTCCTCCAAAGAATATTTAATTGTTCTAAATTAAATACTTCGGAATTAAAAAACATCATGTAAACGTGGCCAGTGTCAGTTCCATCTCGGGCTCATATTAAACCAAAACAGAATCATCGTCTCATTATTTAACATGTTCCTGATCTCTAGGCTCTTTTTGCTGATCTGGACCTTGTGGATGTTGAAGAAGCAGAGGAGGTCCTGCAGTGAGTGGACGACGAGGCTGCGGAGCTGCAGAGACATGAGAGCGGCCGCACAGTTAAACAGCTCCACAGAGAAAGAAGAAGCCTGCTCCTTTTTACTCAACACCCGCGGCAGCCAGTGCTTCTCACACAACTGGAACAGGGATGCACAGTGAGGCAGCCACCTGCAACGCAACACAACACAATAAAACACAATAAAACACAACACAACACAATAAAACAACACAATAAAACACAACACAATAAAACACAATAAAACACAACACAACACAATACAACACAACACAATAAAACACAACACACGCTCTCACCATGATCTTATATGTCACAATGGAACTGATGGGAGAAGAACACTGACACAGAATGGAGCAGGTCAAAAGAACTCAGCTTTAAACTGGAACTAAACCCAAAAACACCCCTAGTCTAATCCAGGACAGAACCAGGACTAGAACTGCACCAAACCGAGTCAGAGTGTGGATGCTCTTTTCATTAGGACAACACAGTAACATCTAAAAATGATCTGATCTAAAAATGTGTTCATAATTACAACTCCATACATCCCCTTTAAATGTCACACAAATATCACACAAAAGTGACTCTCGTGAGCTTTTAGCCATCTTAAAATGTTATTACCTCCTCAAAAACAGACCTGGAGTTGTGTTTTGTTTCATTCACATGTTTGAGTAACTCTGCATTATTGGGCTGTGTACAGACTGTGGTGGCCCCCATAGTTTAAAACGACCTGAGTGCACAGAGTTTGTGTGTTAAACATGTGTGAATGAAACAGAACACAACTCCAGGTCTGTTTTTGATGAGAAAACATTGGAACAATATACTGTAATATACTGTAAATACTGTATACTTTTCAGATTATAAGTGTCACTTTTTTCATGGTTTGTGTGTTTCCTGTGACTTATTCTCTGGTGTGACTTCTATATCAAAATGCTTCAGTGAAGTGTGGAGAGGCTCTAGTCTTGTGTGTGAGTATCTGCTGCTCCTGTTCCTGTACCACTGTCACTTGGCTCTACTGCACATGTCTCCTGCAGAAAGAGCCTCTGTCCTGTCTGTATCATGTCAGTCGATCGCACCATTACTTCTGCACCACTGAACTATTTAACATTTAAACAAACTTATAAAGACAAAGACTGAGAAGACTGAACACAAATGCCCCTGAAAACAAAATCAGATTCTGCAGATTACAAACTGCAAGTCATGAAATCTGCAGCTGAAAACAGAAATCGAGCAGCAGAAAGAAAGTTTGGAGTGAGAGAGAAACTTGTGAAACTGGAAGGATTCACCATGAAACTTTCCTGAAGTCATTGGATGGATGAACAAAGCCTGGACTTCAGTGACACTGAAACCATTCTGTCGGGATTCAGAAAGACCCGAATAATTCTAACTGGAACTGATGCTGAGTCTGACGACAGCGACACAGAAGAGGAAGTGGCGCTCTGTTTACCTCCGGAGGTCGAGGCCGAGTTGTTCAGAAGTGACATCGAGGATGAAGAATTGAATGGATTTAGTGATTTGGAGTGAGATGGAGAGTTTGGTAAACTTGTTCTGTTCTGTTGTTTATGTTATAGTTTATCTGAAGAACTGTTCATATGTGACGTTAACAGTCTGTTCTCTCTCTATTGTTATTATACTAGAACTTGACTTTACACAGGAACTATCTGTTCCTGCTCTCTGATTTTATAAAATAAATTTCCCATAAAAAGTGCAACTTATATATGTTTTTTCTTTTCTTCTTCATTATTCATTTTTTGGTTGGTGTGACTTATACTCTGGAGCGACTTATAGTCCGTAAAATAGGGTAGGTGAGTAATATGAGCCCTTTACTACAACAATGATTGAACTGATTTTCTCCTCATTATTTATTGCATAGTTAAAGGGGATTAGTTTCACCCAGGTTGTATCCAGGGACATTAGACAGGTCCAAACAAAGTATTATAACCCCGGTCTCTGTGTTTCTGCTCAAACAGGCCGGACAACAACAGACCCTGGAGTCAGGTACAGTGTAATGCGACCGACTGGACATGTTCTAGACAAAGTGGAGAGGCTGAAACAGGAGCTGCTGTGTCTCTGTCTGTGTCCGTGTAGATCAGGTTCCCTCCGTACAGAGTGAATGTGAGAGACTGCAGACGGATGGACGGATCAGAGCCTCACACTCACCGCTTCAGCAGCTCCTCGCGCGTTCTTTGGCACTGTTTCTGAATCAGCTCCTCGAATTCAGACGGGAGCAGAGGGAGGCTGGCCGAGAAGAGCTCCTCGAGACGAACAAACCGCAAGGATGAAAAGCTACGGACACAAAAACATTGATCACTTTTTAATTATTCTTATGTTCTAATGCTGTTTCCTCGTCACAAACAGACCTGCAGTTGTGTTTTGTTTCATTCACAAACCCTGTACATTTAGGCTGCGCTCTTTTCTCAAACGCAAAACTCTATTCCAACTCGTGATGTCATGTGGTAATACAGGAAGTGCTCCATAAAGTCAGACCTGGAATTGCCAATCACCACTGAACAAAAGAAGAATAGAGCATTTTGAGCTGTGGATGTGTAAAGCTCAAACATGTGTGAATGACTCCAGGTCTGTTTGTGACTTTGCATTCAAGCTCACAACAGTTCATTTTTCATAATATAGGTCCTTTAATATCATATTTTTTGGACTATAAGTGTCACTTTTTTCATGGTTTGTGTGTTTCCTGTGACTTATTCTCCAGTGTGATTTATATATTAAAATGTTTGAGTGAAGTGTGGAGAGGTTCTAGTCTTGTGTGTCAGTATCTGCTGCTCCTGTTCCTCCTGTACCACTGTCACTTGGCTCTACTGCGCATGTCTCCTGCAGAAAGAGCCTCTGTCCTGTCTGTATCATGTCAGTCGTTCGCACCATTACTTCTGTACCACTGAACAATTTAACATTTAAGTGACTTCAGTGACACTGAAACCATCCTGTCGGGATTTAGAAAGACCCGAATAATTCTAACTGGAACTGATGCTGAGTCTGACGACAGCGACACAGAAGAGGAAGAGGCACTCTGTTTAGTGATTTAGAGTGAGATGGAGAGTTTGGTAAACTTGTTCTGTTCTGTTGTTTATGCTATAGTTTATCTGAAGAACTGTGAAATATGTGACGTTAACAGTCTGTTGTTCTCTCTTCTATTGTTTTTACTAGAACTTGACTTTACACAGGAAATGTCTGCTCCTGGTCTCCAATTTTACAAAATAAAAAGTGCAACCTACAGTCCGGTGCGACTTATATATGTTTTTTTTCTTCTTCATTACACATTTTTTGACTGGCACAACTCCGGAGTGACTTATAGTCCAAAAAATACAATAATAATAATTTCATCTGCTACTAAATACTAAAAAAAAACATTTTAGCTTCATCACCTGGATATCCCTTTGACATAACAAGTTAAAAGTATGTTCAAAGTAAGTTATGATGGACAGAACACTTAATGCAATTTGTCCTGTAGTGGTCTGAATCCTCTCACTTGTTAATCCATGCGTCCTGCAGCAGAAGCATGACAGGGCTGACAGTGAACAGGTGCTGCTCCTGCCAGTCTTTCGCCTGTCTGTAGCTGTGGGCCCAGGGCACCGGAGCACGGATCAGCCTCTGGGGGAAGGGCTGCGGGATGCAGCCGATGGAGAGCCTCTGGCGCTCGGAGGGGTACATCAGGATGTAGTCCACTGCACGACACCACAAACAAACAAATCACACTCTCACATTAACACTCTCCCTTCAACACTGTCCCATCAACACTGTCCCTTTAACACTCTCACATCAACACTGTCTCATCAACACTGTCCCATCAACACTGTCACATTAACACTTTCCCCATAACATTTCCCCCATCGTCTAAAAACCTCCTGAATGACAACAGCCTCACAAAGTCACACATGAGACATTTAAAACACCTGTCTGATCACAAATCTCTGCTTAAATTATTAATCAAATGAGTGAAATTAATATTGCACAAACTGTATTGAACATTCAACATATTTTTTTGTCACTGTCTCAAAGAACTGAACATTGATGGTGACACAGACTGAAGTGAACTTTTGGTCATTTACTAAATCTAATTATCAAAGTAATATACAGTTTCTCATTAACCTCACAATAATTCTGGTAATATTTGTGAATTTAAAAACTCATCTGGCCCAGTGGCTCTGACCAATCAAAGGGGCACGCTCTGAGGTGTGGGCGGAGCCAAAAGTGAAGTGCCCAAAATAAACACGCCGACGTAGAAGGACGTGCATGTGCCTGTGCATGAGCAGAAATGAACTTCCTGTGTTACGTTGAGTTGAACGTCCCGTCAGGTCCTGATCACGAGTCCTGCACGGATCAGTTTGGCATGATCCAGGTCTTTCATTTGCATATTTCATTATGTGTTTTGTGTTACTGTGGTAACAAATCAGAGCGCCTCTCTAACTTTCTCTATGACTTAACACAATAAAAGTACTAACAACACAAATGATATACCTTAAAAAATATTTAAAACATGCTTCCCTGTACATGAATAAATAAAATAAAGATTTGTTTGTGGATGTGACTGGTTCTGGTTCAGTCGTGAGTCAGATAAATACCTATAGATTTCTTGAGTGCAAAAATGTAGTTCTGTTTGACCTCCTCCTCCAGACTGGCTCGGAGTAACTGCACTTTGGGGTTGTTTTTCTCCTCCACACCCGGAGGGGGCAGCAGACTCAGAATGTTGTGAGTCTGGTGATCGGGCTCCGGGGGCAGCACGGAGCAGGGGACTGAGTTGATGTAATACTCGTACCTCTGGATAAAGAAAACCGTTTTACACTGACGCTGCTCTGTCACGCCTGGGCATTCGTGTGTTTGGCACCTGTAGGTCCGTGTCCGTGGGCTCTTGCCTCCTGCATTCCTTTTCCTGGCGGATCATAATATCGCGCTGTTCCTCGGGACTTATGGAGCGACTCCTGGGCGGTTTTCTTGACAGTGGGGGGAGGGGGGCCACTGAAGTGCAAAACCTGGAAAAACGTAAAAGAACAGAGGCCGCACTGGAAATTTACAAGTTTTAAATTACAAATCTGACCTGAACTACAAGTGCATGTATAAATGTTACATACTGAGCTGTCATAATGTGAACTTGGAGAGCAAAAACTGCAGGTCTGTTTTTTGATGAGGAAACAACATTATAAAATAGATCAGAACATACTGGGGATGTAACAGTAACCGAAATATCGTGCTGTCGTATCGTCAAAGTTCTCCCAATAATATGGACCATCACAATATATCGAATTACAAGTGTCTTTGTTTCAATGAAGAATTATGATGCAGCAATAACTAAAAAAAGACAGAGCGAACTACATAGACCATGATCCTTTACTCCATTTCAGTGCAGACGACATGAAGAAATAACAGTTCTAACACTTTTAAGTCTTAGTTCTTTGGATTAAGTCTTGTCGAGGCATTTTAAGAGGAAAAAGAAGCACATTAACAGTTTTGTTAGGTCCACAAAATATCACAATAAATATCGTACCGTGAGATGTATATCGTGAAAATATCGTACAGAGAGATTTGGATATTGTTACATCTCTAATTGTGAGGCTCCCCACAATATCGCAATAAATATCGTACCGTGAGGTTCAGACCCTGACGACATCGTATCGTGAGACTTGGATATCGTTACACCCCTAGAATATGGGAACTTTAAATAAATTATATAAAATATCCAAAATCTACAACAAACCAGTAAAAACACAGAGACTAAAACTACCGTCTTACTTCACATTTCCTCTCAAATGTGCTTTGAGACACACAATATTTTAACTATTGATTCTTATTATTATCTATGCTGCTGTTGACCTGGACCTGAGTGCAGTATTTTGTTTCTGTGTACTTTTTTATACTGAAATGACAAATTCTGATTCTGATTCTTACCTGGCCCTGGGCATGGCTGACCGTTTTGCAGCAGCTGAGGTGGAATCTGTGATCTGGTTAAAGTCATTTACATTTTATATCAGTTTCTGTTGCATTTGCTGTAATTTCTCTGGGAGGAGCTGAACTCTCTCCTCTATAACCACCAGGCGGCAGAACGAAGGAATTTAATTTAGAGAGAGATCGAGAGTGAGAATATAATTTCAATTTTTCATATGGAAATTTGACAATAAACTTTTTGAATTGACCTGAATTTGAATATTTCTCTGTGTTACCATCAGCACAATTAGATGAGTTACAAAAGAAAGAGAAGAAGGAAAGGAGAAGAAAAAAAAACTGTGCTGTCACTACTAATTTGCTTTTCATCGATGAAAATTATCATAACTTTTTTCTTCATTCCCTGGACTTCCATTAATATTCAGTTTTCTTTAGTTACTATTATCTCCTCTGCTGTACATCCAAACCATGCGCACACACATAAACACACTCAACATGCTCTGTTCTACCTTGTGATGTCATGAAGTGGGACTTTTAAACACTGTGTTTTCTGTTTGAGAGAACAACTCCGCCTAAATTTGAATGAAATATCGTTTTTGATGAGGAAACATGATTAACATAGGCCAGGAAATAGTACAATGTAGGCCCTTTATTAAGTTTCAGTTTCCTTTTTGACACTCTGAGTGTCCCCTCCCTCTGTTCCCTGTGCTAAGTCACTCCCCCTTCAGCACTACCACATCATAATCAGTGCACCGTGAGTTGGATAAGGCCCGGGAGAGATCGCAAGATTATTCAAACATGCACGGAATACATGGGATGTTTTTGAGAACATTATAACAGAGCTGATTTTGCATAACACCACCTGAACTTCAGATTGTTGATTGGAGCGTCTCCGGTCTCGTTCTGTAAATGATTTATCCCTGTTTGTCTGTGTTACAGTGAGCGGAGGTGGAAGGATACGAGCTCCTGTTGGGCGCACTTTGCCCGTCTTGCGTTTGAGTTTGGCGATGTTGAGGTGGCGGGCGCGGGGGCTGTAGTTGCTTCCGATGAGCTGAGACGGGGTGCGGTGGTAGTTCTGCTCATTGAACGGAACGACCCTGGTCATGCAGTCGCGCTGGAGGAGAGGGGGAAACTGTCTGCGCCTCTGGACCATCTGCACAATGAGAGAAAGAGAAGATATTAAACAAAACTCCAGTGCAGATGTGTTTGTGATGAGGACGCTCTCCTCTGTCTCTCCTATGTCCTCGCCTCGCTCAGATGCCCTGCCTGCCGCTCCACACAGTAAATTCAGAAGTGTTAAATTCACAGTGTTGTTGTTGTGAGTAGAGTGAAGAAAATCCAGACATGTTTCAAGATAATCAAGAGTAAATGAGTAGTTGTTGATCCACAGTGTTGATGTCAAACACTTACAAAGTGTGTGTTTTAAATGTTACACTACATTTGTAAAGTTTCCAGCCGGAGAGCTACAGACGGCAGCCTTTTCACCTGCGAGCTGGACTGCACTGGGAGCCGAGCACATGTGAGGAGACCTGAGTTACAACTTCTGAAATGTCTTGGTGTGATTGTTTGCTGTGCATTATTTTAATACAAGTTAACTGGAAATGGAATTTTGTGGTGTTTTTTGTCAAAGGGATTATGAACTAGAATGAAAACAGCACTGACACTATTTAGTGAAGAAAGAGTTACTATTGAATAGTGTAACATTAAGAACATTCTACATCACAGTGTCAAGCTCAAATTCAGGGTTTGGTTTTATTGGATCTATACAACTGTAAACGGAAAAATGTGAGGCCACTTATTTCAACAGAACATCAGGGCCATAACCTGAGGAAATAACATTACAGTTTAACTCAACATAACATCAGAATATAGAGCAATGTGGCCATATAAGTGGAACGTTTGTGCAAAGAAAGCTGAGAAAATAAAACCTAATGCTGCCACCTGTGTGAAAATCCCATCCAAAACGCAAAGACATTTACAAGAAAGGAAGGACTTTTTTCTGACAGGTTGACATTGGTTTAATCAGGGGTTCTACTTTTTTTCACTGACAAAATTCCAAATTTTCCAGGACTTTTTCATGACCTAAAGTGAATTTTCCATGACTTTACGGCACCTACATATGTAGAACTGATCAGACTTTTAGGGTTAAATATGAAATGTTTAACTCTTTCCTCTCACCTTATGATTTGGGATTATAGTTTTTAACATTCTAAATCCGGTCAGTGCATTTATTGTCGTCTCTTTTAAATAAAAGCCACAGACGTTGAAATATGAAATAATCAGAACAGCCACATGAGAACTTAACAGAACGGTGGAGCTGTGTGAAAGAGACACTGAGCTTATGTTTACACTGAAATGTATCACCGTATCGGAAACAATTTGAGTCCAGACACGTCGTTTCTGCGTCCACAGTCCTTCTCTATCCACACAGCTTTGAGCATATTTGTTTATGTTTTACAGAAACTAAACTTAAAACCACATGACTCATTTGTTTAAACTAAGCCTCAAAAAAACAGCTCTTTCTTTGTGTCGCTGATGCGGTTCAGATTCTGTCAGACAAAAGGACACGACTCAGTGGAATATGAGTGTTCGTTCTGTGACAGAGGGGTGTTCTGCTGATGGTGAGTCTGTTCTGTGTTTCTGTCATGTTGGAGATGGTTCATGTTAAACTTTTCAGAGATTATACCTCTGCAGGTCATAGGCACAGACCGAGCATAAAAATAGTCTTTTTGTGGACTGTGTACTACGAAGTAGTTCTATCTCCGCTGTTTCCCCATTTGTCTCTGGTTTGTTTAAACAGTTTTCCTCAACAGCGTCACATAACCGATGTGACGAACCCAGAGAATCAGGAAGGAGCGAGTCACAGTGACGTGGTCCAATAAGGACGAGACTAGAGCTCCAACATCAGAGTATCAGTGTTTTCAGGTGTCCACGCGGTGCCGGATCAGATCTGTACTTCGATGAATTCGTGGGAGCTGGAGGCACCAGATCGTTCCGTCTCTGGAGCGTTTTCCATCGGATTAGTGTGAACAAACACTTCATCCACAATCAAAACCACTCCAATATGTACTAGTGTGGATGGGCCCTAAAATTCCCTGACTTTTCCAGGATTTCCTTGACCGTGGGAACTCTGTTTAATAAAATAAAAGTGTTGTAATTTATTTGTAATAGTCTAATCATCAGTATTGTGTAATTTAAGCAGGTTTTGATGAACAGTTACGGAATTACCTCTACATATGTCACATCCCTGAGTCCAACCAGGAAAAAAAATTTACCACTTCACCAAGATTTAAAAAAAATTAAAATAGAAACCAGGAAAACTTTTATTAAAATGTTAGACATAGTCACTCTGTAGAAAACCTATCCTCTTTAAACATCGACTACATATTATCACATGTTTATAAAAATCCCACAGTCCCTCTGACAGAACCTCACCTGATAGAGATCGGACGGCTCTTCGTCGAGCGTCCGAGGAAGAGGAGGGGGCATCGGGAAGCCTCTGTTCTGACTCATGTTGTAGATCTAATCGTCCTTCACCTGGAGTTCAGACACAAACGGCTTTGTTCAACTTTCAGAACCGTCATTGTATTTTTACACAAACAGAGACGGTGCACAAGGTAAAACTATAAACTATAAACATGGACTCCAGGATTGTAGGACAGACTGTGATCACTTTAAACACACACACTTTAAGACTATTTATTTATGTACATGTTTTATCTCTGACTAAATTTGTCTTTTACTTGTGTTCATATTCTGTGTTTTTTGTTTTAAATATATTGTAATTTGTCTGTTTGAATGTGTCTATAAATGCTGTGTTTTTTATACTGCAAATGGCAAATAAACTAAACTGAAACTCAAGTAAAAGTAAAAAGTACACTTTAAAAATACAATTCTGCATATTTCACTTAACTGTACTATTTACTATTTACTTTTTAACACAGTTTAGAGTAATTTTAGGACACACTTTTACACAAAACTAATAATAAAGTGTAATAAAGTTCTTTTAAACTTCACTCTGCACATCCTCTGAAGTGTTTGTCCTTTGAAAATAACAGATTTTGTGTTTTATTTAATGTTTGGTCCATTTAGATTAACTTCAAATTATAAATCAGATGTTACGTCCCACCACTTTCTCTTACTTGAGCTGTAGTTTTTCCAAATAATTTTTACTTTAGAGTAATTTCATGGCTTTGTACTTCTACTTGAGTAATATTATTTTGAGTACTGTACTTATCCAGGACAGTCCCAGGTTTGAGCCTTCGTCCCCGGTCCCAGCAGATTTACCCCGAAACCACTGATCTGTCCCAATTTATACAAGAAAAGGTCCCAGGGGTCTCTAAACTAAGACTAAACCAGGACAAAACTAAGATTAAACCAGGACTATATCAGGTCTAAACCAGGTCTAAACCAGGTCTAAACCAGGACTAAACCAGTTCTATATCAGGTCTAAATCAAGTCTAAACCAGGACTAAACTAAGACTAAACCAGGTCTAAATTAGAACTAAACTAGGAATAAACCAGGTCTAAACCAGGACTATATCAGGTCTAAATCAAGTCTAAACCAGGACTAAACTAAGACTAAACCAGGTCTAAATTAGAACTAAACTAGGAATAAACCAGGACTAAACCAGGTCTAAACCAGGACTATATCAGGTCTAAACCAGGACTAAACCAGGTCTAAACCAGGTCTAAACCAGGACTAAACCAGGTCTAAACCAGGACTAAACCAGGACTAAACCAGGACTATATCAGGTCTAAATCAAGTCTAAACCAGGACTAAACTAAGACTAAACCAGGTCTAAATTAGAACTAAACTAGGAATAAACCAGGTCTAAACCAGGACTATATCAGGTCTAAATCAAGTCTAAACCAGGACTAAACTAAGACTAAACCAGGTCTAAATTAGAACTAAACTAGGAATAAACCAGGTCTAAACCAGGACTAAACCAGGACTATATCAGGTCTAAATCAAGTCTAAACCAGGACTAAACTAAGACTAAACCAGGTCTAAATTAGAACTAAACTAGGAATAAACCAGGTCTAAACCAGGACTATATCAGGTCTAAACCAGGACTAAACCAGGTCTAAACCAGGTCTAAACCAGGACTAAACCAGGTCTAAACCAGGACTATATCAGGTCTAATCAGGTCTAAATCAAGTCTAAATCAAGTCTAAACCAGGTCTAAACCAAGACTACATCAGGTCTAAACCAGGACTATATCAGATCCAAACCAGGTCTATACCAGGTCTATACCAGAACTACATCAGGTCTAAACCAGGTCTAAACCAGGACTAAACCAGGACTATATACCCCTCATCTCCACCCGGGTGACGTACCTGTTTCAGCCGCTCCAGCTCACACAGGTGTCTCCAAATGTGACTGAAAAACCGAAAACACAAATGATAAAAACAGACAATCACACCAAAATTAAAAAAACTCCTCTTAAAAAAACAAAAATAAGCTCCTACAAAACAAAACAAGCTCCAAAAAACCAAAAATAAGATCCTAAAAAACAAAATAAGCTCCTAAATCCGTGTATCATTCGTTCATTCGTTTTTCAATATAAAACCAAAAATAAGAAAACGAAAAAACAACAGTTTTCTTCGTTATTTGTCTCCAAAACCAAAATGAAAAAACGGATAACGATTCGTTTTTTTCAGTTTTCGATTTTGTGTTTTTGTGTTTAGAGCTCGAAGCTGAGGCTCGGACCCCGTGGAGGCTCGGAGTCAAAGCTCGGAGTCCCGCCCTGGTCCCGGTCTCAGTCCCACTCTGGTCCCGGTCTGGTCTCGGTCTGGTCTCGGACCTGGATCAGTCCTGGTTCAGTCCGTACCCGGTGCAAAAGTTCGGTATCGCAGTCACGGAAGTCACGTAAACGGGAAACGGCCGTTATCCGTTTTTTCCATTCTTCATTTAAACACAAAATCGAAAACTGAAAAAAACGAATCGTTATCCGTTTTTTCATTTTGGTTTTGGAGACAAATAACGAAGAAAACTGTTGTTTTTTCGTTTTCTTATTTTTGGTTTTATATTGAAAAACGAATGAACGAACGATACATGAATGAATGAACGATTCTCCTAAAATGACCCCGTTCATTTTGACTTTTGACAGTTGACGTTAGGTTTACAATTCGACCACGCGGCGCACGTTTTCCGCATTAAAAGTTAAATTAAAAACGTTTTACGCATAAATTAAAACGTGTCCTGAATGAAACTACTGCCCCGGAAGAGTTTGGACACTTACCTAATGCGTAAATAAAGTTAAATTTCGCATAATAAGCGCATTTAAAGAGGACTGGCGTGAAAAACTGCTGCTGTTGCTGCTGTTGTAAACTGAAGCGGTGTTGGGCCGGGGAGCGTCGCCATGGCAACGCAGGGGGCGGGGCCCGGACGCGTTTTAATGATTACGGGACTTTTTTTGTTTTTTTGGTCTTTCTAAATATTAAGGACATTATGGCAGTTTTGGGTGAATTTTCATGAAAGTAAATTAAAAAGTGATTTACCTAGTAGTAGTAGTAGTAGTAGTAGTAGTAGTAGTAGTAGTAGAAGTAGAAGTAGTAGAAGTAGTAGTAGAAGTATTAGAAATAGTAGTAGTAGCAGTAGTAGCAGCAGCAGAAGTAGTAGAAGTAGTAGTAGAAATAGTAGAAGTAGTAGTAGTAGTAGAAGTAGTAGAAATAGTAGTAGTAGTAGTAGTAGTAGTAGTAGTAGTAGTAGTAGTGGTAGTAGTAGTACTTTTGTGTTAGTATTCGTACTCAGTAGTAGTAGTAGTAGTAGTAGTAGTAGTAGTAGTAGTAGTAGTAGTAGTAGTAGTAGTAGTAGTAGCAGTAGTAGTAGCAGTAGTAGTAGCAGTAGTAGTAGTAGCAGCAGTAGTAGTAGTAGAAGTTGAAGAAGTAATTTTATTTATTTGTTTATTTATTGCGGCTCTTTATAAATGTAAACGTGTGGCTGTTTGTACTTTGTATTTTTGTATTTTGTGTTTGTGTTTATTTCTAGCCTGTAGTAATTGTACTTCATTACATAAAAACACAGATGTTACTGAGTTCTGAATGTGTCCATATACTCTGTACTGTGTGTACTGTTTCACAAGTTTCTGCTGCTACTTTCAACAACAAATTCACCACAACAAACTCAGCACAGCACCAGGGAAATGTTGATGGTGTAAAACGACTAAACTCACTTTACACTGTTTAATTGATCTGGTTTTGTATTAAAGAAAACTTACTAAACTGCTTCTAAGTTGTCTAAAAAGTACCTGGGTAGTATTTTTCACGTGTGTGTTTTTTAACAGTAGCATTTGTGAAAGTAGTTTTCCTTGAGTACACGCTTATTCTTTCCACCGTTGATAGTAGAAAAAGAAATGTCAAAGATGTGTCCAGTGCAAATACAACACGAGCATGATGTTCAGTGTCCAGTGTGCTGTTTTGCTGCCCTACTACTACCACCACTACTACTACTACTACCACCACCACTACTACTACCACTACTACTACCACCACTACTACTACCACCACTACTGGATTTTGTTGGTTGAAGATTTGGTGATAGGGCAGATTTATGAAGCTGCTGGAGAATACGACACACATTTACACACACATTTTGACACAGAAAACCATTAACCAGAAGTTCCACAAACCTACAGGGCAAGAATTCCAGCCATAGTGAAAAAGCTCTATGATTAACTGTGGTGTGATGTTTATGCCTCCATTTCAAAGACAGTACTGCCACCTAGTGTTCATTCAGTGTAACTACAGTAAGTCAGAACTATATTAAAATCTCACATTCTCTGACTGTTTTAGAACAAAAATGACTTTCTAAAAACATTACTCTCATTACTCTTGCTGCTATGAAAATGATTATTTCTTTTATATTTACTTTCCCAAGTTTAGTGAATATGACTTTTAACTGAGACGCCCTGTAGCTCTCATTTCTTGTGTTTTTATTCACTTTAACCCTTGTTTATATTCTTCTTTTGAATTCTGTTCAAAAACAATAATGAACAATGTGGTGTAGTGAAACCTTTGCGTTTAACAGTAAATATAATCCCCAGTTTAATGTGTAGTTTTAGTGCCCTCTAGTGGACAGTAAAAACATAATACAAAATCTCATCATACTCAAAGGAGAAAGGAAAAGTTGTATGTTTTATTAGTATCAAGGTGGAAATCAAATGAACTTTAATTACAAATGCATTTATATATAAAACTCATTTGGGTGAATTCTCTGTAGCGGTTTGTCTGCGGTTTATCCAAAAATGCCTTTCTTCTTTTCTGTTGAATTAAAGTTATAAATTAAAACAGGACTATTTCATAAGAATAATAATATTGAAATAGACCCTCACCCTTTTCCCTGACGGTGTAGAGAGCCTCCATCCCCCCCTTCAGATGATCGGTCACGTGACAATGGAACAGCCAGGTCCCCACAAACTGAGGACGCATCTTCACTGTCTGCACGAAGCAGGAGGAAAGTTTAAGCTCAAATCAAACAACAGTGATGTAATGTGAACGGAATATAGGCCAGTGAAAAAATAATTTCACTTTTGTTTATTTATAACTTCATGTTTTATGCTGTGTCAGCTGCCCCATCTGTATTTGTAAGTCTGATTTAATTCATGTCATTTTGTATTATTGTTCATTGTTTTATGTGTCACTATATTGCACATTTAGTTTGTGAATTTTGTTCACAGATAATGACAAAAAAAAAACAAAAAAACATTTTGACTCTGATTCCATTGTTTAATGAATTATTATGTATTAGTGGTTGGATTCATATAGAGCAGGGGTGTCCAAACTTTTTTCATCAAGGGCCACATATCTAAACACAGACGAAGCAGTGGGCCATAGACTGGTGCTCAGTACAGTGAATAATTGAAATATGTGCAGGTTTAACACATCAGAATGAGCCATCAGTCCTTTATTCATGCTAAGATCCTTAAAACCACACACTAAATATTAAATATGAGCTTTATCAAGGTAGATTTTCAAAAAACTTGCAATAAAAAGTTAATTTTTCATTGATGCAAGGTAATCTGGGCCAATTCTCCTGGAAGCCTGAGGGTCAAGAAAAATTTGTCTGAGGGCCGCATTTGGCCCACGGGTCATAATTTGGACGTATCTTTGAAGATATGGGACGTGTCTGGGGTGAAGGAAGTCTGGGAGTACCTGCTTAGACTGCTGCCCCCGCGACCCGGCCCCGGATAAGCGGAACAAAAAGGATGGATAGAAGATACGGGCGACAGTAGCTCAGTTAGAGCGTTTGTGCACTGATCTAAATGTTGGTGGTTTGAATCCCGCTCTCAACATAAACATCATTGGTTGAGCGTCAGATCCATTGGCCCTCAGGTTGGCAGTGTGATTCCAGCTCCCACAGATGAATGCTGTCATTGTGTCCTTGGGCAAGACACTTAACCCACGTCGCCCCCAGTGTCTGTGTGCACTGGTGTGTGAATGTGTGTGAATGGTTGTGTGGTTCCTTGTTGTAAAGCTATATAAAAATGTGACCATTTACTCAAAGCACTTTACACATTATTCATTCACTCCGTCCTCACTGGTGGTAAGATATAGTCTCTTACCACAGCCACAGCTGCCGTGGGACAAACTGACGAAAGCAAGGCTACCAATCTGTCCCTTTGACCACCACCAACACTCACACCACTTTCAAACTAGAAAATGTGTCTTGCCTATGGACACAATAGCAGTTTTTTTCACCAGCGCCCCCCTGTGGCACTTGATTACCCCAGTGGTCTCCCATCTGAGCACTAACCAGGCCCAGTGTCCTGTCGATTTGAGCTCCTGAGGCAGAAGTGGAGTAACAAGTGACAGTTGTTATTTGTTGTATTGGTTTTATTGTCTTTTTGAACCAGTTAAACATCGACATGTGTGTGTTGGATTTGCAGCAGAATATCTGTGTTAGATGATTGAATAGTTTGAATTGAATATTTGATTTTATCATTATCATTTTCACCGCATTATATTTCATTTTGTTTCCATGTGTACAAAACATTGGAACTTCGTTTAGAAAGGTGCTGCATAAATAAAATAACACTATATTGTAAAAGGAAATTCACATTGTAGCCTTAATATTAAATGTTCCATGCTATTTAATATAAAGATTTCAGTGTTTCATTTCTTCCTCTTCTATAGTGGGAGTCTTATTTGATAGAAGATATCGGCCTGTGGAAATGAGCTCTGCCCAAATTCATATAAATGAGTGAATAGTTGTGATTCAACAGTTGGAGCTTTATTCAATGGATAAATTGCATCAAACCTGCAGCTCTAATCCACAGAAATGTGTTGTAAAACTGGGGAGGTCAGGGTTTGGTTATTGGATCTATACAACTGCAAACGGAAAAATGTAACATAGCTTATTCCGACGTGGTGGCGTGAATAGATAGACGTCACTGTCGATTTAGGCTGCAGGCAGCTCATTTCGACAGAACACCAGCCCTGCTTAACTTGACGGGATCAGGATTTGACATGACGGTATGACCTGCTGTAGTGTGGGCCTACAGAACTCTGTCATCTGAAACCCAACAATTACCTGAAATGTTGCGGGGAACAGTTCATAGACGTCAGTGCGATGAGGTCCTCCTGCGAGCTGCACACAAACACCAGAACACACTTACTGTATGTCATGTTCCTGGTGTGAATGTATTTTTAAATAAAGTTCCAGTCCTAACTTGTTACTTTAACTGTACATTTAAATAAAGTTGTAGTGTCACCTTGTATTCCACACTGTGGCCGTGCCAGTGCGCTGTGTGGATGTCTATGTTTGTGCCCATGGCCATCAGATACCAGTACACCTTATCCCCCACCTCCATGTTCAGCCCGGGCACATTAGCATACATGTAGCCATTAATCGCTGAAAAATACACAAATATACAAAATCCACGTTTATATAGAGTCACTCCACAGTCTGACAGGAGCACAAGAGAACACCATAAAACTACACTAGGGTGGTCCAAAAACATTTTTTTTTAGATTTTCTAAATTAGAACCCTGCATTTGGTTCCATATTTGGTCAAAATATTTGGGTCAGAATTTTATGCAAATGAATGAATATTTAGAGGTTGCTCAAGACACTTGAAAATGTCCCTATAGGGCTGATACTATAACATAAAACCAAATAAAATAAGGCCTATTCAAACACTTTGTCATTTTATTCTGCAAACACAAAGTGAAACTCATTAAAGTGACTTTGAAAGTCCAGCTCCACTGTGTCTTTGTTGGCCTCACTAAAGATGTGTCTGTGTCTGTGACACCTGCAGTAGATCCTGTTTCTGATCTTCATTCTTTGTTTGGCTACAGTTAAAATCTTGAATAAACTTCACCTTCTTTCAGCAACAGCACTGACAACTTTCCTGGAATGCACAGATTTAGTTCCATTGAAAGTCTCATCATCAGCCCAGTCTGCTGCTGGGGGATTGTTCAAAATGTTTTTGGCAGATCAAGAGCTTCGAAGAAACCCATCGTGCCGATGGAGACAAAATCCCTGATCTGCTTCCCTTCATAATCTGCTTGATTAAGAGCACCATGTCACTTTGGTGGAATCTCTGAACCTTCCTTTTCCATAATATTGTGAACCATCAGCTTCTTGTGTTCTTCTGTCACACTGGAATGGAAGAATTCCAGGCCAACTATTTCTTCACTTGAGCACCAAAAATGTCAGCCCAAAGCTATTAAGGTGCTTTCTTCACAAGTGAATGTTCAGACTGTGACAGCTTCTTAAGGAAAGCCAAATCATTTGCAGGAGCTTTAAAACTTCATGCAGAAACTTCATGAAGCTTGAACAACCTCTAAAACATCTCTTTTTCTTTCAAATTTCTTCCTAAATCATCTTTTGGATGTTAAAACCTAATGCAGGGTTCTAATCAAGGTCATCTGAAACTTTAGTTTTTACCATGCTTTGATGGACCACTCTAAACTATATTATATTATATAATATATATTTATATATTATATTATATAAATAAATAAATATTAATAATTTTAAATAATTATTAATAAATATAAATATTATTCTGTATGATCATGAAAAGATTAAATATTATACTGAATTGTTAATTACTATGGCAACAATCCACATTTTTCATAATCCTGAAACTGGTAAGTTAAATATATATGTGTATGATCTCACAGTGCATCTTGTTGCTCTCGATAAAGCCTTCTTCACTCTTCAGGTTTGGTCTTGGATTTCTGACATGGGTCCTGATATTTTCATCCAAATACCTGGAAAAGAGCAAATTAAAAAAAAATAAATAAAAAAAAAATAAACACCTGATTATTAGAGAATTTTAAAATAAACCATAACTTACCAGCTTTCATTCTCATCAAAGACCAGGAAAAGCATCGCAAACTCCTCCACCTCCTTCTTCAGACCCAAACTCCTGCAAAAACGTGTCAAATATCCAGCCACATGTTCAGACTTTTCCAATCGTCATTCATTTGTTTTTAAATGGTTCAATATCAGCCTCTCATCTCAGTAGTAAAGAAAGCCTATTGTGTTTTTGACTATTATATACTGTAGTTAAAATCTATGACAGCCGTAGATCTTTATGTTATCATTTGGACATTTTAAATCACAATATTCAGATCACACGTTTGTGCTACACTGATACAAAAAGTACGATTCCCTCAAATCAAGACATAATTAGAAAAACATGAGAACATCTGCACTTTACAATCTATGTGATAAAGTTGTTTCCTCATCACAAACAGATCTGGAGTTTTGTTTCATTCACACATGTTTAACACACAAATCCTGCAGATTGAGGCGGAGTTCTTCTCTCAAACTGAAAACACGCTGTTCCACCTTGTGATGTCATGTTGTAACACCCACACAGAGAGCAGGTGATCACAAATCAAAATGAAGTATTATCTGGGTAACTGATTGTTCTCGAAATACTATCGCCCTTATAATAATTCCATTTGTAATGCATAAACAAAAGAAAGGTAAAGGCTGCGTTGACTTTGAATTATATTTGGCCACTTAGTCCATCATAAATTATAAAGTTCTTAAGAGCACCTCTTTAATGTTTATTGTCCCTGTGGTCAATCATTGTCTTTCACCCGTGGGACTTATATTTAGTCCATTGCCCTCTGTCAGAATCCAGCCATAGGTCTGAACAAAACTGTCTTTTAATCTGATATTAGCAATCTCCAAATAATTATATCCACAGGGCCACAGCGGAATAGCAGAGCATGCTCCCGTGCCGGCACACACCTGGAAAACCGTGATAAGGGAAAGTACAACCTCCGTGAAGTTGGCCCCCCATCAAACGCACACCTACACAAAAACTATGTCTATTGTTTGTGCTCTGTTTGTGCTGTTTTGTGCTGCCAAAAGTTTAGTTTGTGCTGCTTTAGTTTTGGAGATATTAACAATTCTCTTATAGGGTTCAAATTAGGGTCGGCAAGCCCCCAGGACGCTTAAACGGCCCAAAATGGTGTCAATTGTTTGTGCTTCCTTTGTACTGTTTTGTGCTGCAAAAAGTTTTGTTTGTCGGACTCATTTTGAGGGACTGGATGACGTCATTGGCCGAAATTAAAACTCCTAATATCTTAAGAACCATAATCACAAAACTTTTGCAGCACAAAACAGCACGTTCAAAGCACAAACAATAGACATAGTTTTTGTGCAGGTGTGCATTTGATGGGGGCCAACTTCACACAGGTGTACATGAATGTACAAGTACATGGATGGGTCTCACCGGGCCTGAAGAGCTGGGGCCTGTTGGTTTACTCATCAGGACCTTTTAAGTGGTCCAAATCCACTTCGGTTCGACTCAGGTATTAGTCTGTGTTACGTCCCTAGGTCCCGAACAAGCCCCAGTGGCACAGCGGTGAGATGGGGCGGCATGCGCATGATCACACATGCCTCCATAAACACCCCTTATATGCTCCCATATATGCACCTATCCCATATATACCTCCATATACACTCCCCCATATATACCTCCATATACAGTCCCTGACAAAAGTCTTGTCGCTTATCCATTTTGTAGAAACAAAAGCTTATAACCTGACTTTAAATGAATCGATTGGTTTTAGAAATGTCTCATATGAAGCTAAAACCCTCCCAAATTATGCTCAATATACTAAAATAAATTTGCTTCACTGAAGAAAGATTGATCATTTAATGAACACAGAAAGGTCAGATTTTGGCAAGACAAAAGTTTTGTCGCCTACAGAAAATTGAACAAATAATTTACTTCAAATACAAAAATATGTTGCATAACGTCAGTGAATTAAGTAGTGGTGCTGTGAGATCCAGATTTAATATCTTGTATGACTTCCATGAGCTTGAAGGACGCATCCATGCGGTTCGACAATGATTCATACAATTTGTTGATGAAGTCATCAGGAATAGCAAAGAAAGCGTCTTACATGCCTCCCAGAGTTCCTCAAGATTCTTTGGTTTTGCCTTCCATGCTTCCTCTTTCATTCTACCCCAGACATGCTCAATGATGTTCATGTCTGGTGACTGGGCTGGCCAGTCCTGGAGCACCTTCATCTTCTTCGCCTTGAGAAACTTTGATGTAGAGATAGAAGTATGTGATGGAGCACCATCCTGCTGCTAAATTTGAGCCCTTTTATGGTTGGGAATGTAAGAGGAGCTAATACTTCTTGATATTTTAGGTTATTGATATTTGCCTTCCACCCTGCAAATGTCTCGTACAGCCCCATACTGGATGGAACCCCAGACCAGGATTTTTCTGCCACCAAACTTAACTGTTTTCTGGGTGAATCTTGGATCCATGCTGGCTCCAGTAGGTCTACTGCAATATTTGCGGCGGCTGTGATGTAATTCAACCAAGGATTCATCTGAGAAATCCACCTTCTGCCACTTTTCCAGTGTCCATCCTTTTAGCAGGCTGTGGGCCTTGGCAAACGCCACATGTTTTTTAATTGCCTTTTGTTTAGTGCTGGTTTCTGTGCACTGATTCGACCATGGAGGTCATTTCAAGACAGAATTCTACAAACTGTTGTGGTTGACACAGGGACTTGAGGTGACCAGGCCTGTGGAGTCTGCTGCAGTGGAAAAGGGGCTGGGCTTGGATTTTCTAATCAACAAACGGTCCTCCCGAGCAGTTGTCTTGCGGGGTCTGCTGGACCTGGGCATGTTGTCAGAGGTCAAGTTGCAGTTGATGTGAAGGTCTGGTGTGCTGGGGTTCTTTTTATACACACCCACTAATTGATTGATCAGTAACTGATCACAGGTGAGGCTGTAATCTAGGATTGGGTGCATCATATGACAAGGCCACAAGACTTTTGTCTTGCCAAAATCTGACCTTTCTGTGTTCATTAAATGATCAATCTTTCTTCAGTGAAGCAAATTTATTTTAGTTTATTGAGCATAATTTGGGAGAGTTTTAGCTTTCATATGAGACATTTCTAAAACCAATCGATTCATTTAAAGTCAGGTTATAAGCATTTGTTTCTACAAAATGGATAAGTGACAAGACTTTTGTCAGGGACTGTACACTCCCCCATATACACTTCCCCATATATACCTCCATATATACCCCCATATATGCCCCCATATATACCATTAGGAAGGCATGCCTCACCTAACAGGGCCATCAGCTGATCAGATAAATAATAACAAAAAAAATTTTTTTAAACTCCACACACCTTCACTAGAATCACTGGAATACGTGCAGCTTTGGAATTGCCCATCTCCACTGATCTAAAGGTTAAAGGTCGCAGTACACCTGAAAACTACTCATGACATCACAAGGTGGAAAATTTTGAGCTTTGGTGATGTAGACAGACTAATAATAAAGTTTTACTCAAACATGTGTGAATGAAACAAAACACAATTCCAGGTGAGTTTTTGAGGAGGTAACAACATTACAACATGACTTAAAGCTCAAAGAGTCAATTCAGAGGTTTCATGCTGCTCTTCTGACATGCTGCTATTTAGACATTGACGTCTAATTGTTGGAGTAGCTGCATATACATTATTTTTCAAGCGTTCCACTTCGTCAACTTTTTTTTTCCATTGTCAGATTAGCAGCACTTAACTATTTTTCTAAACATTCTGCTTTTCGGACATGAATAATATTAACTAGGAATGTAATAATATCCAGGTCTCAAGATATGATATTGTCACAGTATGAACCTCATGGTACGATATTTATTGTGATATCGTGGGAAAGCTCACGATATGGTGGGGAGGCTGACGATTAGAGATGTAACAAAATCCAAATCTCTCTGTACAATATTTTCACAATATACATCTCACGGTATGATATTTATTGTGATATTTTGTGGAGGCTAATATTGTACTTTTTCTTCTTAAAATTCCTTGACAAGACTTAATCCAAAGAACTAAGACTTAAAAGTGCTTAGCAGTGTTATTTCTTCTTGTAGTCTGCACTGAATGGAGCAAAGGATCATGGTCTATGTAGTTCCCTCTGTCTTTTTTTAGCTATTGCTGCACCATAACTCTTCATTTAAGCAGAGACTTGTAATTTGATATATTGTGATGGTCCATGATATTATTGTGAGAACTTTGACGATACGAGATCGCAATATTTCAGTTATTGTTACATCCCTAAAATGATTAATGTAATGGGGCCTTGGTGTGTCATGTGACCATCGCAACTCTCAAAAAAATAGTGATACAAAAAAGTGTCAGAAAACCGGCACGTCTAAAGTGAGGCATGTCGGAGTAGGCAGAAGACCCCCGATTCAGTGTAACACAGGAGCTTTAAAATTAGTTTAGGTGTTGGCTGTACCTGGCCCAGCTGCGGCGGCAGATGACCAATGGACCAATCAGGCCGCTGTACAGGTCCTTAAAAGAGACACACACATTTAATGACACAATATCACATAAACAGGAGGTGTTTCATAGGTGTGTACCGTACTTTAGCGACGTCCACAGTGGAGTAATAGGCCGACACAGAGCACTCCTCCTGTTCAGTGGTGGGGCCAGTGTTTTTAGTCACATACCAGTAATAAGAGTGAGTCTGACCTGGAGGCAAACAGTTTACATAGAGACAGAAGTGAAGGAGTGAATTTGCAAGTCCAGTCAAGCTTTACAAAACTTGTATTTATTTATTTTTTCGTTGTAAAGGTGCACTGTGTAACTTTTCTGGTGTGGCATTAAAAATATCAGTCTTGCATTTACTCAATAATGTGGGTTTTTATTAGTGTTGTAGTCAAGAGCGCACTAATCAATCAAAACCAGTCCGACGCCACAGGATCCAGAGACCAGGACAAGACCAAGACCTCTGAGAGTCGAGAATGAGGCAAGACCATCGAGACCAAATAAAAACCATCTTTGTCATTTCTTATATTTATTTGTATTTTACAGTTATTGTGGAACATATATTACAATGTTTTGTAACATTTTTATAAATCTGTCTCCATTTGATCTGGTTAATGTTCATTTAAGCTTAAAATAAACCAAGTAAACTAAACTGCACTGCACTCTGTGCCCCTTTTTTGGACCCTCACCTACAGTTTGAGAACCCCTTCTTTAATCCCACTGTCAGACCTCAAGTCCAAGACAAGACCAAGACCAAGCACCATCAAGGCCGAAACAAGACCGAGTCCAAATGCGCTCAAGTCCGAGATGAGACCAAAACCATAAAAAAGCGGTCTTGAGGCCGGTCTCAAGACCAAGACGGCTTTGAATACTACAACACTAGTTTTTATTCACCTAAAAACAGATCTGATATGCAACTTGGCCCTGTGGTGTCCCCCTGCTGTTTTCATAGAGATAAATAAATGTAATATGGCCTTGCCCTGTGGAAAATTCCAGGCAATATCTCCATGGAGAGAAGCAGGTGACGGACCCTCCACCAGAAAAGTTACATCAGGGGTCTCCAACCTGTAGCTCTGGAGTTACTAGTCCACCCCCTTACCAGTCGCTTGCCAAAGGATTTCTGAATTATACGTATTGTACTGAATAACTCATATTTGATTAATTACTAGAGGTGTAACGGTACACGCATTCACGCTGAACCGTTTCAGTGCGGGATAGGGATGGGCATTCGGTGAAATTTTCTTAATCGATCGTCGGAAGAATTAACGATCGATTATCGATTAATCATTAACGTTTTTATATTAAAATTATCATCATTATTATTACTATCTGCACTACTAATCTGCATAAATAAATTCAACTTTACGACATATAAACCGTAACGACTCTAGAGCCACATCAGCCCGTTTGAGATTATAATGTGTTTAATGCAGTTTTGCGCAACTCTCACAGAAACAAAACTTAAAACCGCATCGCTAATTTGCATAAACTAAGCGAAGATAAAACTACAGCTCTTGTGTCGCTGATGCGGTCAATTTCTGTCAGATTAAAAGACATGACTCAGGTGAATACAGGTTAGTGTGACCAGATTTGCGTTTGTCAAAACCAGGACACCGTACGGGGGATGGGAGGTGGGGACTCGTCATCGACATTGCGCGACTCTCACCTGGCAAAGCTTTTTCCCACTGGACACCGAAACATATTTGCTGCTTTATACACTGTGCACATGGCCTCACACTTTGTCCCGAACGGAAAGCGTGGACTTTCTTGTACAAGTCATCGTTGCACATCATTCGCATTTGCACTTCAGTACGCTGCAGACTGACCGACTGTTTGTGTCTTGCTCCTTCTGAGTGCAGAGAGCTACACGTACTGACCCTGTTTGGTCACACTGCGCTACGCACAGCAACCTACATTCGGTTTGTCAATTAAAATGAATGTAATCGATGAAATTCTTAATGATCAATTATTGATTAATCAACTAATCATGCCCATCCCTAGTGCGGGACGTACAGTTTGGTGCAAGGCTGTGCACAAATGAATTTGTGCAATTTGTGTGTGTTTACATTCCGCCACTACATGTGCAGCTCCACAGAAGGCTCAACTCTTTAATATTCATTTATATCTGTTTAATATACTATGTTGTCCAGAAATAAATTCCTTATATAGAACTCTAGAAATCTACTCCTATAACTGCCAGCCTCGGTGAGCTTCATTTGACTGAAGCTGAACGCTGTGGGAGACGTCATACTCTCTTAGTCCACGTCTTTATACAGTTTTTGCAGATACCCCAGCTTAAATCTGCTCTCTCCTCATAACCGCTCTGTGTTTTGTACCTGGGGCGGTGGCGTGGACGCTGGGGTTCTCCGTCTTCACTCCATGAGCGTGAATCGAGTACGGCCGGGACGCCATGTTCTTGAACACCACCTTCACTTTGTCTCCAACATTGGCGTGAATCATGGGACCTATAAGAGTATAAGAGGCTCAGGTTACAATTGTATTTACTAGAATTTATTAAAAATGATTCTATCATTTTAAAAGTTTGCAACAACTTCAAACTCTTATAATAGAAACAAATGAAAGGGCCCATGTTTTTGAGTATTAGTACAGACATATTTGTATAAGCAGCTCTTAAGATCAAAATAAGTTTGCTGTATACTGTTTCTAATTATAAAGTGTTTTATTGTACGAGAATCAGGAAGTGGGTTGTTAACATGCTAGTTGTTGCAGTTGTAGTATTACCGTGACAACAAACTCTACTCTAGTCTCTGAAAGTTGTGAAAAGTTGTGAATAATTAAGATACTCTGAATCCATAAGGTAATTAAGGAATAACTTTGTATATTTTTAAACAGTTTGCAGTGGTCCAGATACATAATTATGCCTTATCTGTTGTTATTTTTGATACCCATTTTGTTTAGATGTATTATTACCCTGCATATTTTTGCTCTTTGTTTGTTATAATATATTGTGATGTGTGAGCTACTGTGTCCAAATAATTTCTTATGTGGATCAATTCATATTTTTGAGGCAGTAAAAATCAGGTACAACACTTGTATAATTAATCATTTAAGTTAAAATGGTTCAGAATGCAGCAGCTCGGCTTCTCACTGGTTTAACATCAACACATTTCCCCTGTTTTACTTTCCTTCTCTGACTCCTGTGTGTTTTAGAATCAATTTGAAGATTTTACTGATCAGTTTTAAAGTTTGTTTAGGTCTTGCACCAAGTTACATTTTCAAACTTTTAATCCCATACTATCCTCAGGCAGGTTCCTGTGCAGTGGCAGTTCTTGGAGTTTTCTGAAACAGGGGCCATTAAGGGACCACGTTATATTCAGGGGTCAAGTACAGGTACATCCAAGCACACAAATGATTAATTCAGTACGATGCAAATACAAGCGTAGACAGTAAAAAATAATAATAATAATAATAATTGATGACTGAATTCTCTCATTCATCTCGAGGTGGTGCCAGGGTCTCTGTGGCCCTTCCCCTAGAACCACCCCTGTCCCTGTGGCTCTTCCAAAGTCCAGGCTCCGGACAAAGGGTGATGGAGCCTTTTCAGTCCTGGCTTTGCCACGGCTTTGGAACGACCTGCCTGAAGAGATGAGACTCACACCATCACTATTATCTTTTAAATCACTTCTTAAGACTCATTTTTATTGGTTGGCTTATCCTTTAACTTGTTTTAGCTTGATTTAATTCCGTATTTATTTTATTTTTTTAATTATCATAATTAATTCAATTGTTTGCATCATTGTCTTTTTGTGCTTTCAGTTCACTATTTTTATGCTTTTTGTATTGTTCTTTGCTGCCTGTAGGGGTGTGCAAAAAGATTAAAATATTGTTATATCTTATTGTTTAATGTGCTGATACAATATTGATATCATGGGCCGCTGTATCGATATATTGTCAAGAGTATTTTTAGGTATATTTTACTAAATTCATTTGCGTAAGAGCCATAGTTGTGTTGACATTTTCATTGTTTTGAGTAAAATGGGTGTTTTTCATATGAACTTAGAGGTTTAATAAAGACTTTTAGTATCAAAGCCACAATTTAGTCTTTGTTTTTCTCTGAACCGTATCGAATTGATGTGAAATATATCGTATTGAAACTAAAGTGCACTGTATCGAAAAGCATATCATATTGTGGTTTATGTATCATATCGGCAACTTCTTAACGATACCTAGCACTAACTTGTACAGTGCTTTGTAAAGATTATGATTATTATTAAAATGATTACCCATAATGCCGAGGTGTTCCATGTCCGGGGGTCTCTCCACTACTTTGGTGAACTTGTCATTGGTGTATTGCCGGTAAACTACTTTCTTGTATCTGGAGCCGATGTATCCTCCATCTTTGTCCAGGAAGACTGTGGCCGGACTGGGTTTGAACACAAAATAAATGTTGATACTTTGCAGCTGACGTCCCCAACATTCCCTGTAGTGTGATGCTAACTGTAGGCTCTGCTCTGTCTGAACTGACCCAAATAAATCAATCAATAAACAATCAATAAAACAGTTTTGTTAAACAACACTCTTGGCTTTTTGTCAAAAATGAAATCCTAAACAGGACCTTGAAAGCTTGTATCGATCACAAACTCCTGAAAATGTGCTGTTTAAATCCATTTTGTGTTTGTATTTCTTGAGATTTCATACTATCTTTAAACTTTTTGACATAGTCTGCTAATATCTGCATTGTGTCACCATGATAACTGCTGAACATTCTGTTCTACATGTATCATAGAGATACATCTATCAACAGATACATGTATTAACAAATACATGTATCAACAAATACATGCATCAACAGATACATGTATCAACAGATACATGCATCAACAGATACATGTATCAACAAATACATGCATCAACAGATACATGTATCAACAAATACATGCATCAACAGATACATGTATCAACAACTACATGCATCAACAGATACATGTATCAACAATACATGCATCAACAGATACATGTATCAACAGATACATGTATCAACAGATACATGCATCAGATACATGCATCAACAGATACATGTATCAACAAATACATGCATCAACAGATACATGTATCAACAATACATGCATCAACAGATACATGTATCAACAGATACATCTATCAACAGATACATGTATCAACAGATACATGTATCAACAGATACATGTATTAACAAATACATGTATCAACAATACATGTATCATACATGTATCACAATACATGTATCAACAAATACATGTATACAAATACATGTATCAACAATACATGTTCAACAAATACATGCATCAACAGATACATGTATCAACAGATACATGTATCAACAGATACATGTATCAACAGATACATGTATCAACAAATACATGTATCAACAATACATGCATCAACAAATACATGTATCAACAGATACATGTAGAACACCACCATGACGCAACTTGAAACTTCCATATGGATGTTTAATGCACTTTCAGAACTGACTGATTAAAAATAAAATTTTCGTAAAAGTAAAGTAAAGTCACTGCAATTCTAATCACAGTGGGCCTCATTCATGAATCTTTTCTTAAATTTGTTTTCATAACTTCCACTTTAAGAAAATGCTGAGACAACTCAGAGCCAGATTCACAAAGAGTTCTTACACAGACAAATTCCTTCTTAAGTGACATTGCAAAATTCACCAACACCCAGATACCCAGACACCTCCACGCTCATTTACACAGAAAATGATACATGTCTTTGGTTAGAAACACCCTCTGAACTTCCAAATATGGTCCATATGGATTTGACATTATGACGTGTGAAAGTGTGAGGGAGAGAGTGATGAGGAGGTCAGGTGGAACATCTACAGACTATGACTGTTTTACAGCTTCAGCAGTGATTTCAAATGTCCGAACTCACATGAACACATTCAGAGAGGAAGATTTAAGTCATAAACTTCTTGAAATAAGCCAGTGCTTTTATCATATTTATCGTGCCTTCCACGATTGTAGACACACAGTAAAGAGTCAGGGGGTGATGGGGGTGTTGAGTCCAGCTCAGTGACCAGACACAGGGCTGTGACAGAGGCTCATATGGAGGCACTGAGGCTGAGAGAGACTGAGGCTCACTGCAGCCTGGAGAAAGTTTGTCAGACCCAAACAGACACATGCTCTAGAAAACTCCTCATAAATGTTATTGGATCACACAGTCATATGTTTATGGGAAATAATTTAAGAAAATATATAACTTACTATCATGGAGGAATTTCTTTGTGCATGTGTGCAAAAGTTTTATGAATGCCAAAAATTTTTGTAAGAAAGCCTTAAGTACAAATGAACGTTTCACGAATGAGGCCCATTATTTGTGAGTTATACTTATGTACCTGTAGTGATTCTTTCCTAATATTCCAAAGTGGAGTAAGTGTTTACTTGTCATTGTTGAGGAAGAGCTGTTCCTCGAACGTCCTGTTGGGGGAGTAGTTCCAGTCCACCTCCACTGCTGCGATGTAATAAGTCTTGGAGTGGAGCATGGTCTCTCCCTGTCTCTGGAACATGCTGCATTTGTTCACCGTGTAGTTGGCTCTCATGCCCCCGCGGTAGTTACTCACTGTGGGCGACACCACCTCGAACTGACCTGAAGGGAGAGCAGTTTATTCAGACACGGTGATTTGGTGATGAAGAACAAATCAGGATCTTGTTCCTGTGACGATCTCATATTTTGGTCATATTCTAATAATAATATAATAGTACAGTGATTCAGTGCTTCTGTTAAATGCAGACACTTTTCCTTAAAAAAAAAAAAAAAAAGTTTAATGCCATATTGTGGAACATTCCATGCCAAGCAGTTACATATCCATGATGGTAAGCAGGTGATAGATCCTCCACCAAAAAAGTATATCTTCATACTTTGCATTTTTATTTTTATTGGTACTACACTATTACCATTTTTCATTCTCAGTGGAGGAGGTGGGTGGAGTGTCTTGTCCAAGGACACAACTATAGTACTTGATTTGAGTGGGAATAAGTCCTCCGACCTTTGGGTTGGGAGACCATCCTAATCACTGAGCCATTGCTGATAAGATTTATTATAAACCTGAATGATCTTCAATAATGTTTATCATGGTGCTGCTGTGTTTTTCTCTTTTGTTTTTTTCCATTACAACACTGTAAATTTGCCCAGCGTAAGACAAATATAGATCCCATTAACTATATTCTAATTAATCCCAATGAAGCATGAACAAAGACTTATGCATAATGAATAAAGAGTTTATTGTGAATGCTTCAGGGTGAGGGATTAGGGTTAGGGTTAGAGGAAGAGGATTCATTCATATTCATGCTTTGTTACAGCTGTTTAAAGTCTAGTTATTACCAAATGTAAGTTGTGGTTTATGGAGCAGTTGTCTCATGCTGTTGGGCCTTTGTCCCATTTTAAACTCATTTGTTTCATTTCACACATTTTGTTAATTTCTCAATATTATACCAGTACAGTCAGACAAAACATTCTGGGTCCTTTTGTTTAATTATCACATAATACATTGTTCATTTTCATTTAATTTTATTCGTTCACTCATTTCAGTCACATTTATATTCACTAGACACACCTGCAGCTCCACATGGTCCACACAAAAGAGGGACGGGGTGTCGTGGGCTGGACCATGTAGAGAGAGAACCGCTTACAGTTCCTTTTTGTTTCATTGTTTTAAAAAGGGTCTTAGGTAAATGTAAATGGAAAAGGCTTTAGGGTTTTGAAAGTTACCTGTAAATCGTTTACAGAAATGACACTTGCCTTGGGGGAGGTCCTTTCTGCTGGGGAGTGTGTATATAAGCAGTCTATTTTACTTACCGTATTTTCCGGGCTATTAGACGCGCTCGTAAGCCTTCAACCCCATCAAAAAACAACTAATCCAGAGCGCCCTATACACGAATCCACTCGGGTGTCCCAGCAAGACTTCAGTAAACTACAAAGCTGCACCACCCATAGAACACACAAACACACACGGAGTAGACAGCGACCGCACAGCGAAACACACCCACAGACACACTCATCACTCCACGTCGACGAGGAACGGAACGGAGGAACAAACCGAAAAAGCGAGTGCAATGTGCCACTTCTAGACACGACTGAACTACTGAGTCACTGTGAACACGCCAACAATCCGTTGGTCCCAGACAGCACCCTCCCTACACGCCACAACTGAACAAAGCCCAGAGTCACCGTGAACGAACAAACAAACAAAACCACTCACCCATCACACTGTTGTGTTTCCTTTAAAGTCTGGTGTAGTTTATTTGTGAAAAAAGTTCGAAGATAGACCATTCTATGACAGTGCGTCTTATAATCCAGAGCGCCTAATAGTGCAGAAAATACGGTTATGGGGTGAGACTTCTGTGCAGTTAGGTGCACAGTGTTGTTGCCTTTAATTTAAGTAACTTATTTTCTGTTTGTTTGAACAGTTTATTTGTAATTTATTTTACATAAACAATGGAAGTCTGTTTTAATAAATTGTCTGGCCAAAGACACTTTTTTTGTTTTTAGTCTGCCTCCTACTTCAACCACATCAGATTCCCCACAGGCTCCTTTATAACGCACTGTCCCCTCTTTGTCTTAATCATTAAAAACAAATACATTTATAAGTTATATGTTTATATTTATATAGCAATTACCTATGTCCTCAGGATCCTTTATAATGCACTGCTCCCTCTTTTTCTTAAATAAATATAAATAAATAAGTTTTATTAAATTATAGAAGAGTTACCCATGTTCTCAGGCTCCATTATAATGCTTTGTTCTCTCTTTTTTTAATAAATATAAATAAATAAGTTCTATATTAAATTATAGAGGAGTTACCCATGCTGTCGGGCTCCATCATAATGCACTGTTCTCTCTTTTTCTTAAATAAATAAATAGATGAGTTTGAGTTAAATAGTAGATTCTAGAGGAGTTACCCATGCTGTCGGGCTCCATGGTGACGGTGTGGGACACATGGGGAAACACACTGATGGTGTCTTTACGGTTCTGCCTGAACAGGAAGCGGTTCCCCTCAAAGTGCAAAGTGTTGAGGTCGTGTTCTGAGCCCAGAGCTGAGAGGTGCCACGTGACCTTCTCCCCCTTACACATGCTCAGACCAGGAACGTTCCTGTATACGAAGCCGTTTATGGCTGAGAGAAGACAACAGACACAGACAGAGGAGTTTAATGAAGGACATACAAGAACAACACTAAAGCGTTGTCTGTTCATTATGTCCCTCTCCCCCCGGCCCATCACTCACAGTGCATCTTGTTGCTCTCTTCAAATTCCTCGTCATCTTTCCTCACTGCGTTTGGATTCCTGCAGAAGCTCCGGATGTTCTCATCCAGGTACCAGCTCTGGTTCTCATCAAAGATCGAGGCCAAAAGGTGGAACTCTTTGTTATAGTTTTTCTATCAACAGGAAAAAATATGAAGTTATCTTTTGTGTGAAGAGAACAGAGTAAATTCCTGTTCTGAGCAGAAAAAGGTTATTCTAAAACAGCTCTACTTATAACTACCTCGTTCTTGTCACCTGTCTCCTGAACTGACTCAGACTGTACATTTATCATGTTACAGTTGTTTGTGAAAGGTATGGAGGGAGTATTCTGCAGGGAGGGTTGGAGGGGTTCATGTCCATGTGAGGAGGCCCTGGTTTTACACTTTACACAGTATTATTCTTTCACTCCACACTCAGTGCAGTGAATACTCCACTACCACAAGTGGTACCACAACACAGGTGTCCTGGGACAGACTGACTGCAGCACAGCTGCCAATCTGCACCATCTGCCCCTCCGACCAACACACACACACACATTATCAAAGCTAAACCCTGCAGACAGCCCCTGACCCTCCTTCCTGACTCTCCTCTCCCTGTAATCACCTGCACTCCCTTCTTGAGCGTCCCGGGCCTGCAGATGAGCAGAGGCCCCACCAGTCCAGAGCTGGTGTCTTTGACGGGGTCCACAGCAGAGTAGTACATGTATGTGAGACAGTCGGCCTCTCCCTCCACTGGACCTGCTCCGATGGGCACGGTCCACTCATACGTGTGCACTGTCCCAGGATGCACCTGGGCGGCGGGGTGAGGGGTCACCACTCCTGCAAAACAACTACTGTTTAAAGAAGCACTCTAGAACTTTTCTGGTAGAGTGTTTAATGTCTGTTGGTCTTTGCTTTGCCTAGATTGTTCCACAGTATGGCATTAAACATGTCTGTCTCCGTGGAGACGAGCAGATTGCACCACCAGGCCAAGTTACTGGTCATATTTGTGGAGGAGCAAGCCCCTCGGCTCACAAAAATAATACTTTATTAGGTGTTTTTAGCAATAAATACACAATATGAAACAGGTCAGTTAATGCCATACTGTGGAACATCCTATAAAGTAATAACATCCATGCAAACAACCCAAAGCAGAAAAGTGACACTGTGCTCCTTTAAAAGCAAGGTGAGTGCTTTAATGTGAAAAAGTGAATAATAAATATATTATTGGGAAAAATGCTAAGTTATTATTATACTGTTACATCATAATACATGACACAAAAATGTTAGTTATCATTTTGAAAATCACAGATTCAGAGAAACACATAGTTTGCTTTCATTTTTGTGTATGTGCGCTTTTGTTTAGTTTTTTTAACCTCAAAAGGAAATTTTGCAAACCTACCCTTAGGTTTGCAAAAAAATAAAAAATAATAATAATAATAATAAAAAATAAAAATAAAGATATAAAAACAAACATCAAAAACTAACATCTAAAAAAAAGGATTAAATGTGACTAAAAGAATGTTTAGTAGTGAACTCACGGGGCAGCTTCTTCAGCTCCCTCAGTCTCTTCTCTGTGTGGGTCTCTGCACACAGAACAGACAGACTGAAATTAAAACAAAACTTAAAGAAACATACATAAATCTTGTTAAAGTTCTCGTGCTACCCTCGAGTTCGTTGTGGTAGAGAGTCCCATCCTGCTCCACGCTGTATTGCACCCCGTGTGGTTGGATGGAGTAAGTGCGACTGGCTTTGTTCTTAAACACCACCCGGATGGTGTCCCTCTCATGAGCTCTGATCACTGGGCCTGTACGGGACAAACGACATGGACGAATTATAACACCTGTGGCGAACAGGAGGAGTGTTCCCTAATGTAGATTACCCCACAGCACCCTCTAGTGGTGACGCACACACACGGTACATGGCTCCAACAGTGACGTTAACTGACGTTAAAACTACTGTAGTATTGAAACTAGATACTGACTGGTACAAGTTATCTCTACACAATCACCACAATCCAGTGGACCTTTTATTTATGTCTATTATTACTGTATTTTTCTGACTATAAGTCACACTTTTTTTCATGTCTGTGTGGTCCTGCGACTTATACTCTGGTGCTATTTATATATTAAAAATGTTCACATTGAAGGGGCGAGAGGCTCTAGTCTTGTGTGTGAGTATCTGCTGCTCCTGTTCCTCCTGTACCACTGTCACTTCACTCTACTGCACATGTCTCCTGCAGAAAGAGTCTGTCCTGTCTGTATCACGTCAGTCGATCGCACCGTTACTTCTGCACCACTGAACTGAAATTTAACATTTAAAAATCGTGAAATATTTATTTCACCAGACTGAAATGCCCGTGCTTTTACCTTAAAATTTAACAATTATAGTTATAATCTCTTCAGTAACACAAATCAAATTTATATTAAAAGTAATATATAACAGATTGATTCCTGAGAGCTTTGGGTCATGTTACCTCCTCAAAAACAGACCTGGAGTTGTGTTTTGTTTCATTCACATGTTAAGGTAATGCTCCATTATTAGTCTGTTTACATCTCCAAAGCTCAAAATGCTCTGTTCCACCTTGTGATGTCATGAAGTGGTAATTTTCAAGTGAACAGCTCCTTTTCCTTTAGTTCAGTAGAGATTGGCAATTCCAGGTCTGAAGTCATCCAAATGATTCTAGTGAAGGTGTATGGAGTTAAAAAACACAGTGGAGCACATCTCTATGACATCACAAGGTGGAACAGCGTGCGAATGAAACAAAACACAACTCCAGGTTTGTTTTCAATAAGAAAACAACATTATATAACTGTTTGTTGGTACTTTCTAAATTGCCTTAACAACATTGGTCTTAATAGCCAGTCTATAAAACACGATACTGGGAATTAAACAGTTTATGTGAATTACCCAGAATCCCCAGGTGCTGCTCCTCGGGGCTGCGTAACATCTTGGTCATGAAGCTGTTGTCGGTGTATTCCACATAACGGGCCTTTTTATAGCGACTGCCGATGCGCTGAGCTCCTCTGCTCACGTACTGCTCCGCCTCACTGACAAACACACAGAACATGGAGACACTGTGAATCACATGTTATTATTATTATGTATTTGACAGAAATGTGCTCTATAAATATAAAATAAACAGAGATTCTTTTATATACAATAAATAGCTATTGGAAGAGTGGAGAAAGCTGTGCCTTATGGTCTCTATTATATGACAGTTTTACTTTGGACCTGTTCGTGGGTTTCAGCTTCCTGTTTTTTGCAATATTTTAAGAACTTTTTCCAATTCAAATAATTATAATATATAATTTCAAATAATATAATATATTATATTATATATAATTTAGTTGTTATTCACTATGGCAACAGTCGGTCGATCTTAATTCCTCATGATTCTGAAAATAGCAGTGAGATTTCTTTATGGTAAATCTTAAAATACTGTCTAGTAAATCAACAGAAGTGAGACTGCCAATCTGTCCAACCATCATCATTCACACACCACATGCACACGAGACAGAGTCTTGCTTAAGGGCACAACACTGCCACTGTGGTGTCTGGTATTCTCAGCAGTCTCCCATCTAAATACTAACCAGCCCAGAGGACTGAAACCTGTATCAGGACCTAAAACACTGGATTCCATTATCCCTAGTTGTAACTATATAAATATATATTGTTATATTTTCAGTTTTTGTGTCTGGTCAGACTGATGCTGACCTCTCAGACGGGGCGTTGGGGGCGTAGTCCCAAATTTCTTCTTCTGCTGCGATAAAAATCTCTCGAGTCTCACCGGTGGGGCGGGCCTTGTGAACATTTGGAAAACACTTCTTTATCTCGAATAGAGCCTGCATCCCAGCTACAATAGAATGAAAAATGTTAAATAACATCTGCACAGGCAAAAATACATATCTATATTTTGTGTGAGCACCTTTATCAAGATTAATATTAGTTCTGTTCATTTTCAATTTATGGGCAATTAGTGAATTCATTTAAACTGTTAAATTCAGCATTGTGTCTCTTTTGACAGAGTACATCTCAGTCAAATGGCTATTTTGAAATGTTGTTTTTTTTTACTTTTACTGAGTTACTTTTATCTTAACCAAATCTATTAAACAGAATATTGATTAATCTTCACTCTGCACACAACTTTAGAGTGAGTACATGTGTTCTGTCTGAGCTTTAATGCTGAGTGTGCTGTTATAATACACAGTCATAATGCGCTCTTATAATGTGCTGTTGTAATGTGCTGTTCTAACAGTTTGTACCCATGAGGTGGTCATTGACGTTGCAGGACAGGAGCCAGTGCCCAGTGTTGTCGGCGTCCATCTCAGCCACGGCGGTGGAGGCGGGGAACAGGCTCACGGTGTCTGTGTGGTGCTTCTGGACAGTCAGAACCTGCCCGTGGAAATGGACCGAGTGCATGTCCACCTGAACAAACAGACAGATTATAGAGTGGAGGAATGAACTGTGAACAGAGACAGAAATGGACCGGCATGTAGCAGATTTATGACCACACACACATGTTAATTAGGCTAAAACTTTTAAAACCCAGTAAAAAATGTGACAAAAAATGAAAGCAGTGCAGTCAATTCTGTTATTGAGTTATGTTAGATCCATGTTATGGTTTACATGAACAAAATGTAAAGTAATGAATTACATTTATGCAGGTTCAGTGGATCTCAAACTTTTTCTTTTGCTTTCCGAGTACCACTAGAACTAAACCAGGTCTTTAACAGGGCTACTCCAGGCCTAAACTAGGACTAATACATGTCTAGAAGTGGAGACTGTAGTATTTCTGCTTTAGTTCTAAACACAAAATGATCCAAATGAGGACAACAAAGTGGATAAAATGAACTTTAAATGAGACAAACTCACAAACTGAAGAGCTGCCCAAGAAAAACCTGAAGGAGCTCACATACCACCAGTGGAATATGCATCATACTTTGAATAATTAGTCTAATCAGGCCGATCATTTAAATGGCAGGCAAGAGAGTTGTGCAAAAATACCACTAGGCCTACCTACTGTCTTTATAAATGACTGTAAAGAGGTAGAATAACAGTAATGAACCCAATTTAATCTTGATCCACTAGGGATGGGAGATCGCATGAGACAAAATTTTCCATGTTTTTTAACTTTGGATTGAAAACAAAAATGGAGTTAAGTACTGGTGAGCTACATTTTTTGAGAAGCTGTGCCCCTAATAACAGCAGAAATATTAAATAAAGTAAATCAAAAATGGCAAAGGAGAAAATTCAATTTGTCAACTGGACAAAAAGTTTGTTTGGTCAAATACGTTTCTCAACACATCCAAGCTGCTTCTTCAGTTCTGGTCAGACGCTGGTGGACACTGACTTATATCTGTCTGCAGGGAGGAGCTAACTACACTGAAACTACTCTGAAACTAACACACCTACTACAGTTTCTGTTTGACCTGTACTGGGAGTGGGGTCTTATTAGCATAACTATTCAGGGTCACATCTCTGGACCGGCTGGACTGGCTATACTATAGGTTTCTTGTTTGTTTTAATTTAGGTTTTGAGAATCCGGTTTAGGTTTGAGGATCCGTACCCAGCTGTACTCAAAGGACAGTGAGGTACAGATCTTAGCCAGAGAAAAGTTTGGTTTAAGAGGAGAGTGAAAGAAGCCATTTTTGTTAAGACAATCCTTCTCTAAACAGAAATGGAGGACTCAAACACCATCTATCTCCTATTTACAACTCTATCCTCAAACCTAAATCAAAACAAACAAGAGAACAAGAGCTGTACCCAGGTCAGGTCCAGAGGTGTGGAAGCCCATTATGGCCATGAATGGTTATGCCATTATGATCCCACACTCAGTACTGTTCAATAGGCCTAACTAACAAACAGAAACTGTAAACAAGTAGGTGTTTTAGTTTCAGAGTAGTTTCAGTGTAGTTAGCTCCTCCCTGCAGACAGATAGATGTCAGTGTCCACCAGCGTCTCACCAGAACTGAAGAAGCAGCTTGGATGAGCTGCGAAACCAAACCAAACTAACTTTTTGTCCAGTCGACAAACTGATTTTTCTCCTCTGCCATGGATTCTACCTGGATGACTGAGGGATTTTTCACATAAATCAAAAATGGTGAGGCCAAAAGTGGGAACTGGAATGCACAATTTATTTATTATAAAGAGTGTCAAAATCTTGTCTTGTCATGTTCTTGTACACTGGGAAAAAAAACAATATCTAGCTAAATTAATACGACTTAAATTAAGAACATTTTGACTTTATTTGAGTAGATTCAACTTGACAAATAAAATTACCTACCAATGGAAGTGTGTTTTTCTTCAAGCAAGCAACATTAGATTTTGTTTGTTATTTTGAGTGCAAAAGTAGTTTTTCTTATTTTAAGTGTAGCAAGTAGGGGTGTAACGATACGATATCGTCATATTTATATATAATATATATCAATATTTATGGCGATATCGTGTAAAAGCTCACAATATGGTGGAGAGACTCACAATTAGGGATGTAACGATATCCAAATCTCTCTGTACGATATTTTCATGATATACATCTCATGGTACGATATTTATTGCAATATTTTGTAGAGGCAAACAAAACTGTTAATATGCTACTTTTTCCTTAATCCAAAAAACTAAGACTTAAAAGTGTTAGAACTGTTATTTCTTCATGTAGTCTGCACTGAATTTGAGCAAAGGATCATGGTCTGTGTAGTTTTCTCTGTCTTTTTTAACTGTTGCTGCACCATAACTCTTCATTTAAGCAAAGATACTTGTAATTCGATATATAGTGATGGTCCATGATATTATTGTGAGAACTCTGACGATACGATATCATGACATTTCAGTTATTGTTACATCCCGAGTAGCAAGATGTATTTTCATATTTTAAGTACAAAAAGTGTAGTTCCATTGGTAGATAATTTTACTTGTCAAGTAATAGTTACTCAAATCATGCTAAAACTTTCTTAATTCAAATCATCTTAACTTGGCTAGATTTAGTTTTTTGCAGTGTAGATCCAATCTCGTGTCTCAGAAATTGCGAAAATTGTATCTCGTCCCACCCTAATATCCACACCTAAAAATCCATACTGGTCGACCACTGTTTGAGAACCACTGTTTTCCAAAGTGTCCACTCCCAGAGGTCAGTTTGTTTACCTCAGTACGATCACTACAGTCAGTATGATCTTTGGTTTCCTCACCTCGTTGCCCAGCGCCATCAGATGCCAGAAGATCTTGTTCCCTTGGCACATGCTCAGACCGGGTAAGTTTCCATACACATAACCGTTAATCGCTGAAACACAAATATATTAGAAGAATGAGTAACACTACAATAATAAATACACTTTAAAGCATGCACAGAGACTCAATCATAATGAACACGCAGTTTATTGAAGGTGGACTGCGCATTTTTTCTTGTAGAAGGTCCACTGCCTACTTGTCTCATGGAGATGTTATTGCTTTGTCTGGAATGTTCCACAATATAGATTAAACCTATCGATCACGAGGGAGACAGGAAACAGGTTACAGCACTACGCTACATTACAGTTCAGATCTGTGGAGAGTCGACCCTATTCACAGAAAGAATTACTGTATTTTTGAGCAATAGAAACACCGCAATGAATAAATGCTGGACGGATATGTTTAAAGTCATACCATGGAACATTCCAGGCAAAGCAATAACATCTCCATGGAGACAAGTAGATAGAGAAACTAGATGTGTGGAGGGTCACGCAATGCACCTTTAAGCATAAGCAGGATTAGTAACTTCTTAAAGGTGCAGTATGGAACTTTCTTGAGATGTCACGTCACTTGCATGATCCCACATTTAGGAACGTTCTCCATGGAGATAGATACATTTTATGCAGTACTGTGGAATATTTCATGCCATATTGAGACCATAAGGAGGAGGAGGACAACTGCCCACTGATCTGAAGGTTGGCAGTTCGATTCCTGCTCTCAATATGAACATTGCTGGTTGACCCACAGATTGGCAGAGTTCAGATGAGTGCTGTCGTTGTGGCCTTGGGCAAGACACTTAAACCACTTTGCCCCCAATGTCTGTGTACACTGGTCTGTGAATGACTGAGTGGTTCCTTGTTGTTAAAAACCTTGAAGGTGGAAAAGCGCTATATAAAAATTTGACCATTTAAGAGTTTGTGGAGATGCAAGTGTCACCCACCTCTTGTATACAGCTGAGATATATTGAATTACTACCAGCATATTTTTATTTCTACTTGTACATTAACATTAGTTTAATTATAAAGTAGGAAAAAACTCTCAGTTTTTTTCCTACTTTGTATTTGATACTGGTCCCTACACTAAAGAGCACCAAAAGGACAATTCTGTACCATTTTTGTATATCCACGTAGCACTCCTGTCGCCAAAGTTTTGTTTAATTGTATGTCATTTATTTTATTATATGTGAATATTTGTAAAGTTTTGTCATCACATGTACAGCCACATCATTTTTGAAACTAATGCAGAAGTCTCCAACCATTTTCCTCTGGCGAGCTACAATCATCAACCAAAAATGGCAGAGAGCTATTCATTATAGCGGTCGCAAGAAAATGAAAACGTAGAAGAGCTATGGCAAGCTTTGGACAGGGCACAGTTAGATGCACATTACATAAACTGAATTTCAGAAATCCTTTGGCGAGCTACTCGGAAAGGGGTGGAGAGCTACTGGAAGATCCCGAGCTACAGGTTGGAGACCCCTGATGTAATAAACAGGGGTTGGTTGATATAATTTTTTCTTTTTTCCACTCCTTTTTGAGAAATGTGCTTTTCTGTTGTTTACAATGTATATGTAGTATGTGTATGATTATTGTTTCTCTCTTGGCACAAACTCAAAATAAAAACAAATCAAATCAAATCAAAGATGCAATATGTAACCGGTGTGTTTCTATGGAGATGTCATTGCTCTGTCTGGAATGTTCCACAATATAACATTAAACACTTCTGCTTTACATTTATTCAATTACAGGTGGTTTTATAGCTCAAATATGAAAAACAGACATTCTGACTGTGACCATTGTCACCTCTCCACAGATCTGACCTCTAACTTGGCCTGGTTTGGTCTCCGTGATGATAGGAAGATGTAATGCCATACTGTGAAACATTCCAGACAAAGCAACCACAGCATCCACAGCATCCATCCATAAAGAAAAACATTTGACAGGCCCTCCACCAGAAAAGTTACACAATGCACCTTTAACAGTTATAGATTATATTTATTATGATGTGTGAGCTACTGTGTCCAAATAACTTCTCTTGTGGATCAATAAAGTTTGTCTAAATCTAAGTCTAAGGACATGATGCAGCTAACACAACCAAAATGAATACTGTAATAGATGAAGTTTCTCTCTTGTTTTTACCGTGCATCAAGTTGCTCTCGATGAAGTCCTCATTCTCCTTCAGACCCTTCTGTGGATATGTGATGTAGGTCTTGATGTTCTCGTCCAGGTACCAGCTCAAGTTCTCGTCCATCACCATGAAGAGCAGAGAATACACGTAGTCCCCAGTGCGGTCTCCATGGACATCCAGAGTTCCTACAGAGATGGGACAAAACAAATACATTAAGATTTATCCTTTCCCTTGTTAAAGCTGCACTATGTAACCTGCTTGTTTCTATGGAGATGTCATTGCTCTGCCTGGAATGTTCCACAGTATGACATTAAACAGCTCTACTTTACATTTATTAAATCACAGGGGGTCTTAAACCCCAAAAATCATTAGAAAACCACACATTCTGACTGTGAGCGGGGTCGCCTCTCCACAGATCTGACCTGTAACTTGATCTGGTTTGGTCTCCATGAAGACAGAAAGATTTAATGCCATATACAACAAAAACTGGAGGGTTAAAATTTCAGGGTGAAATATTTCAGAGTTGTTTTTAACACAAAAAAAAAGTGTTATTTTAACTATCTGAAAAATTAAATGGGGGTTGGAGTTGTGGTTATTTGCCACAGTTGATATGGCTGAAGTTAACTTCCCTTAGGTTATATTTACACTGAAACGTATCACCATATCACCATATCTGCATCCCCACATGTCGTTTCTGTGTCCACAGGTCTTCCCTATCCATACAGCTTTGAGCATATTTGTTTACATTTACAGAAACAAAACTTTAAACCACATGGCTCATTTGCATAAATTGAGAGCTCAAGAAAACAGCTTGCTCCTTGTGCGCTGATGCGGTTCAGCTTCTGTCAGACTAAAGGACACAACTCAGTGGAATATGAGTGTTCTTTCTGTGACAGAGAGGTGTTCTGCTGATGGTGAGTCTGTTCTGTGAAAGTAGTTTAGCTCCACTGTTTCCCGTTTGTCTCTGGTTTGTTAAGCTGTTTTCCGCAACAGCGTCACATGACTGATGTCACGAACCCGAGCTCCTACATCAGTGTATCAGTGTTTTCAGGTGTCCACACAGTGCAGGATCAGATCTGTACTCAGATAAATTCGTGGGAGCTGGTGGCACCAGATCGTTCCATCAGATTAGTGTGGACAAACACTGCATCCACAACAAAAATGACTCGAATACGTACTAGTGTGGATGGGGCCGTAGTGTTAATTTGGCTCCTCCCACCCACCACTTCAAACTCCTGTGAGAGAAGACCAGTTTGAACCAGTTTTGTACATAATTTCATTTTAGATTAACTCTGTGTGTTGTTTAGCTAAATCAGGATAACTCTACAAAGTGTTATCTGTTTACTTTCAAAACATGAATATAACTCTTGATTTCAGGGTTAAACAGGAACTTTGGGCCAGTCTTACTAAGTTAACATTTCCTAAAATGTTAAATTAACTCTAGAACAGATTGGACTCATACAAACCCTGAGAAAATGTTAAAATTGATTCTGTGAGAGTCAATTTTAACACTGCACTTTTTGCTGTGAAACATTCTAGACACAGCAACAACATCTCCACGGAGAAAAGCAATAGGCATATCCACGGATCTGACTTGTAACTTGGCCTAGTGACTTTACCAGCTTGTCTCCATGGTGATAGGAACACTTAATGCCGTACCAGCATACATAAAATTGTAGGCAATGCAAAAACATCTTTCTTTAAAAAAAAAACAAGCAGGTGACAGACCCTCATCGGAAAAGTTCCCTAGTGCGTCTTTATCTCTGAGTCCAGACCTCTCTTGCAGATGATGAGGGGTCCGACGAGCCCCGAGGCGATGTCTCTGGGGGCGTGTGTGTGGGAGTGGTAGAAGCGCGTCAGGCAGTTGGAGTCGTCGTTGGTGGGGCTGTGAGCCTCAGGCAGAGTCCACTCGTACACCACTGTACCACCAGGGGGCACTGCATCGTCTCTCCTCAGCTGTCCTTCTGTCCCATCAGGGTAGAATGCTCCTGGACAAAGAAGAGGACCAGTCAAAGTTTAGAAGTACAGTAGAGATTAGGTAAATTAGATTTGCTTTTAAAACCATATCACTCTATGCAGTGTTGAGGAGTAACAGATTACATGTACTGTACCACAGTTATGTAATCAGAGTACAAATTATGAGTAACTGTATTCAGTTACAGTTACTGTTTCAATGAGTGGTAACTGGATTACAGTTACTTTGTTGAAATGAATAGGATTACATGGTATTTTCCTGTTTTCACATTTTGGACTATATCCCTTTTTTTTTTTTTTTTTTTTAACCAAATCTAAATCAGGACTAATTCAGGACTGACCCAGGACTAAAACCAGGTCTAAACTAGATCTAAACCAGATCTAAACCAGGACTAAAACCAGGTCTAAACTAGATCTAAACCAGATCTAAACCAGGACTAAAACCAGGTCTAAACTAGATCTAAATCAGGTCTAAACTAGGACTAAAACCAGGTGTAACTAGATCTAAACCAGGGCTAAAATCAGGCCTAAACTAGATCTAAACCAGGTCTAAACTAGATCTAAACCAGGACTAAAGCAGGACTAAAACAGGACTAAAACAGGATTTAACAGGACTAAACCATGCCGTGCAGACTGTGTCTCCTCCTCTTCTATCAATAATATTTTTAATACAGTAAAGTAAAGTCTGGGCTTTTTTATTGTCTTTTAGCAGATAAAACATCTTATGTGAAGATATCTTAGTCTTTGCGTCTCTACAGAAAATCAAGTAATCCAAAGTGTTCAGATTACGTTACTCACTTTAAGTAATTTTATGGATTACGTTATAAACTACATTTTGGGGTATGTAATCTGTAATCTGTAGGGGAATACATTTTAAAAGTAAACTTCCCAACACTGACTCTATGTATTTTCAATGTGTTCACTTATTAGATTAGACATTTTTTTTATTACTATTTTCTATATTTTATTTTGACTTGGACACATACATGCATATAATTATTTCTTATTTGACACCTGTCTCTTGCCATTTATTTAGAATGTATTATTACCATTTATATGTTTTACTCTTTATTATCTTATATTGTGAGCTACTTGTGGATCAATAAAGCTTGTCTAAGTTTAACCCTTGTAAGGTCTTCGGGTCTGTGGGACCCGTTTTCAGTTTTTAACTTCAGAAAAATTCTACAAAGAATTATTTTTTCAGCCTGAGATTATTGGGCCTTGGCTCATTTTGAGTGAGGAACATGAATCAGAAAAAAAAGTGTATTGACCCCCCCTTGATTCCACCCCCTTCACACTTATATTACATACAGGGTCTTCGGGTCCACTGGACCCGGAGCTACTGAAAGTATGAAAATCATAGCTCCTCCTTTCCCCGTTCTCCTCTTTGGGCCTGTGTGTGTGTGTTTTGTATGTGGTGTGTGTGTGTGTTGTATGTGGTGTGTGTGTGTGTGTGTGTGTGTGTTGTGTGTTGTGTGTGTGTGTGTGTTGTGTATGTGGTGTGTGTTGTGTATGTGGTGTGTGTGTGTGTGTATGTGTGTGTGTGTGTGTGTGTGTGTGTGTGTGTGTGTGTGTATGTTTGTGTATGTGTGTGTGTGTGTTTTGTATGTGTGTGTGTGTGTGTGTTGTATGTGTGTGTGTGTGTGTGTTGTGTATGTGTGTGTTGTGGTGTGTGTGTGTGTTTTGTATGTGTGTGTGTGTGTGTGTATGTGTGTGTGTGTGTGTGTGTGTGTGTATGTGTGTGTGTGTGTGTGTGTGTGTGTTTTGTATGTGTTGTGTGTGTGTGTGTGTGTGTGTGTTTTGTATGTGTGTGTGTGTGTGTGTGTGTGTTTTGTATGTGTGTGTGTGTGTTTTGTATATGTGTGTGTGTGTGTGTTTTGTATGTGTGTGTGTGTGTGTGTGTGTGTGTATGTGTGTGTATGTGTGTGTGTTTGTATGTGTGTGTGTGTGTGTGTGTTGTGTATGTGTGTGTGTGTGTGTGTGTGTTTTGTATGTGTGTGTGTGTGTGTGTGTGTGTTGTGTATGTGTGTGTGTGTGTGTGTGTGTGTGTGTGTGTGTGTGTGTGTGTGTGTTTTGTGTGTGTGTGTGTGTTGTGTATGTGGTGTGTGTGTGTTTTGTATGTGTTGTGTGTTGTGTATGTGGTGTGTGTGTGTTTTGTATGTGTGTGTGTGTGTGTGTGTGTGTGTGTGTGTTTGTGTGTGTTGTGTGTTGTGTATGTGGTGTGTGTGTGTTTTGTATGTGTGTGTGTGTGTGTGTGTGTGTGTGTGTGTGTGTGTTGTGTGTGTGTGTGTGTGTATGTGTGTGTGTGTGTGTTGTGTATGTGTGTGTGTGTGTGTGTTTGTGTATGTGTGTGTGTTGTGTGTGTGTGTGTGTGTGTGTGTTTGTGTGTGTGTGTGTGTGTGTGTATGTGTGTGTGTGTGTGTTTTGTATGTGTGTGTGTGTTGTGTATGTGTGTGTGTGTGTGTGTGTGTGTGTAGTGTATGTGTGTGTGTGTGTGTATGTGGTGTGTGTGTGTTTTGTATGTGTGTGTGTGTTGTGTGTTGTGTGTTTTGTATGTGTGTTGTGTGTGTGTGTGTGTGTGTGTTGTGTGTGTGTGTGTGTGTTGTGTGTGTGTGTGTGTGTGTGTGTGTGTGTGTGTGTTGTGTGCATCCAACACTATCTGCACCCACATCTCACCCTCTGTCTGAATGAATAAATGAATGAATCTCGGGGTCCCCATAAACATCTGTCAGTGAGAATCTCAATCACAACTGATCATGATGGTGAAGAAGTTCTCAGTTCAGACTGTGATGGAACTGATTCTAGAAGAGACAGAGGGTTTTTATGGTGCAGCTGAAGAAGATGTCTCTGAGAATGAAGATCAAATTTGTGAAAATTCACGGTCAGAGAGTGAGTTTGAAGAGGAAGGGGACAGGAGGGTGAAGATCAGCCAACAGAGTCAGGAGCCGGAGCAACCATGAGCAGCCAGCAAAACACAAGCAGACCTCAGCCATAGGACCAGTCTGCCAGCAGCTGGTCCAAGGACCAACTTATGAGAGGTGAGCTGGTGAGCAGCCAGACATAGGAGGGGACAATGTATGATTGAGAAAAGATGGAAAAATTCAATGATGTTCCACTTCAAGACACTCGGCTTCACACGGCTGCCAACATGATACTGAAGGCGCCAGGGCCTACACGCTCGGCAGTCACACATGTAGATGACATCACGTCTTCTTTTGATATTTTCATGCCACACCAGATCAATAACATGATCGTGGACTGCACCAATATAGAAGGAAGGAGTGAGGAAGGGAGGAAGGTTTTTGATGAAACTAATTTAGATGCCTACTTTGAGATTTTTATCCTTGCCAGTGTTTTCCGTGTTTTTCTGTGTTTTCGTGCACTTTTTACACTTGGTGTTTCACCATCAAGTTGTTAATACTACTTCCAAATGAGATGAATTAAGCATCTGCTGAGAATTTTTACAAAAAAAGGTTTAAATATGATGACGTAAAAGCCCCAAAGTGCAATGGGTCCACCAGACCCAGCAGGACTCCCTGTGTAACAAAAAACGAAGACCTTACAAGGGTTAAGTCTAAGTCTGTGGTGTCCAAACTAATTCTTTCCATTTATATATAAGATTGGCATTCATACATAGAACAGACAACACACATGTGAAATAAAATGTACTGTCTCATAAGTACAAATGTGATCGGAGATGGGGGGTTGGTGAAAACAGACGTTTTGAAATCAGGACAGTACTGGATTACTATATGAGTACCCTCAGTACAGGCGAGTTATTGTCAGTGTTGGGAAGGTCACTTTTAAAATGTATTCCCCTACAGATTACAGATTACATACACCAAAATGTAGTTTGTAATGCAATCCATTAAATTACTTAAAGTGAGTAACGTAATCTGAATACTTTGGATTACTTGATATTGTCATGTTTTTTAAAACTACATAAATGTACAAACCAGATCCTGAAAATTAATGTTTGTTCAGTCTTTATTTGACCAGATTAAAAATATTATTGATAGAGAAATGATTTTTATATGAGATCACAGCTGACTTCAATTATGTTCATCCTACTGTTAAGTGTCATATTGTATTAGTTTAGTCCTGCTTTAGTCCTGGTTTTAGTCCTGGTTTTAGTCCTGGTTTTAGTCCTGGTTTTAGTCCTGGTTTAGACCTGGTTTAGACCTGGTTTTAGTCCTGGTTTAGTCCTGGTTTAGGCCTGGTTTAGACCTGGTTTAGACCTGGTATAGACCTGGTTTAGACCTGGTTTAGGCCTGGTTTAGACCTGGTTTAGACCTGGTTTAGACCTGGTTTAGGCCTGGTTTAGTTTAGACCTGGTTTAGACCTGGTTTAGACCTGGTAAACCTGATAAATGTATGAGTAATAATGGACTCAGACTTTAACAGCCACATCAGATCAATAACATCTGCAGCTTTTTACCATCTAAAAACCAGCCAAACTCAAAGGTATAACTGTCTAAAGCAGACTTGTTTAGACTTGTCCATGTGTTTGTCTCCAGTAGGTTGATTGTAAAGGTCTGCTCACTGTGACACGCTGCAGTCCATCCAGAACGCTGCAGCTCGGGTCCTGACTCAGAGCAGGAAGTCCGAGCACATAAATCCTGGTCTCAGGTCTCTGCCCTGCCTCCTTTGGCTTAGAGAATTTAAAGCGGCTCTGCTTGTACAAATTTCTCTATGGCCGAGCACCAAAGTCCATCTGTGACATGTTAGAGCCATATGAACCATCTGCATTCTGAGGAGCTCAGTGACCGGCCTCTTGCTGGTGCCCAGAGTCAGGAGTCAGTGTTTCAGATTCATGCAGCTAAAACCTGGAACAGTCTGAACATGTGAGACAGACTCTGCTCTGACTCTGTTTAAATCCAGACTCTAAACGGATGTTTGGCTCTTCACTCTTCTCTCTCATTTAATATCTCTCTCTCTCTTTGTAATTTTTTGTAAATTTATGTTTTGATTTGTTTGTTTTGTGATTTTAATATATTTCTTATTCTGTAAAGCACTTTGAATTACTTTGTGTATAAATTGTGCTATACAAATAAACTTGCCTTGCCTATTCCTCAAAATAACAGGCTACAGAGATCATCAAGAGTAGAGTAGCAAAAAATTTGAGTAAAAGTAACATGACCTCAAAATAATAGTATTCAAGTTGAAGTACAAGTGGTCCAAGAAATGACTCAAGAGTAAAAACATTTGGGAAAACTTAAAGAGCAACTGTTGGGAAGTAACATCAGATTTATCATTGGAACATATGATGTACAATAAATGATGTCCTTTGAAGTTTAAATAATGTATAAAATCTGATGTTTTCAAAGGACAGACACAAAAATGAGAAAAACTAAATCATATTTTAAGGAGCGCTGCAAGAAACACAGATGTTCAAATCATTTCATATTGTCCGCACAAAGCTGTTGTCACATAGTTTACTAATACTTGTATATTGTAAGATCTTCCCTTAACTTGAATTATTGTTACATTCTGTAAATGTAATCCAATTCGGGGTTTACAGGATAATGGACATCACAGTGCTGTTGTGCTGCGTGCATGGCCGAGGTTGGTGTGGGCCCATGACACAACCAAAAAAAAAATTTAAGATGATTTTTTTTCACTTTAATCTTGAATCACTTGCTTATTCTCATGGAGATGTTATTGCTTGTGTTTTCCAGAATGGCATTAATTTTATCGCCATGGAGCAGGTGACACTACCAGGCCAACTTACAGGTCAGAGAGACAAGCCTGTGTACAGTTACAATACAGAATGGATGGCACATTTGGAAATGTGGCTAAATGTGTTCGACAGCAAGACTAGAAAACTGTCGCTGTCAAAATGATTAAGAACCAGGGTTCTCATATCAGAAGTGCCAAGATCAAGTATACTGCCCTCAGCATGCTCAAGAAACTGGACGTGGACCAATGTAACATCGTCAGCTGGAACCACATTTTTATTGGCAGAGGCTACATCTGTTCACGCTGGAGGCTCAAGACCCCTGAGAAGTATCAGAAAGATACTGGGCACATTCCACAGGATAAGAGGGGAATAAAACTTCAAACTTTGGACCAGCTGTTTCATACCCAGCCTTTTCGGTTCCAGCATGGTCCAAATACACTGGCAGAACACTCAGACAGGTGTTTGTGGATTTGCTGAAAGGCATGCTTCAGCTAGATCCCAAAGTCCGGAAAACACCCAGGACCATTTTGCTGCATAAATTCTTCAGCCTGAGCCACCTAGAGGCCTTTAAGAGCAGTCAGTATGTTCTTCATACAGAGCGCGTACTAAACTCTAAGACGTCAGCTACACCACAGCTTTCCAGTGATGCCAGGCCTCATTGTTCTGAAAAAGAGCCAAAGAGTTCAAAAGATGATTCTTCTGGACCCAGTAAAATCAAAATGGAACCTGCCCCCAGTTTTGCTCCACATCAGTCTTCAAATTTGACAAAGAATCAGGCCTATTCAAGACTGGCTGGAGAGAAAAGGATGGGGCAGAACTCTCAAACACACAGCTCCAAATCTGAAGTAGGTGGGAAAAGGCTTACACCAAACTCTCCTGGACATTGTGCAATGAAAAGGGAACATACTCCCACCCATGTTCCTGGTCCAACCCCAAATTTGACAAAGGATCAGGCCAAATCAGCACTGGTTGGTGAGAAGAGGGTGAGACAGAGCTCTCCAACACGCACCTCCAGTCCTGAAGTGACAATGAAGAGGCAACATAAATGCAACTATGTTACCCACCATTCTTCAGATCTGGCAGTGAAAGGAGCAGTTCAGAACTGGTGAATGAGCAAGTGGTGAGGAGGAACTCATCTGCAACATGCTCATTTGGGGTTCTGAGAGAAGATCAGCAGAGGGAAAGAGCTAGTATAGTGAAAAGAGATCAGAGTCCACATCGCTCTTTTAATCTGACACTGAAGGAGGCTGATATCAGACTAATCAACCAGAAGTGGGTGAGTCAGAACCCAGCTGGAATGGGCACCTCCAGAAGTTCAGAAATAAATCAGAAGAGGGCAAGAGTTGATTCACCTGGACGAAGCTCCCAGAGAAGCCCACAGAACGGCTTCAATGGGAGACAAGAGCAGCATCACACCACGTCCAGAGAAGACCACAGTCAGAAGAGAGAAGAAAGAGCAAACTGTTGGCAGCCCAGACTACCACAGCCCACAAAATGCAAGGCTCAAGATGACTTGGACTCAGAGCGTGAATCACACAAGAAGCTCGGCCATTAAGCCTGTCTGCAGTCCCTCCATTTTATTTATTTTCTTTTTAAAAGAAAGAGAACTGAATGGGCTGTGGAACAACTTATTCAGTTCTAATCAGCCAAACAGGCAAGACAGACTCTATGTTAGTGATCGGAACAAATTGACTTCCTCCTCTGAGCCATGATTGTTCTGCAAGCCATTCTCTCTTCCTGACAGCTGCCCAAGCCACTATCTGCTCTTCACCCTGTTTCCATAGCGAAGGTGCCAACTGACTTATACTGGTGTGGTCCAGGGCATTGAACCAGCAGCCTCGTGCAAAATACATGAGGTTCCTCTGGTGTAACTGAGTTTTTGACAAGAATGACTTAAATAATATGTAATTTTGCAATCACTTTGCAATTTGCATCTGTGATTCATAGAACTGTAGTTACATACTTTATGTATTCTGGTGGTTCTTTGATCCAGCAGCTTCATCCATAATAAAGCTATACTGCATTTGATTTCTTTGTTCTTGCTTGTTTAATGTATACAATCATATCTGTCTCTATATATTTAAAAATTCCAATATGAAATATCAGATGTCCTCGTGTGGGTGACTTTCATTAGCCCAAGACCAGTAGCGTGTGGTGACTTTTATAGGTAGGCAAATAGACCTGAGCTGGACATTCAGATTTAGCAGGTAACAATTTAATAACAGTGTTTTTATACATACTACATTGCAAATATATTTATTTCTTTATTTTATTGACATATTAAATGCATATATACTGAGCCAGTCAACGGTACACAGAGTCAAGTTAGAGAGACCAAGAACTACATACTCTTATACCCACAGTGCAACGAAGAACCACAACATCACACACGAGTACTGTTACTTCAATACAATATTATTCAAGTAGGAAAAATAGTATTCTGAAAAGTACAAATTCTACCCACCTCTGGCTACACAGTACACACAAAATATTTTAACACTTTCCAAGCTACAAAAAGGTAACTGCTGCAAAATGAAGCCTGCACCTTGAAATAAAACTACTACAAACCAGTTAACCATTTTCCAATCTAATATTATATCAACTTTAATAACTTTTAAGTGTAATGTGAAAGCCAGTTCCAGCGTCTCACCCTCGTTGCCTTTGGTGTAGTTGAGTCCGTGCGGGTGGATGCTGTACGGTCTGGACGCGGCGTTACGGAGCTGCACCATGATGGTGTCCCCCTCCTCTGCCATGATCATGGGCCCCAGGAAGCCCTGCCACTCAGGTTTGGCGATCTCTGTCCGGTAGAGGGCGTCCGTGTACTGTTTATACACAGCCTTTTTGTACATGGAGCCGATGGTCTGAGGCCCGCGCTTCAGGAACACAGAGGCTTCCCTGAAAATAAACATGCAAAAGACATTGTAGGCCAGGCGTGTCAAACTCAAATTCACAGAGGGCCTGGGACTAAGTCTTGGGCCAAACTAAATATTTATTCAAAAATTTCAACATCTGCATGTTTTCTCTTCTTTCAAGATATGTAATGATAAACCTTTTCAAAGAAAATGTGACTATACTGACTCACATGTTAGTTATGAATGGGCCGAGTGCAGAACAATTCTCCTTAATTATGCACTGGATTCACATTTTTATTATTACCAACCACCACAAACCGGGAGTGTCCCAGTTTTTGATTTTGAAAATCTGGTCACCCTAATCTTATGATGTCAAGTGAACAGCTCCTTTGCCTTTAGTTCAATTGAGATCGGCAATTCCAGTTCTGAAATGATCCAAATGATTCTAGTGAAGGTGTATGGAGTTTAAAAACACAGTGGAGCACTTCCTGTATTGCCACATGACATTATAAGGTGGAACAGAGTGTTTTCTGTTTGAGAGAAGAATTCAGTCTAAATGAGCAGGTTTGTGTGTTAAACATGTGTGAATGAAACAAACACAACTCCAGGTCTGTTTGTGATGAGGAAACGACATTAGAACAGAAAACAGTGTCATATTGGGCCTTTAAAGTGTGTGCAGTGCCACTCTGTGCTCATTCACTGGGGTCAGGCCTAAATAGGCTATTGTTTTAATATGAAAGGCACTTATTGCCTTCTGATTTGTTTCTTTATCAAAGTTTAGTGGGGTAAGCCTAAGCAGAAATAAAAAGTAAAACAAGATGTAAAAAGTAAAACAAGATGTACAACTTGTATTTTGAAATGTTGACTTAAATATCAAACCGTATCAAGCCATCTGCACAGAGATAGATATGTTATATGCCATAGTGTGGAATATGAAAGTCAAAGGAGCAACATTTCCATAGAAACAAGCAGAAGGAGAACACCTCCAGGCCAGGGAAGAGTCAGGTTTGTGGAGATGCAAGCCCACTCACATAAGAACGCATGTATTTCCATTATTTCAGTGCAACAAACACAACCAAAATAATAATTATTAAAAACATGCAATTGATTTATGACCCTTACTAATAATGTAAAAATGGGAAATATACAAACCTGAGACACACAACTGTGTTCTTTATTACATAAGCTGGGACTTTACCCATTTTTACATTATTAAGCAAGAGCCACAGTCGGAGATTTGAACTTATGGACCAAAAGTCCATGGTCCCGTGCGCCTACTGAAATAGTTCACTTTTAAATCTGATGACCTTTTGTCTGTGGATGTTTGTTTTACTTGAACAGTGGTTCATTTGTTTATCGTTGCTTTGGTGATGCTCAGAGTATTCATATAACAGTGATTGTCTCTGGAACTTGTGCTGTTAGTAAAACAAATATAATGCACAGCAGATAGTATTAGAATTCTCACTAATCATGGTATCATCTTATTTAATCCACTTTAAGTCCATGTTGACTGTTGTGAGTTACTTTTGCTGTCCCCAAAGGGACACTTGTTTTCACAGCTGAACAAAGGAACGTCAGTTTGATGAGTGAAACTAAACTTTTGGCCTTGGCCTGCTGCGCCAGAGAAGAAACATCACCTCTTCAGTCCAACGAAAACCTCATCAGTATTATGTAACTGAATATTAATGTTGTTATATTACGCAAAGTGGACTCTTGTGAGATTTAAGTCATGTTATAATGTTGTTATCTCCTCAAAAATAGAGCTAGAGTTGTGTTTTGTTTCATTCACACATTTGAGTAACACTTTATTACTCTGACTACAGCTCCAAACTCAAAATGTTCTGTTCCACCTTGTGATGTCATGAAGCGGAGGTTTTCAAGTTGCTACCTTTAAAGCTAGCAGGTTAAAAACACAGTGCGGGTCTGTTTGTGATCATGAAACATTATCTCTCTGATAGGCCGCTCTGATGGGAGGGAAATAGTTCAAGTCAGGCCATCACCCTCAGGTCAAAGCCCGACTTATCAGTGTTCTGCTTGGGGGTCTGTGTCTGCCACCTGCTTGTCTCCATGGAGATATTAGGCCTATTGTTTTGAACTATCTACCTTACATTTATTCAATCACAGGTGTATTTATTCACCAAAAATACAGAGAAAAACATGACCTATAACTGACCTATTGTCTGATCTGGTGTCTGCTTATGTCCATGAAGATAGAGAAGTTTAATGCCATTCTGCTGAACATTCACTCCAACATCTCCATGGAGACAAACAGGTAGCAAACCCTCTAAGAAATTGCTGAGAGATATAGGCCAATGCCACTTTACCAAGAGGTCACAGGTTGAATTGAGATCATTTTGAGGTGATGATCTTTTCTTATTGCATGACTTCACTTTACTACAATATTTTATTTACTTTAAGCTGTGTTATGATGATGTTACCTCCTTAAAAACAGACCTGGAGTTGTGTTTTGTTTCGTAAGGGGTAGGGTTAGGGACAGCGTAATATGGGCCTTTAATATCATTTAAAATACAACTAGAAAAACCATAGAAAAACAACATTTTACTCACTCATCTTCTGCTATTGTCTTGTTTTGGATCATGTTCATTCCACTGGGAGCATAATTCCACATCATTTCTTCAATTCGGATAAAATAAGTCCTGGTGATGGCCGCCACATGAAGGGACAGACAGGAGAGAAGCAGCAGAGACCATAAACTGAAAGAAGCCATTTTCAACACCAAATAAATACAAATATATGTTTAAAAACTTCTGTTGCGAGGACAGCTGTGCAGAGGTCTGTCCACTGCAGCCCAAGTCCACATTGGTTTTATATGGATCCGCTCGCAGACAGGGGACGATAAGGACAAAAGGGGCACTGACTGGACGGCTGAGCAAATGGGCCAATCAGACACAAGAATCAGAGCCACAGTTACATAAGGACTCAACATTTTACACCCAGGTCTGAATTAAAAATCTATTTAACTTTTCCGGAACAAAGATATAAATCAAAATCTGTTTACAGAAAAGCACGGAAAAGCTGCACTGTGTAACTTTTAGTTCAATAACCTGCTTTCTTTCTATGGAGATGTCACTGCTCTGCCTGGAATGTTCCACAGTATGACATTAAACAACTCTACCTTACATTTATTCAATTGTAGTTGGTTTTATAGCTCAGAAATACCTAGAAAAACTGTGATTCTGACTGTGAGCGGGGTCGCCTCTCCACAGATCTGACCTGTAACTTTGTCTGGTTTAGTCTTTATGAAGTTAGAAAGATTTAATGTCATACTGTGAGACATTCCACAGTAATAACAAGCATTTGACGAACCCTCCACCAGGAAAGTTACACAATGTACCTTGCACCACATTGTCTTCACTAAGCTTAAAGGTCCACTACGTCACTTTACTATGCAAACGACGGGTTTGCTGTCTGCTTGTTTCCATAGAAATGTTTTGCCTTGAACATTCCACAGTCACTGCTTAGGTGTAAAACGTTATGATCCCACCGAGCGCCCGTCCTTTGACCGCTGAGTTGAATCCTCTGGGCAGACTGAGCGAACCACACCCATTTACCTCTGAATGTTTCACGTCCTCTTGAACTCTCTACAAAGTTCTTTTCTACTTTCCCTTGCTGACTATCTGACTCGTGCCTTAGATGGAGTTTATCACCAAAAAGTTACCAAAGTAACAAGTAACGTAAAAAGTTACTTCCCATAGAGGGTAACTAAGTAAAGTAAGGGATTACTTGTTAAATATGTAGTGAGTAATGAGCAAACACTACTTTTTTAAACTAACTTCTCCCAACAGTGTCCACAGTGAACCATTAAACATTTGTACTTGCATGTGTTCAGTTCCAAGTGTTTCACTGCTGTAAGAATCCACTGAACAACACTTTGTTCATCTGTGAAGAGCAGGCTGGCCACTCCACAGATCTGGCCTGTAACTTGATGTGCTTGTCTCCAGGGACATATTATATATGTTTATATTCATACTGTGGAACACCCTGTGCAAAGTAATAACATCACCAGGGAAACGTCAGAAAAGTTCCACAGTGAAACTTTATAATACAGAAACAGGAGGGTCGTATCAAACTATATGACTCAATGAAACAGCATCAAATCTTAAATGACTTAAAAAAGAATTTGATTCTTTGGACAATTTTCTCATTTTGTTTTCAGTGTGATGTGATCTGACAGATAATAATTTTAATATAAAGGTGCAATATTACATTTTTCTGGTGGAGGGTTCATCAAAAGCTTTTCTCCATGGAGAGGTAATTGAATAACATTCCAGGCAGAGCAATCTCCATAGAAACAGGCAACAAAAAAGTAGAAGAGAGATCATCCACGCGTCAAAAAATGTAAATGGACTTATTTTTGTTCAGTTTGGGTCCAGAGTTCACTGTGAGTTTACTCTAAATAAATATGAGACTGGAAACTCCAGTGTGTCCGGGAAAAGAGTTACATCATACTGATTAAACCTGGACATGTACAAGATTACACAAGAGCACATCATGTTTGGATTCTTAATACACTCGTCCCTCACTATAACACGGTTCACCTTTCGCAACTTCACTGTTTCGCTTTTTTTTTACAGTGTATGAACGTGCATTGTGTTCCTCTCCCTGCGTCCTGATTGGTTAAAGGGCTGTAGACCATTGTCAATCAATCTCCTCCGTGCCGTGGCTGTACAGTACAGAATGTGTTCAGCTGCCAAATTTACATAAAGGTTGGACCTGTATCAGTGTGATTCTGAAGTGCTGTATATATATATATATATATATATATATATATATATATATATATATATATATTCCTAACAATTTAATAACATTTACTGTATGTTTCAGACTACAGAGTGCACCTGAATATAAGCTGCATCAACAAAATTTTAACAATTTTAAATTTATACATATATAGGCCGCAGGTGTCCATGTCTTCAAAAATGTTTTCAATTTCGGGCCGTGTGCTTTTATCGCCTCTGAAACTTTTTCTCATCTTTTTGCATCAGTTCAACATCTCACTACTGACTTACTGATGTCGAGCTCGCATGCAGCAGCTCTGTTTCCTTCTTCTGCAGCCACATCAATCACCTTTAACTTAAAAGCTTCATCATCTGCATTTCTTTGTGTGTTTTCCATAAGGAGGGTGTGTGTATGAAGCACAAACTAACGCTTCAAAACACAATCTAACTAGAATCTTCCTCGACGCATCACCCTCGTCTCTCCCTGTGCTCTACTGCACATGTCTCCTGCAGAAAGAGCAGCTGTTCTGTCTGTATCCTGTCAGTGTCTTGGAGGATTTCAGCAGATTAAAGACTCTCTCGGGGGGCGGGGATAGGTGTATCAATCAGGTATGAGTGGATGTTCAGCTACTGAAGTTTGAGACGTTTCTTCTCGTCATTGCCACATACATTTAAGACGTATCCCCCTCACTAATTCATCCCACTTCCTTCATTTAGCATCAGAATGTATTTTATCACATGGCGATAAACTATTTGAGCGTCCTGACAATATCACTAGTGTGGCAACTGCATGTTAACCCTAGATCCATGTGTAAATTGCACACACAGTGGTGTTTTCTGCACTCAGGTTGCATGTATCCGCTGTGAAGCCAAACCATAGAGTGTTTATATGAATGGACAATGTGCCAAACAAAGAATCCGTCCATATATTCCCCGCATTGTTTTATTAGTCGCAGGGTTCAAAGTGTGAGAAAAAAGTAGCGGCTTATAGTCCGGAATTTACTGTAAATGTAATGTGAAAGCCAGTTCCAGCGTCTCACCCTCGTTGCCCTTGGTGTAGTTGAGTCCGTGTGGATGGATGCTGTACGGTCTGGATGTGGATCATGTCCCCCCTCCTCTGCCATGATCATGGGGCCTGGGGCTGGCGATCTCTGTCCGGTAGAGGGCGTCCGTGTTCTGTTTATACACAGCCTTTTTAGTACATGGAGCCGATGGTCTGAGGCCCGCGCTTCAGGAACACAGAGGCTTCCCTGAAAATAAACATGCAAAAGACATTGTAGGCTTCATCATGGGAAATAACAAGACATTGTATTGACAGTCCATCTCTGCGTAATTTAAAGTTCTATATCACCAAAACTGACTCTTGTGCTTGAGTTTTAAGTCATGTTATAATGTTTCCTCTTCAAAATAGACCCGGAGTTGTGTTTTGTTTCATAACTCTTTAGTCTGTCTGCATCTCCAAAGCTCAAAATGCTCTGTTCCACCTTGTGTACAGTGACCAGACGTCCCCGTTTACCCGGGACAGTCCCAGTTTTGAGCCCTGTGTCCCCTGTCCCAGTGGATTTGTACAAAACCAGTGATTTGTCCCAGTTTCATACAAGAAATGTCCCATGTGTTGCTATTTTTGACCAATTTGAAACCTGCCAACAGTAAAGAGAGGCTGGCAAATTGTAATTTGTTTAATAAAATGTAGAAAAGCTATTTAAAAATGACCAAAACACAAAGAAAATTTGACTATACTGACTCACATGTTAGTCATGAATGGGCCAAGTGCAACAATTCTTCTTAATTATGCATTGGATTCACACTTTTATTATTGCCAACCACCACAAGTGTCCCAGTTTTTGATTTTGAAAATTTGGTCACCCTAAGATGTCATGCACCCTCAGGTCAAAGCCTGACTTACCAGTTTTCTGTTTGGGGGTCTGTGTGTGCCACCTGCTGTCTCCATGGAGATATTAGGCCTATTGTTTTGCCTGGAATGTTCCACAGTATGGCATTGAACTATCTATCCCACATTTATTCAATCACAGGTGTGTTTATTCACCAAAAATACAGAGAAAAACATGACCTATAACTGACCTATTATCTGGTCTGGTGTCTGCTTGTGTCCATGGAGACAAACAGGTAGCAAACCCTCTAAGAAACTACTAAGAGATATAGGTCTATGCCACAGAGGTCAGAGGCTGAATTCAGATAATTTTCTTACTGCATGACTTCACATTACTACAATATTTACCATATTTTACGCACTATTAGGCACTCGGGATTATAAAACGCACGCCGAGTGGATTCGTGTACAGGGTGCTTTGGATTGTGGGGCGTACGGTCGTATTTTGATGGGGTTAGAGGATTAAGAGTGCGCCCTATAGTGTGGAAAATACGGTATTTACAGGTTTTATATTACACAAAATTGACTCTGGTGAACTTTAAGCCATGTTGTAATGTTTATACCTCCTCTAAAACAGATCTGGAGTTGTGTTTTGTTTCATTCGCACATGTTTGAGTAGACTTAGACAAATTTTGATCCACAAGGGAAAAGATTTGGACACAGTAGCTCACACATCACAATATAATATAATAACAAAGAGAAAAAATATATAAATGTTAATAACAAATTCTAAATAAGTAGCAAAAAACATAGCAAGAGACACGTGTCAGATAAGTAGGGCTTGGTCAGAAGTTGCCAATACGATACATACATTGATACATAGGCCACGATATGAAACATATCTCGATACAATGAACTTACAATTTGATATATTTCAGTTTGATTCGATACAGTTCAGTAAAAATAAAAGCTAAATCATTGGCTGTGATACTAAAAGTCTTTATTAAACCACTTCTTGTGTAAAGTTCATATGAAACACAAATATTTTAATCATCAAAACAGTGAAAATGTCAAATGTGTCACATAAACGAGTTTCCTTCCTCTGAACAAGCAACAAAACTGTAGCTGTAACTAAATAATTTAGTAAAATATATCAAAAAATACTCTTGGTGATATATCAATACAGCAGTTCATGACATCAATACTGTATCATTAAACATTAAACGATAAGATGTATTGATATTTAGATATTTTTACACAC